TGGAACTGGAGTTCACTGAAGCCCTTAAAATACTTTAGGTAAGAAAAACATCTTTGGATACAACTCAAATTCACTAAAGCAAAGATGATCTTCTATTAGCTTGACCTTTCCGAGTGACTAAATAAACCCAAGTCAAAAAGCAGATGATGCTTTCCCCTTTTTTGATCTATGAACATATACAAGTCATGGGAGGATGAGATCTAATAGATAATTAAAGAATTTTCAGTACACATGTAATTATGTTTTCATTAACAACCATCCAGAATGCTCACTATAGTTTTGAACTTTAAAATGCTATTACATATGTATTTTCGGGCTATTCTAGTGCAAAATCAGATAATTGCAGGGGGTGGTGTGAGTGTGGATGTGTGTGGTGGTAGAAGAAATGCTTATGGTTTAAGAAGCACATTTATCATAATATAAGTGTATCTGAACTCATATACGGCTAACCTGTATGTTTAAACCATTGCAGAATTGATGAGTCTTTCTAGTTCATGAAATACGGTAACATGATATACAAATGTACATGATATACAAATGTGGGGGGAATACCAAAAAAATTTTTTTTAAGCATTCATGAATGAAGCTGAGCTTTCCTTCTTGCTAATGTAAATCCACCAGCCCTGCTATTCAGTATAGTTTACCAGCCATTCTTCCTCCTTCTACCATCTGAATGGCAAGGGTAGAGGCTATTTCTCTAGTTTCTTTCCATCCCTACTGTGATTTCAACTTCAGTTGCTCTTCTACACAGATTTATCACTCCTCAGTTGTTTCCTGAAGGTTACTGATATTAAATTCCCTTGTGTCACAGGCTGCATTGAAGTGGCAATTGCATATGTCTGTAGCATATACCTATGATTACCTCCCATTATGACTTCTTAGAACAAAGTTGAAGTCTCATTTTCAGTATTGACTGAATGAATTTTCACCTGACTTGTGCTTTCAATTCACCCAGAAAATTACCCATTTTATTATCCCATTTAAGGGAATAATACACAGCAGAGTTACTACCATTTTATCAAAGAAGTAGCGGCACCTGGATCTTTGTTATGAATTATGTGTTTCTGCCATACCTCAAATATACTCAAGTGACTGCATGATACGGAAAACACAATCTGAAAATGGGTGTTTTACCAGAAGTTTCTAGTCTACAGTATTCAGTGAACAAAGAGCTTGCTTTCTCCATACTAAAATGAGCCACAGTTTTTCCCTAAAGCCTTATGCTTTTCACGTGCTGTGTAATCTATAGATACGGGCACTGCAACTACTAAACTAACTTAGAGGTTCTCAGCGCTAAAGACTACAGTAAGTAGCACAATTTAAACAGGTGAAGAGAACTATTAGCTCCAGAATAATCATAGAATCATTTAGGTTGGAAAAGGCCTTCAAGATCAAGTCCAACCATAACAGTTCATTGGGTGACATTATGCTTTACTGACAATTAAGCTGCATTCTTGACTAATACTGAAGTTACACAACCTAAAATAAGGTTGGAAGTTCTCAAAACTCAGGTTCTTTGAACAAACACATGAAGGTTTACATCACAGCAGTCAGTAGTCCAAGGCATAAGACCCCAGACTTCACTGAAACAGATGAAATTGTTGTCTCTAACAAAAAGCCTTATGAGAAATATGGCGGGGGGGTTGGGGTGGGGAAGATTTTGGTAGAAATAAAGTTCAAGTCTGCTGCAACTGAATCACTCTGTATTCTCGCAACGTTAGGAAGAATTGGTTCTTCCTTCATTATGTCATTTGATTTGTTCATATAAGTAAATTAACCTAGTCATTATATATAACATTATTGATACGTTCCTTCATAATCCTAAGAGTTAATGCTTGTTTACTCTCCTACTGTGACAAATTAGACCACCTACTCATATGCTTGTATTTATTATTAAAGAAACACACATAGAGAGCTAAATGTCTGTGATAATACAAATATTATGCAATATTTAGTTGCCTTTCCAGGCAATAATCTTGAGAGTTAAATAGTTTAGTTCCCCCTCATAAAACCAGAAGGAATACAACAGCTATACAGAGAATCCTAAATAGCTGAGGAAAAAGAATAAAGGAGAATCTATAATGGAATTTTCCCAAATTAAAGTATAAGAGTACCACTGATCAACACCACCGTGAACTAATAGCAGATACTGTGTATTTCAAACATTTTACGTGGTGCCGTTTAGCAAAGGTGTTTGGACAAAAGTTAAAAATAAAGACTACACTGCTAAAAAGCTAACCCTGGCCTTCAAGTTCAAAGAGCTTTTCATCTAGTAGACGACACTCATAACATGTGGTTTGGGCCCACAAACACATCTTGGGAGAATGCCAAGTCAAAGCCTCTGTTTTTCACACATGTTACTCAGAAATGTTTGCAGTGCCCTAAAAGGATTATTTTTTTTCTATTCAGTAAGTCGTTTAAAAAAAGTAATTATTCAATTTTTCCACATATATTAACCCCCATTATTCAGTTCCACCACACTGAAGCTGCTCAAGTCTCTGATATTCCACTAAACTGATCTGCACCCAGAATTTGATATCTAAGTCCTATCCATCATCAGCTTCATGTATTTATGCACAGATTAGTTCATTATTAGATACAGTAGCCTTAGAGCTTAATGACACAAATAAGGAATTAATAAACACACATGTAAATCTTCATCTGATAAAGTTCTATGACAAGCAAGCATGGATTGTATCACCAACATAGCTTAAAACAATTTTAGGCCAGTGCCTAAACTGCTGCATATCAGAAATCTACTTAACATCAGAAGAGCTGTGCAAATCAACACCCCTGAAAATTCAGGTCTACCTCAACCTTTAATAACATTCACAACAAAAAAAAAAATCTCCAGGACACAAAGCACTGCCTGTGGAAAAAGATAAAAAATGGAGATGCTCAGGAAATGGGAAAAAAACAACCACCATACAAATGACACTAATCTCATGCATACTACTTGCTTTGATTCCAAGACAAAGATAGATTTTACTAAAACTGCTCAGGATAAAAAGCAACAGCAATTCCATACAAATTTATCTGAGTATTTTTGAATGGACAGGACTTCAGATACTGCCTGACAACAGTTGCTCAATTATGTGTTACTTTTATTACACATAGGATTTGGCAGCAGCAGAGAACGTATGTTTGGGACAGTCCTCAAAAAATTTACTAACACTTCAAGATGCGCAGGCCAAGTTACAATATGGAGAGATCCTAAAAATACTTCATTTTGCATGTAATTATTCACTGATAACAGAGGGAGCAGAGTTAAGTTTGAGATTTGGTAATAGACTAAAAAGACAGTTGCTTCTTCTGTACAGTAACAAATTCTAAAACAAACATCTCTGTTGATGTCCTGCTACCAAAGGATGTTTCAACAACAACTGTGTTACCAGGAAAGTCTTAGATCACTAAACAATCTGTAGCTCTACACTGGAAGTATCATGTGAAAACAAACATACAGCTTCCAGAACAACCTTAGCATACATCCATTTCTCAAGATGCAGGAAGAAAAAAAAGCCAGCATTAAGACCCCTTTTTTTTTTTTTTACTATGAAACAATTTAAAAAAAACATTCACAACACCAGTGTCAGCCAAGTTCATCATAGAAGCCAACTTCTGTCTTGTGTTTGCCCACAAGCGCCGAACTATAATTAGATGCCCAAATGATGAATGATAGGCTTATACCTGTACCAGTTCCTAGGGCTTGTACCAGTTCTTGCAACACTATAATATCCTGAAAGGATTTACCAGTACTTCATATTAAATGCATTAAAAACAGGCAACAAGAAATCAAGTCACATTCAGTCAAGAGCATAACTCAGTGTCAAAACCTGTTCCGATTTAGAAAACTGTTAGACGAAACAACATTTGCATTCTATTCTGAAATCCCACATTAAGATTACTATACCAGTAACAAGCATTTTGAAACATCGAGAATCGTATCACAGCCAAACCAAAAAGGATAAAGACATAGACATATATTCCAACTGTTATATAGCCCTTCTGCTTCTAACAGCTTCACTGAGCTCACTTAAAAAAAAAAAAAAAAAACAAAAAAACAATGGCAAAACAAGGAAAACAGTTTCAAAATAAGTGAAGCAGTAAATCTTAATATCCAATAGTAATCTTGTCACCTTCTCAAAAAGCAGCTTAGTCAAAGCTCATTTCAGAGCACAGTTTTGTGGCATCTCTCTTGAAATACCAACAACGCCTCTGCAGGGAAGCTGCCGTTACCCCAGCATAGAAGGGTTAGCAATATACGTAACTCAAGTTTATATAAAGGGAGAAAAACCAGAAAGCTAAAGCACCACACCACTCACATATTAATATAACTACAGGAGACCTCCAAGCCGACCACCAGAGCTCAGTTTTGCATTTAAGGGAGAAAGGAATGAGAGAAAGAAGAAACAGGGGAGGGGGAGTTTCCTCCTTCCTCCTTCAAGCAAATCTAAATTTGCTCATTAGATCCTCTGGCTTTTAGGGACAGTTACATAAAAATATGTAGAACCCATAACGCTTAGAATAGGATTCCTTCCACTTCAAAAGGCTCTGCTGGACAAACCCTGAAACACACCAGAGATTCAGGGAAAAGGCCAGCTCTCCCTCCTGAAGCAGAAGAGACTCTGGCCAGTTGAAGCACAGGGTGGATTCACGGCTGTGGCTCTAGGGGCATTTCTCTCCCATACACCAGCCCTGCTCGCACGGTCGGGGGAGCGGCGGGCTGCGGTTCACTGGCATCTCTGATGCACCCGGCCGGCAGCTGCGGGAGTCCGGGAGCGTTGACGTGCCGTGAAATGGTGGATCTGACTGTCAGGCACATTTTACAATACGGAGAGATAATAAGCCTCTGCAAACCAAAGCTGGGAAGGGATAGCAGGAGGCAGGCAGGGAGCGGGACCAGCAGGGCAAGGCCTGGAGGAGCTGTCAAGCCCAGCCGCCTCCCCCCGCCGCGCCGGGCGGCCCCAGCCCGGGCCCCCCTCCGCCAGAGCGGTACTTACGTGAAAACAAAAAATAAAGTAGTCGAACCCACTAATAAGGCAGCTGCTGTGGAGACAGGGATGTATTTAGTAGGTTTAAACCTCTTTCCAGTGCTGCTGGGCATCCTGTAGTTTACACATCACTATGTAAATCCGAGCCGGGAGGATGCGGGGACCCTACGGCGCGGGGAGAGCGGGACCCGGACGGCGGGGAGGGACGGGGAGCAGCTGACCTCCAGCACAGGAAATCCCACCCACACCGCCCGGCCCACTCGGCTGATGTCAACCAGCCCCTTAAGGTAGCGCTGCGGGGAGAGGGGCGCGCAGGCAGCGCGGCCCCGCGGAGCCCCGCGGCGCTGCGGGCGGCCGGGCCGGAGCGGCTGCTCGGGCGGCCGGAGCGGGCCCCTCCCGCAGCAGCGCTGGCGGCTGGGTGGGTCTGTCTCTCCCTCTTACAAGAAAAAAAAAAAAAAAAAACCAAACAATTTATTGAGCTCTACAAGGCGCTCTGGGGGACACAAGAGCTATTCTAACAGCTCGCACTACAGCAGTGCTCTAGAGCCGCGTTGCAAAATCCCTCGGTCGTGCGCGCTGCTCCAGCACCCGCGGAACCCGGCGGGGCTGTGCGCCCAGGAGAGGGTCCGCTCAGGGGAAGCGTATTGCGGGACCAGGGCCTGCAGTAAATTCAGTCTAGTCAAGCTGGACGTAAATTGTGCAGTTAGCTCAGGGAAAAAGCCCTACATTTTTTTCAACTAAATCCAGTTTCATAGTATTAAGAGAACTGCTGCACTCTGCCAAATTTACTTGTAAGAATAATAATTGAGTGCAAACATAACCGAAATTACACTATATGCTGTCCTTTTTAAATCTAGCCATTACCATCAAGAGGCAGAAATGAGGTAATTTAAGGTAACATCTGAAAGTTCACCAAATCTGCTTTCTAAAGCGCAGTGTGTGAATAGCTCCTCTGTTCCCATTCAGGGGGCACCACCCAGAAGCTCTCCTTAGTCAGAAGTAAGCCCCAGACGGGAGGAAGGGTTCGAGGACACTTGGCAGTTTAGAAATCAAGAACAGGAGCTGCAGCTTGCTCCTGCCCTCCTGCTTTCTTCCTCAGCTAATCACTTATTTGCAGCTGCCAACATGTAGATAAAGTAACCACTGCATAAGACAATAAAAGCCACATTTCCAGTTTCTGTTGGGTGTTCTTAAAAGTAAGCTTGCTCAAGAAGGTATATACTGCACTTCTGTTCTGAAAAGACATTAACATTTCCCATTTTAAGACCAAATGAGCTCCACAGTCCTAGAGGTATTAAGAACAGAACAAGTGAAAGTCAACAAAAAATCAAGTAAGGGTCCTCAGCTTTGCAGGTTGCAGCAAAAAAAAAAAAAAAAAAAAAAAAAAAAAAGGTGAGCATCAGCTTTAATATAAGCAAATCCAGCAAGTTCCAGCCTGAAGGCATATGGTTATGTGAAATCTCAGCTTTTGCTAACAACTGCCCCCCTCAAAAAAAAATAAAAGTATTCTCTAGCTCTCTGAGAACAACTTTAAAAATGTCAAATTTTATCCAAAAGGGACTAAAGCCAGAATACAACTTAAAATGAAGTCTGAAAAGGAGGGGCAATACCTACTTAAGTTATTTTTGAATGCTTGGGGGACACTGAATATTTCCTATGCTTCACTACTGATGCTTATCATGCCACCTTATTGAAATAAATGATTCCTAAAATGCTTTTAACCAACCAAATGGTCAACAACTTTACACAGAACCAAACTCTGTACACTAATCTGAAAGCCTTCAGGTACATCTACACTAGCATTTTAAATTGGATCAAAAGTGTATTTTGGAAGCAAATCTCTCAGTCACTGTCACTTACCACAGTTTGATGCATATTGCTGAGTGGTTGGTCTTAAAGTCTCAGCCAGAAGATACATTTCAGAAGCACACCTAACATACTCAGGTTATGAGTTAGTTTAGCACAACTTGCATGACAAAAGCAGAGACTTGATCACTTTTATCAGATCAAACCCCTTCCTCTTCCCCACTCACACCGAATTCTTGAAGAATTTCAGTTGCAAACAGAACCCTGAATATTTTTCCACTGATATTTTTATTTTAAACTGGAAAATGTTATCATAAAAAGCATTGTAGACCATTTATGAAGTCTGGTTAACATTCGGTAATGGACAGTAAGACACTCAAATGCACTTCTAAGGGCTTGAAAAGTAGTAAGGAAGTTATCTTCCAAGTGACAGTCAGACCTTCATTTTTAGCATGGACATGCAAGTTTCCTTTCTAGGTGAGCAACAGATGCATCCTGACAAGTGTGTAGCAGGAGTAGGGACATAAGCACAAGTTTATTAAGATACATATTTGGAGGCTGGTGATTTACTTAAATTTAATTCTTCTTAAGGACAAAGCCTTTCTGGGACAGTAACATTCCTAGATACGAATACAGGAGTTATTTTTGCAGAGACTATTCCTACTCTGTTCTCTGGACCTCATTACTGACGATTGCATTTTCCTATAAGGATTCTCACCTCTCTAGAAAGTCTGCTTGTCAAAGGCAGTTTTGCAAGTGGGGAGGATTAAGTGCTCCTGCTCCTTCCATCCTTCAGAATGTACTTCCCTTTATCATTCTGACACAGTAATGCTTCTCCACAGCCTCACTGTAACAGCCCCAATTTAGAGAGCCAATTTTTCAAGCCATTCCTATTCTGAAGGGAGGTATGGGAGGTATTTGGCAACAAGCAACTGTGCTTTTTTCTTTTTTTTAATTTCTCAGTCATACAACAATTTTATAGAGAAGGACACTAAAGATAACAGTTCGAGTATGTGGTATCAGGGCACAAAGAACTGTAGCTTTCACAGCAGCAAAAGGCACATCTCCAAATCTCAACTGATCTTAAAGATCACTGTGCAAGCCCAGTCTGGGCTGCAGTCATCCTGTGGATCAAGATGCTTTTCCTGTGCAACAGTGCAGTCTTGCAGAACCAGCAATTCTAAAAGAGGGGCGAGACATTCCATGTTACAAGGCTACAGTGTTATGCTGAACTGTATTTTGAGACTTTTTTTTTCTGCTGCACGTTGTAGATTACCTATCAGAAAGCAATACATTTCTGTAATTTGGTGTCCAGTAATTCCCACAGTTAACCTCATTTCCTTCCCACTAACGTTCCAGTTCTTGAGAATGGTTTCTTTTCAAGATGCCATAAAGCACTGCTGAGAAATGCTGAATCTCACTATTAAAAGGCAAGTATATTAAAAGCCATGAGATGACTTTACCATTCAAACAGTAAGGATGTGTGAGAAGGAGCTGACTAAAGCAGGATAGGCATGTCTCAGAGTTGATCTCCTAGAACACATTTCAAGGACTGTAGTTTCTGGATTCACATTACCTTACTAGCATGCCACACGGTTTTGGCAGTGCTGATGTAAACAGCAATGGCAGCATAAGTTAGGAAAAGATTTAATGACTACCTAAAGAACTAATATAGCTACAAAGAAGAATCTAAAAATAATCTGGCAGAGTCTGGCTAGCAATTGCATGTCTTTTTGCAAGATTCTACTCTGAGGTTTTACCCCAAAAGAGAAAGGACCAACCACAGAAGCTGTGTTGGAGCCACATGCAAGGATACCATGGTCAAAGCCGGCAAGATGAAGGGAAGATCATGGCAGAGCAAGCATCAAGAAATCTTGACTGCTGTGCAATTTTCATATCAGATCATGGCACTAATGTTAGCTGGAAGTCTTAGCTACATGGTTAAGAAAGTTCTTTTGTTCTACACACTTGGAAGCACTGAAAATCCCTGGAATCTTTTATCGATCATTGGATAATTTAGCTCCTAGCTTGTATTAGCAGCTGTCATTAAACAATTACCAGAATAAATAATTCTACTTTTCTTACTGGATTTGCTTACTGAAATAAATGTATTTGCCAGCCCATGTAATACTGGTGAAATAGGTGTTTAGTAAAAGCTGCCTCTCCCCTCAAACTCGCAGTGCTCAAGACAGAAGACATCTGGATCATCACGTGCAGCACGGTGCTAGCAAAATGCCCAAGCAAGGCTAGACGGTTCTGGGTACAAGCCAGGCCTCTTAAGTTACCTACTGCAACTTTAACATGACAATTTTCATTTAGTTGTTCAAGTTTATTTCTTACTAGATATATCAAGAAATTATTGCCTAATAATGACTTTTCAGTAGCCTAAACCAGTATCCCACATAATTTTCAGATTTGTCTAATAGATACTTTCCATGGAATAGCATTTGCTTAAAATGGAACCCATGTAACATGTGTTTCCTAACTGCAGTGATGGTGCAAGTCAAGTTGCATTTATTATGAGACTTTGATTACTTTGTTTGCAGACTGATTCCTCAAATCATCCCAAGGAACTACTTACATTAGAATAATGTAGGCCTCTGAATAGTTCTGAAGATTCACCAACCATCCTGTTTAAAACCATTAATAAAGTGTAGTTCTCTGCTAGGACGGCATATCACTCTAAATGATGCTGCTGAAACTCAGAAAGGCAACAGTGGTTCATGTACCAGCAAACAAATTAAGATATTAAAACTGATAAGCACTATTTATATGAAGCAGTGTAACTTTAATTATACCTAGCAGAATAGTCTTGAGAAATACTCTCCAAAGAAGGCAAAATATTTAGTCATTTTAATGTCCAGTCAATCTTTGTTGACGTTTACATCGCTATAATTGCTTGTATGGAAAAACAGCATTAGAAAACTGTGGAGTTCTAGCTACTTGAAATGGTGACAGCCAGCACAACATGAATAGGCAAGAACTTGTGACACCATTAGCTTCTCTGTTAACTCATAAGTAAATTGCACATCTTGATAGAACAGTTAATACCTACAATACAGTGAACCAGTAAATTTGTAGTCAAGACTGGTAACAACAACAAAAAGCTAGAATTCTCCAGCTTGAAAGTTGATAATAAATTTAAGACTAAAGTTCATTAAACACTTGCAGTAGTCAGACTTCTACAAAATGTTTGCTGTATGTAACATCTAATCCAGAATTGTGCTAGCACCTTGTTTGTACTTAAAACATTTGTCATTATATTGGTTAAAAGCATAGCAGACTACACCCCACAAACCCTAACTTCACCATTCATACTTTAAAAAAGTATTTCTACAAATGTAATTTATTTGTGGATCTAACATAGGTTGCATTTTCACTAGGAGACTATAGCAAACCACACAAACAAGTCTTTCTATTATGAACAGGCCTTAAGCAAGTGGTTAATGTCTAATCAGAAAGAAGTGGACAAAGATATTCCATGCTTAAATTTGCATATTGGAAAAATACACAGGTGGTCATAAACCTGATGCATAACTGTAGATACTTATAACAATTCAACTATTAAATATAAGGGGTTTTTTGCTCCTGTGCTTGTCAACTTTTACAACTTCAAGAATTACTTATAATTGCACAAGCTGCTTACTTGAAAGGACCCTGTTTTCACATGAACTATTATCTGAGAAATCACTTACATGTACAATCCACTCTACAGCTGATTACTTCAAACTTTTCTTCATCAAGAAAAATAATTCTGATCTGTTGCAGTTAGTTTTCATTATCTCCTGACTCTGAAAATGATACATTGTAAAACATTTAGTTAAGGTTAGTGAAAGACTGGCAATTCCTCTTGCTTCTATTTTAAAGAGTAATTCTAGCTAAATATGAGGAGGACCTTTAAAGTAAATCATAAACCATCACAGAAGTAAAAATAATGAAAAAAAATTCTTTGTACACACCGCACTTCATTAAACGAGCACAAGTTTACATATAGACAAGTCACTAGCTTGCCATGGACACCTTAGAAAATACAGCTTGCTAGAAACAAGCTGGACCAGCCAGAACAGATAGGTGTTACTGGGATGAGAAGGGCATAAATGAAGACGGATACAAAGACTTAATTGGAGAGAGGTTTGGTTTGTTTTAAATAACCACACCACTGTTTAAACACTCAGCACTGAAAACTGATGGCAATCTGTACTGGAGATCAAAAAACAATAAGGCAGTTCATAATGTTATCTCCCACACAATCTCCATTTCTACACATATAGTTGCAATTCAGTATTAATAAAGTATCAAGAAGAGTTTCCTGAACTCTGAATCAGATAGTCTTGTCTTTAGAGAAGTTTCTAGTAACATAAAACTTTTTCATTAAGTTATTCAAAGGAACACATTAAGAAAAGAAGCAGCATAAGGCATAGCATTTCTGTTTTGGGAAGTCAAGAGTTCAGCATGACTCATCTTTAGCCATAAGGCACAGCATTCACCTTATGGACCTGACAAGATTCTCAAACTGGGAAATCCATACTCCTAACTGGTACAGTTGATCTGGGCTGCAGGTGCTCCTTCGGAGGCAGGGAAGTACTGTTCAGGCTGTAGAGGCTTTCTGAACCAAACACCTCCCCACACATCTACACAGAGCATCAAGTGAGAAAAGAGATGGTATACATGCACACCTCAGCCCTCCTCTGCACAGCCCTATCACAGGTCTTTCCATGATAAAGGTATATTACAAATGAATCTAGTTTTTCAGTTAAATCCTTCAAATTTTTAAATTAAACAAGTACCAAGACATTTAGTAACAAAACTGAAAGAACTATTCACTCATATTTTTGCCCTTTACATACAGGTATTTCTTGAGCATGTTGCATCAAAAATAATAAAGACTGACAATATTCTCGTGTCTGCATAGTGTTGAGAATAATTTTAATTTTCTGAGCTTTTGGTATCACAGAGAACTTCTGTTTGATACAAGCTATCTCATTACACAAGAAAAAAAAATCATCATTTACAACATTAAAATACAGCAAATTGGAGTGTTTGCAATTTGTGAATGAGACATGTAGTATCACTAATACAAGCTTATTCCTGGAGAAAAAAAACCCTACCTGTTAGTGTAGTCTTCAGAAGAATTAACACGAGATTTAGAGAGAACTATTTTGAATTAATTTTTATAATAAAAACCTTAAGTCTATTTTTTTTTTTTAAGATCTTACCTACCTGTTAAGAAGATACTATTTTGATGGTCATCAAAATTTAACTATTTCTAAGTTAAATTAATTATTCAGCTGTCATCACTCATCCATCCATTCAATTTTATGCACACACAAAACATTAGTACCAACAAAGGCTGTGTTAAGCCTAGCTATATAGCATCTTTCTGCACTTGAAGCAAGCAGAATTTGTACATTGCAGACTTTAGCACCTGACAATGCTTTACTCATTACATTGTAGTTTCCATTTTTACCAAAAATGGATTAAAACATCTCGAAGTCCTTCACTTGTACCTTCTGTGAGATTCAGCCATATTCTCAGTAACTGTTACTGAAGTTACAAGTGCTTAAAAAAAAACTTTATTCTCTATCCAGCTGCATTGACAAAACTGTACTCCCTATTATTTTAGCCTACATTTAAACATGCTAGGAGTTTCCTGGCCTCACTGAGAGTAAAAATAGCCACTATTCAACTGCAGGTGTTAAAAGAGCCTAGAATCCAATTTGTCTCTAGAATCTTCAGGCAAATTAAGGCTCAACACACCCCTATAAAGTACAGAAGATAAAGACTCAGTGAATCTCTTCTGTACTGTGTCTGAACAATTATTTAGAAAAGTTTCTGTATGATCCATTTTTACTGTAACACAACACCTTCAAACAGGGTCAGACATTTAAATCACACTGAAGTTATTGCCATTTCAGAAACAAATATAAGACAACTGACATTTCAGTAGTTGCCCACAAATTCAGGAATGAACTTCTGTATTACAAGCCCACCTTTTTGTCAAAGGACTACTAAAATTTTTAACCTAAGTTATTATTTTAAGACTCTGTATTGCCTGACAATACAGGTCAGGTTCTATCACCTCAATAACCCTCTTAACTGTGAAGATGCTGGGAAAGCAAGAATAGCTGGTGATGGGGGAGGGGACAAGACACTACACCAGCTGGAACTCTAGAATACTCAATATACAGTAAGCTACAAAAACATTTAAAGGACATCACTTGGTAATCTATGTTACATATGGTCAAGTTTATCATTAGAACGACTTACACAAAAGCAGCCTTATTTCACCGAGATCAATTTTAAAAATACTTACTGCTTTTTAATTTGTAGAACAGCACACTTATGGCTTCTAAAGTGACCAGAACATTGACTAATCATCCTCTAGTTTAGAAGACTAAGACATTCTTCAGCCAAATGCTATCCAGATAAATTATTTTACTTAGTGGTCCCTCATAACTTGGCTCTTTTGAGACTGCAGATTTGCATTAAGGATGGTTGTAATCCATTAACAGTAAACATGGATCAGTTAACCTAAACAAGAGTGGAAATGTCTTGAGATCATTTAAGCATGCATGAATAAGTAATGAGGGGAAGACAGAGTAGTAAAATTAAGCAGTCGCCAATATCTAAGACAAATTAAGTCATTCAAGTGTTTCCTCCCCTTCTCTGTACAACGTTTGACAATGAAATCAAACTCACCCATTTTGCTGCCTTCATCACTTCGCCCCTGCAGGCTAAAAATGCATTCCCAGTAAGAGTTTTTTAAATAAAAAGCAAATCCTTTAAATGAAAATTTAAATTTATTTTGAAATTTTAAAATGTAATTTCTATCAATTTAGACACTGTTTGACATCATCAGATCAGAGAATTTACAGTGACTCATGGATAAAGATTTGGCTTTTACATTCAAATATTAAGAACTTCAAAATAGCTTTGTCTTATTTCCAAACCAGAAACACTGAAGAGTATTTTATTTTGCCTTTCAACCATCTTTATTAATTAACAGACTTCTGATATTGGCTGTACTTGAAGTGGAACATGCACAACAACAGACTTTGTTTGAATCGAGTACCTTAACTGCAGTTCCAGATTTAAGACTAATTCATTGTAGCATCAAAAGGCAGTGTTAAGTAGAAAGACAAGATTATTAAAAAAAAAAGTATTTTCCTCAGTAGACTGAAGAGCCTGAACTACTTGGAAAGCCTCTATGAGGATAAAAAGGTCTTACTATTCAATGTTAACATCATACAGTCTTAAGGTTTAGCAAGTTTTGTCCAGTTTTCATAATTATTTTGGAAACAATATTACAGATTTCCATCTCTATCCCAACAATATCCTTGTATTAGTCATTAACAACAAAAATTAATCCGAGACTTAAAATTTGCATTGATTTTATTGCTTACTATATTTTATTTTCCTACTCTCTAGCACTAACTTGAAACTGGGTAAATAGAAAACATCTGCAGGGAAAAGACTTGATCAATTTGCCCATTCTGACAAGGAAAGTGCCCTTCAAGTGTGTACAACATACTTAACTGTTCCGAAGTGAATGTCAGACCGCCACTCCCCAAGAGGGACAGCCTCCCACCATGCATCTTAAAAGTTCAGAACCCTTCCACTTTGTAAAAAACAATGCAAGCTCCAAAGTCCTGAAAAAAAGCTTACAAACTTTAGAGTATAACTTTTATGATACACTGACACAAGGAATCTCATAGTAAGGTACTCAAACAACTAAGATTCCTTTGTATACACCTTAGTATTATAACATGTTGCTGCTGCCTTCAGCCAGCAAGTAGTACATCAAGGAAGATCTAGGACCACAGGAAAAACTTTGTGCTAGAGGCAAGCATTTGTAATATTAACAAATTGGGGGTGAGGGGAGAGAGTAACGGAGATTTTGTTTTGCAAGAGGAAAATACTTCTCAAGTCTAATGTAATACATTTTCTCCCCCACCTTTATTTTCACTGTCCGATGGAACATCATTAATAGTGTGCCAGGAATGCTCTATGACCTGATTCCAGAAGTCTGCTGCATTTCAAGAATCACAGGCACATTCCCTGCTCAGGAACACACAGCAGAAGTGTGAAAGGTCTGTTATATTACAGTTTTAGAAGCCACATAAAAAAATGTATATAATCTTAACCTTCCCTGCTGGTAAGTCTGTTAACCTAGTTAATCCACAGGTATGATGATATGCATCTCAACACCCAACGAAACAAGTGTGTTCATAAGCCTCTGAAGTATATAGAAAACTCAGTTCTGTCCTCTGATGCTGTTTTCAAGTTTGTTTTATTCACTCTTTTGGATGTCTATAAATAAGTGTTTCCACTATGGAAAAGAAAGTTAGCACAGTACATTTTCATGACTGGGGAATGGTTTTTCTGAAGACATCCTCAAAAGGGCAAAAGCTTAGAAAAAACAACCTGAATGTTGAATTCAGTTCCTTAAAGTCCCTTGTAAAAATTAATAAAAACCAAAAAAAAAAAAAAAAAGAAAAAAAGAAAAAAAGAAAAAAGTAAAGGAAAAACTGCAAGGCCCAAGATGATTTATTGCTTTTCTTCAGTTTTTTCCTTGGTTTCTTTCTTCTCAGATTCTTTGCTCTCTTCCTTTACAGAAAGCTCTTCTAGCTTTTCAGCAACTTTATCAGCACTATCATTTTTGTCTGTGCCTGCTAAGAGATTGATTAGAAAAGAAGTTACATACAGGCAGTAATGGATTTTCCTGTTACAGGGGAAGAAAGAGTTGAGAAGTGGAGGGTGAGGAGAGACAGCTGATATTCAGAATAAGAACAAAAGTAAAGGAGTTCTTCACTGAGCACTGAAGTGATTCATTCCATTCCTTTTCCTTTGGTAATTACCTCAGATGCCATAATTCAAGAAACGCCACTTGCATATTTTAATCACTAAATGAGAGCCTAATCATAGTGACTGAGAAACATCTAACATTTGGTCAGCTTTGCTGCTACCAGTAACAGACTCCATACAGTGTCCAGTCAAGTAAATGTCTCGAGTCCCTAGCTTTTTGCCTGTCTTAAAAAAAGACCCAAACCAAACCAAAACACAAAAGTTTCCCAGTTTGAAACAGGGGAATAGGAAGCTCTTAAGACTGAAAATTATCTTGAAGAGCACCGAGTGCAGACTACTAGTAATCTGTACTTTAGAAAGACGGAAGTGTGTATTTTACATGGCAAGATATCTTGTCACACAGGCAATTTTACAAGGCAGTGGATTAATCTATTAAACAGAGAGACCTGTGAAGAAATGCTACAACTTCAGACATGCTAACAACTATAAAAATTAAGTATTCCACTTGCATGCTTTTGTATTTGTGAAATTTGGGAAGGGGAACTGGAAGGAGGAAATATCAGTGTGGTTGCAGTGTTCACAGTTCATTTGTGTACTATAAACCAGAAATGCTTCCTTAGTAGCCTTTCCAAAAAGCAATGTCCCAACAGCAATTGTAACAGCCTTCTACAAGAAAGAAGGCAATTGTCACTCCTGTGAACTATTACTCTTGCAGACAGAAAAAGCACCTGAACTGAAGGTTGCAGTTCAGTACAGAGTGAGTCTGCTAAAACACAATGATACTCCAGGGGGCTATAACCACTGCAACAGCTAGAAGAAGTGGCATGGTACTACACTTAGACTTTTAACCTTACCTTTCTTTGCTCTCTTGTCTACTTCATTCCTGCATTCTTCAAATTTTGCCTTGAATTTCTGTGCATCTGTTTCCATAAAGACAGAATATTTTTTCATTAGTTTTGCCTCCTTGCAACATTAAATACTTCCAATCTCAAGGAAAAATTCCTGTAAGTTTTGTGTAAACAAAACTTGTAGGTACTTATGAAGTAATCTAGTAAAATCATACAAGACACTATGCAAAATTCTTGAATCACATCTTTGTGCAGAAGCAGTTTATTTTCTTTAGCAAGTCTATTAAAACAGCTTATTTTGCAAAGTATTTAAAACATAATGCCAGAAGGAGCTGTTTTGTAGTTACTACAACTCCCAGCTGTCCCTAGCCCACAGGCGTAAGTGTATGATGTCAGTAACTGCTAATATGACTGTCTGTGTGCAAGAGACAGAAGATTAGCTTTGAACTACTATGCTTGTCTGCTACACCATACACTAAAAGACCTCCACATCCTTACTATGTTAAGAACCTTAAGTTATAAAGAATGAAAGATAAAGCCTGTTACATTAGTACATCATTTAGATTCAATACCCAAAGGCCCAGACTCAAGCTATTCCTGACCACAATAGCTAAGGAAGCATAACTATCATTTGGTCTAAACTACCACTTGATTTAGCAGTCATTCCAAGCTACAATAATGACCAAGTTACAATAATGTTTCTACACAAGTAATACAAGCAACAAGATGCAACAGTGGATCAGGCAAGGTACTTTCTAACACCAGAACTATAAAGAAGGTAATTTGGTATGCCAGCTTGGTCTGACTGGCCACATGAGGTCACTGTTGCCCCATAGGAATTGAGAAGCTACTATGAAACTAGTCCAGGAAGTAGTTGTAATTGATTCCTTTTCAAGCATCTCATAAAGGAAAGATACTTGAAGGGCATACTTATGTGTGTCCACCTGTCATCTGCATCAGTACTCCAGTGGGTAAACTGGCAGAGAGGACTACTCCCTCAAAACAAAACACTCAGTAAGCTGAACAACCTCTACCAGAGACATTTTTCAAAGATACGCAAATAATTACCAAAACCCTTTAATTTAATATTTGATTAAGAAGGCAGCAAGCACTAAGCAGGTGGATCAGAAAGATTTATTTGGCTAAGCAATATGTTGTTGGAGACTTGAGGAAAAGGAAGCAAACAAGATATACTAAGTTCTTCCCAGATGTAGGCAAATTCATCTAGCTTTAAAATATACAGCCACTTTACTGGTCATCTAGCATGTAGGGAGAAGAGGTAGCTAACACACCGAATTTGTGTGGTAAATGGTAAAGCAACAAACACAACATTTTTTCTCTTTCATTTTGCTTTTTTTAAGAAAAACACCCCCACTTTCATTCAATCCTAAGGAGCTATTACTCAAAACAAAGAAGATACTACATACTTCATTAAAAAAAAAAAAAAAAAAAAATCAGATGTTCTGCTAACACAGGTGGACCAGAAATGTCAGATCAGTATTTCCTTGCTTCTAATGCTAAAATGTAATCTTAAGTACAATTGAGCACCTGAGATATACATGTAGCTTGCTTTCATTTTAATCTCTACCCCATAGTACTACTGCTTTTAGTTTTAGTCTAACTGGCATTACATTTGCATGAAATGGTTTAAGTTTAAAAAGTGCCAAAGGCAGAAAGCTCTATAAATACTACTGGAGACCTAATTATTACACTGTTGGTCAACACATATTGTTAAGTGATTAACTGACTTCTCTTAGTTAAAGCAGTAATTAGCCAACACAACCATGCAGTGGTAAGACATAGCGTATCTACATAGCGGTTTATAGCAGCATTTAAACATGTAGCATAATATAACAGTATACAACCAGTGGAAGTTCAGTGCCAGTCCACTCACTCTCTGCATTTAAAAATCGGATTGCCAGAAGTTCAGGCTTGGGGCTTTCATCTGCAAAGTCAGCATGTGTGTTCCAGACCCATGCCCTGTCACTCCCTGCGTTAGGCTTCAGCTCCATTAGGGGTGTGACTGAAAAGAAAGCATTAAAAGCATCTTACTGACAACTAACTGTGATGATTATGAAAGCACTTTATGCAGAATTACTTTTGAATAAATAGAAGGCAATGGTGCCCATACGTTTTTTTTTCCTTGCATAGTCAAATAAAATGATGCAAGCCAATTACTGTACAAAAGAATGCTAGATTCCCTATTGTTAAGAAACTGAGAGTTTGATTAAATTCTTGTTTATAACAAGACTGTGATACTGAGAAATGCAGTTGCTAAGCACAACTCTGAAGTATGGTCAAATGGTTTAGGAGGAAAAGGTGTCCAGACAGACAAACAGCATTCATTCTTCTTTTGCACGCTGAAAATACTACTACAAAAAAAATATTTTAGAAAAGCATTATTCCTACAGTTAGTCATCAAACCGGGTTAATTTATCTCCTATCACTTTAAAAGCTCTACTACAAAATATTGTAGAATTCTGCAGTGATGCAAGATGTGCACAGCAGATTTTCAATCCATTTGTTCCTTCTCAGTAAATAGAGCCCTTTCCCTCCAAAACACTATAATTACTTCACCTGACCGATTGGAGAAGTTGGAATGTTACTTCTCACAAGACTTTTTACATTACACACATGCAAAGTTTAAGTAGAGCTTTTTTAAGCCTCCGATGCCTGGGTACTTTGCTTAGTTCGCGAGAAATCTGAAGAGTCAACTCACTTCCTTGCATTTTTTAGATTTAGATATCAGTTTATATTTTGTTTCAATTAATGTTTCGCAAAAATTAAGTCTTTTTGTCTGCCTGTGAGTCAGCATAAATTCAATAAAGAAATCTATACTGAAAGCAGTTTTTTCCACGAGCAAAATCTTTGATATGAACACTGTAAGTTGATCAATTCTGTTTTGCATATATGCAACATTTTCCTAAACAAAAGGTTTATTCTTACTGGTTGGTCTGAAGAGATCTACCCAGAGAAAACAAGCGTTATTGCTTCTGACTTCAGATTTGTATTAAGCTACTTCAAACAAGTCATTTCAGGTTAATCTAAATCTAACTAAACTCCACAAAATACTATATACTCTTCATATAAAAAAAATGATGTATCACCAAAGCAAGCAACAAAGTATCAACAAATTAGTCTACTTGTTGCTAGTTATATTGATTTTCAAGTCTGTCTGGCCCTTTCATGTTTATTTTTATTCAAAAAGGATCAAAAGAACAAACCTCTCCTGCTCCAACAGCTCTCAATACACATTCTTTTTGAATGAGTTAGCTGAATATACCATGCTAATTTCAGTTTATTTCACAAGAAAAGGCAGCCACAGATTAATTTAGCACCTTGCTATCTGTTTTCTGATGGTTAAGAAATTGCTTCTACCAATTCAAACATTTAGCTCAAAGTAGTAAATTATTACATGATCACTTATTTCTCATTCTTTTATGAAAACAATACAGTGTATGTAATTTCTTACTCTAAACAGTATTAATGCCTATATCTTCTGCACTCTATTATAGAAAAGCCACACATACACACATTGGGAGTAATCACGTAATGTCTGTCTATCCCAGCTAAATTTTAAAGTGTCTTTAGAGCAGTATCAGAGTCTGAAGAAAAACAACTTTAAGACTCAGCCTTGCTGGCAATCACCAAAACCAACTACAGCTTCTTTCCATTAATAAAAATAAGCCCTCATTGGTTTTGATGCTTGTAGCCTTGTGTGCAGAGCAAGAGACATCTATACCTATAGTCTAATATAAATTTGATGCCTGCTTAAAGACATACAGCAATTCTCTAGCTGCTACTACAATGCCACTGAGCTCAATTAACAATGTACAATTCTACAAGCTTATTTTTTAAAACAAAACCAAGGAGTATAGCAATGTATAACATACTATAATGGTTTGCACAGATTTTCAGGGTTTTATCCCTCCTCATGAGGAGGCGAATTGTTCCCTTCTCCTTGTGTTTCAGGAGTTTTACATCACCAGTTCCGCGTTCTTTCCATTCTGGAAGGTCATTCTCAGACGCAAATCGGAATAGCTTTGCTCGCCTTGAAGAGAAAATTTAAGAAGTTAGCCTGCATGTAGAAACATTTATTGAAGCAGCATACTCAACTGAAGTTTTTTTTTTTTAAAAGCCACACACAGGAAAAGAAACATTCCTTTTGTAAGGTTCCCTGTTTTACTTCAGCATATATATATTCAGAAAGTGCTATGATAAATTCAAATTTAATAACAAGCTATTAGGAATTATGTAATAGCTATACTAAAATTCAACAGGTTCTAGACATACTTTTGGGGGATGATAAACACATTTGGTGTAGGCAACCTTTTAAATTAAGGTAGCTAATTAACAGGGTTTGCTATAGCTAGAGTTCTTACCTAGATGATGGACACAACCGCACATCTAACCAGCAGTATTTATTAATTCAAGAAATTGAGCAGCTTGAGGCTAAGTAAAGAATCTTATTTAATTCCAAGCCCAATATTTGATCAACTGTTAACAAAGTGCCTCACCCTTCAGAGTCACTCATTTCCTTTTAACTCCAAAAAGCTAGTAGTTGTTATTCTTACTTCAGAAATAAAGGAAGCTTAGTGCTGCACTGCAGTGCAAGATACCTGCCTCAGAACATCACTGTTTAATCTTCAAAGATGCCAATGTGACAAAAGAGAAACAGAAGTAGCTTGGGACATTAGTTAAAACTGACACAAGAGACAGCCCGAGCTCTGTTAGAAGTTTAAGATACTGCTACAGGAAAGGAAGCACCTGTTCACACTACAGGATATATATAAAAATGCACTTTTCTATAAAAGAGCAATGGATAGGGACTTGTAATAAGCTAGGTCCTTCAAGAGAAGGTGCCAGATGTTGAAGCACGCTACTGTAACATATGGTCTGATGCAGATATTCCACAAGCCTTGTTCCAAAGAAGGTTCTTTCTTCCAAGTCCAACCTGGCATTCAGTAGGTGATTCCCCAAAGTTTACCTACCAGAACAACCAGCACTCAAAAGAGGATTCTTCTCCTCCTTAACCGTTTTGTAGACATAAAAATGAACCTACAGAGCACTAGAATTTACAGTATTATTCCCTACACCAGCACTCCTCATTTAAAATAAAATAAAAAAAAAATTATTTCCATCTGATACTACACATCACATGTGCAGAGGGCTAACGGTCAAAGATCTCACTCTAACAGAGATCTCATGCTACTTGTCAGAAACTAACCATCGCTTTAATTTTCACCACAATCTGGATAAGAACTCAAATCTCTCTTCCGGATAAACAATGTCCTTCTGCAACTAAGTAAAAGCAGTAAGCCTACTTAAAGCAAACATATAATGGATCACATTAAAAACACTTCTTAAGCCTTTAGCCTACATGTTTTTTCAGGAAGGTCATACATATTAAGCAAGCTATCCTGATTTGAGAATAATCCCAATCTAAGGGCAAAATTATGTTTAAGACAACAAAAAGGTACTGCCACAAATGCCCCAATATTGTACTGCATCTGTTGCTTTTATTGTTTCAGTATATCGTACATCACCCTTTACAACTGAGGAGGCACAGCAGCAACACTATGTATGTCTCATTTCCCTGCCCCGATACTGGTTTTATACTGTGATCACACAATTTCAAACCTGTAATTATTATCCCAATTAATGCCTTCTTTTAGGCTAAACAATACTAAAGTCAGATTTGTAATATCAGCTCCCTTCTATTGTTCCAGACTTCCATTTCCTGGGGCATTATTACCAATCATCCCCCCACTCAATCTCTACCACCACAGTAAATACCAAACAATTTAGACTACCACTTCACACACAGATTCCTATCTAGCTTTTTATAAATACATTCAAGTTTAAGCCTAATACACCTTTAAATAATATAGAGAAATATATTACTTACATCTTAAAGAGTTCTTCCTCATCCTCTTCCAGAGTTTTTATCTCTTGCTCAGGAAGGGAAACTATGGGCTCAAACTGAGGATCATGGTTAGAATCATCTGCATTTTCAGTAGAGGTATCATGCTCCTCGTGTGTTTCCTGGAGAGACAAAAAAAAAAAAAGAGAAAGAACAAACACAACACTTGCTATGTACTTAAAATCTAAAGTAATCATATCTGTCTTTAAAATTAAAACATTTATGACTATTCAGTAATTAGTCTTCGTAATCACAATACCCTGAAAACAAATGGCTTTAAAGTCAATGTACAGCTAATACTAAAAAGAAAAAAAAAAACAGTAGTACTCTTATTAACTGTGCAGATGTCTGACCTTGGAGCAATTGTTGGCGCTTATGGAAAAATAAATTTCTTCAACTATTTTTCCTATATACTGTGTTTTATGCTGCTAAAGCACTACTATTTCTTAGTGGCTAATGACCTATATTAACAGGAAAAAAGAAAAAGACGTAACATCAAAGCAACCACCTAAGCCAGTTTAAGGAACACATTACATCCAGAAGTTAATTTCTCTAGTCTTATGTATTAGAATCACTCACAAGCAAATATATTTTTCAAGCACAGTTGCAATACTCCTGAAATAAGTTTTTTGCTTTAAAACTCTTCCAGCAACTTTAGGTTATGGGTAAATGGCCAAAATACTACTTCCTATTTATTTAGGCATCTGTCATTAAGCTGAAGAATTGTTTTTAGTATGTGTCCAGTAAGCGAGTGATACGCATCTCTAATACTTCATACATATGCACTAACAAGCATTGTGCAGAGAAGCCTAGAAGGGAGATTCATCTGCAAGTTTAATGAGGCCACAAACGGTTACCTCGGGTCAAGGGAACTGATTTGGGCGTTTTTGTTGTTGTTTTAATAACAGAGAAATGAAAAAACAGCCTATACATCAAAGACACTTAAATCTTATTCTCACTTTACAGATGGAAGAGTCCCCTCTTACAGGCTTTATTTACAACCTCCTTTACATATCAGGTACACACCACACATGCATAAAGCAACTAAAATGAAGTAGTCTATTTTTATTAAATACAAAAAAAAAAAAGGGAGGGCAAAGGGGAATTAGGTAAGAAATGTTGCAAAATAAATTTTGGTTATGTCAACAACATCCATCACACCAGCTATCATTAGTTTAATGTCCCCAGTCCCAGTATGTAAGAAAAAAAGCGAGAAAGACATTAATTCACATCTGTTTTCAAGAAGCAGGAAATGAAACATTGGCCAAACTTTTACATATTGTCTCCTCCAGTAGTAAGTAGCACATGCCGTATCGTAATCATAATCACTTCTCGCGCCTGACCAATTAATTACAGAAGTCATGATAAATGCATAATTAACAATAGTCAGATGTGTGAGAAACTAGATCCAGTTATCACGATAAGATCAGGCCCTGCCGCGACATCAAGCACGTCGGGGGCTGCTCCTCTCGCCAGGCCGCGGCACGAAGGTTCAGCCAGCCGGGCTGGGGGGAGGGGCGGAGCAGGGGGAGGAGGAGAAGAAAGGAGGGAAACGGGGAGAGGGACCGCTCCGGACCGCCCGCAGGGCAGACGAAGCCGCGGCGCCTACGAGAGGCTCCGGCCTGCTCACGCTGGGGAGGGGAGGCGGCCGGCGCGGGCCGGGCGGAGCGGGAGCGGACCGCCCCGGCCTCCCACGCTCAGCCCCGCCAAGGAACAGGCCTCAGGAGACACGCGTGCCCGAGCCGCCCGCGGCGGCTGAGCCCCCAGCCCGGCTCCGACGCGCGAAGCGGGCACGAGGAGGCGCAGCCGCTTCCTGCTCTCCGACAAGGCCCGGAGCTCGTCCTTCCCGGCCCCACGCCTTGCTCGCCCTCGGGCCCCCCGCCCGCCTGATCGCTGCGGCGCCGGGGGGACGCGGCCCGGCAGGCCATCACCCCCCCCGCCCCGCCGGGCCCCACCTGCTTCCGTTATTCTCCCGCCCCCATCTGCCACCCCAGCTCGCGCTGCCTCCTCTATCTCCCCGCCGCCTCTCACCTTCGTGTCCGCCATGGGGCCGGGCTCGCTACGCTCCGCTCGCCGTTACCGCCCGCCAAGCTTCCTGCGCGCGCCCCCGCCCCTCCCGCCTTTACCTCATTCCCGCAGCCCGCGCCGCGGCGGCCGCAAAGCCCGATGGGAAACACCCCCTTTCCCTCAGCCCCGCGCTCCCGCCCCGCCCAGCCCCCGCCGCAGCCGACCGGGGGCCCGGCGGGGAAAACAGCGCCCGCCGCCACCGGCCCATGTGGCCCCCGACCCCGGCCCGTCTGCTCGGCGAAGCTTTTTTTTTTCTTTTTTTTTGTGTTGCCCCGCTCCCGAGGCGCTTCCCATCAGCCCTCGCGGCATGGCCGCGGCCACCCCACGTCTCGACCCAAAATGGCGCCCACGTGCGTGACGGGGGGGGGGGGGGGGCGGCAACATTGTGGTCGCTTTTATTCTTATTTTTAAGAGGCGCGGCTGACCCCAGACGTGGGGAGCGGCTGCAGTGAGAGTCAGATATTAAAAAAAAAAAAAAAATAATTCCTCCCCACCCCGGTTGCTTTTGCAAGGGTCTGTCGGTGACGCCACAGCCCCGCCCCCAGGAGCCCGGCACGAGGAAGCTCGAGGTGTGCGCGGGGCCGGGGGGGCGCAGGAGGGGTGGGGGTTGACGTGTTGTCCAGGCTGAGGGGGGCTGGCGAGAGCATGGCGGAGGGCAGCGAGCGGGGCGGCCCCAGTCCCGCACGTCTGCTGGGGCCTGAAGATGGGGCTGAGCTGGGGAGCAAGGCCGAGGGAGGCGGGGGTGACCCCGCGGAGAGCCCCACAGCCAGCCCGGACGTGTACAGATACATTAAGGGAGACTTGTTTACCTCTGAGATCTATAAAGTAGAAATACAAAACCTTCCTAAGTACATCGGGTTCAACGATGTGAAAAAGTTCCTTGCCAAATACGGACTCAATCCTCACAAGATAAAACTTTTTGGGAGGCAGACGTTTGCATTCGTGACATTTAAGAGCGAGGAGGAGAGGGACAAGGCCATGAAAGTCCTCCATGGGGTTTTGTGGAAGAGCCGGCACCTGAGCGTTAGGCTTGCCAAGCCAAAGGCTGACCCGATTGCAAAAAAAAGGAAGAAGGAAGAGGAGATGGAGCAGGGAGAGGTGAAGCGGCCGGCTCCCTCCAAAGCCGGCGGAGAGGAGCCTCTGAGCAAGCAAATAGCAGATGTCGTGACCCCGCTGTGGAACATGCCTTACGAGGAGCAGCTGGCCAAAAAGAAGCAGGAATGTGAACAAGTGCTGCAGAAGCTGACAAAGTAATTCCTGTTTGTAAAGCTACTGTGATGTTTACAAGACTTGACCTTATGTTGGGATATAGCTTAATTTGCACAGATTCCTATCTCTAACATAGTAAGCTAGAGGTAGGTCAAAACCCAGATACCCTGACAAAGTAATAAAAGATAATCTGTGATGCTAGGACTTAAAAACTGCTCCAGCTGACAAAACTTGCTATTGCTGTTCTTGGTCAGCCTCGAAAGATTGCTGAATGAAGGGGCATTGTTTAAAGTTCTGTTGTTCCATAGACCTAAGCAGAAGAATGTTTATGCCCATAAATTTAAAAAAAAAAAATAAATAGGCAGTGTCAAATGGTGAAAGAGATCACCTGTAGAGATGATAAATAACTATTAGGATTTTCTCTTTAAAAATTACCTCAAATTTTTATGCTTGATTTTTGTACATCAGAGTATCACTTCTATCTCTTGCCTTACTTACATAGATAAAATTGGTATTCTTTTCATGCATGGGTACATTTGTAAATCTAGTATGTTCCTTTATAACTACGTTTAACTTTATTTTTTCAGGTAACAGCTCGTACAAAGTTAAGGGGGGGTTTGCCTGTTAAAAAATTCTGGAAGAAATACTCTTTATCTGATAATCTGTTACTTTTTTATGCTCCATTAAAAAAAAAAAACAAAACAGTCTTGTGCAACTGTTAACCTCAGTTTTTCTAAATGTCTACTCTACAATTTTTGTTTCTGATTTGGGCAGGGAAATAGGAAGTAACAACAGAGCTTTATTACCTTGGTTGTTCCTGCAGAAGCAGAAGTATAATAAATTGTGTTGCCCAGTAGAGGGAGTGAAAGCATCACCATTACAGGTAAAGTAATCCTAGGTAAAGTATGGAGTGGGGTTAATGAGTTTAGGGTTAAATGAATCATTTGGGTTTAAGAGAGTGTGGGCAAACTGAGTATTTGACTTCATCTTGTAATGAATGATGAATTGTACACATTGCTTTTGATGTAATATTGCTCTTTAAATAACAGGATACTGCTCTTTAAGTAATGAGACTCACTGATACTTTTTCATTATTCATCGTATCAAAATCAATGAATATCTTCCATATGAACTGAATCACCTGCATCCATTTGCAAATGTATTTAAGCATATGAGGGTTGTTTCAGGAGAAACTTGGCATGTACAAATAAGTGCTATGTAAATATCTTACATAACTTTATTTTAAATCTAGACTGAATATCGCAACAAATGTGAGTTCTTGATTGGGATTGGTGTAAATCAAGAAGACAAAACTGTGGGTTGTCGTCTTGGCAAATATAAGGGTGGTACATGTGCTGTAGTGGAGCCATTTGATACTATTCACATTCCTGCTATTGCCAAAAAAGTAGTAAAAGCTTTCCAAGACTACATAAGGTGAGCATAAGTAAAATGAGTTATCTGTAAAGGTTTTGATGTCTTACTCAAAAATCTTCATAAAATTAAATATTAAAAGCTTAGTTCTTATTCCGAGCTTTAAGACCTCAGTCTCAATTTTTAGCAATTCTTTGCTGTTTACATCTTGTGCCTAGATCACTGGGTATTTTTCCTTTGCTCTTACTCAGCTGTTCTGAGATGGAGGAACAGGTACCAGATGAACACAGCTTTATTGCAAGCAATGAGATATATAAGTCTACAATATAAAGTGTCTGTTATTTGAGAGCTTCTTCCACTAACTGTAAAGAAATACTCAGAAAAAGGCCTTTTAAAAGAGGAATTTGAATAACAAAGGTCTGTTGCTTCCTTGGGTGAGGAGAAGAATCATCCTACAATAAGGAATAAAACAAAGGCTGTAAATTTAAGCACAATACTTTTTAGAAAAAGGAGTGGTTTCTTTAAAAAGCAATTAAATCCTCAAAAATTGAAACCTCAGAAGAATCATGAAGATGGAAAGTTTGAACTTGGTATGAAGCACAGAAGCCGATGAAGGCATTACAAAAAGTTGTGTCATTCTCTGATTGTGGTGGGAATCTGCCTGTATCCTGTCTGTAATTTTGGATGGGTTAAAATGGGTAACAGGACTGGGAGAAGTAGGGACAGATTATTTTGCATTAGGAGTTATCTACTCATCAGTCTCTTTTTTCTTAATGAAGATGTGGAAGTCATTCTTTTCTTTACAAATCAATGTAGCCTCTGTTTGTGCTTAACATTTTCCATCACTTTGCATGGTGAGCTTCTTTTCTTTCAATAAAGTTGAATGTTGTGCAAAAAAATAGTTCTCTGTTAAGTAACCAAGCTTCTGAAATTTTCAGGTCAACTCCTTACTCAGTTTACAGCCCAGAAACCTATGAAGGTCACTGGAAACAGCTCACAGTCCGTACCAGCAGGAATGGCCACATCATGGCAATTGTTTATTTTAATCCTCAGGTATTTAAGTTGATCTGTGATGTTCAGCCCAGACAGCTTTAAAATTACATGAATTTGATTTTATGTATAGTGCATGCAAAAGAGAAACAGAATGATTACCTGGTGCAGTTTACCTTGCATTACTACTCTTCTATTTAGACTAATCTGATTTATGGAAATGAACAAGTATTTAATATGCTTATAGAAGGCATACGCTAAATTATATCTCTAAGTCACTGATGATTATTCTTTCTTCTTTCCAATGAAACCTTTAGAAATTAAGTAAAGAAGAGCTGGCTGATCTGAAAATATCTCTGGCAAAATACTTCACAGAAGGGATGGGAAAGAGCAGTGGCATTACATCTTTGTACTTTGTGGAGGAAGGACAAAGGTGAGGAAGTTGGCTTTGCTTTGGGGGATTTTGGCAGTGTCTGGATTTTTGGCATTTGCGACAGAAAGGTAGGTAGCACTTCCACACCATTATTTGGTCAATTTCATAAAAGTAGCAGCAGTGCTACTAATTTGTTGAACAGTTATTTACCTTCTCCAGAAGAGACTCCAGAAATTTCTCATTCTCCTGTAGTATTCACTGGATAAAGGCAGGTAGAGTTTCAGTTGGGTGAACCCACTACTAGTTTCTGGTTGTCAAACTGTAGAAGTGTTTGCTACAGTAGATGGATATTTATTACTATCAACAAGTAACTTCTGCCTCCTTTCTTCCCTATTTTATGTGATTTTTTTTTAATCTCCCCATCCTCTTCCACAGAGCACAAGGCTCATACTGTCTTCATCTGGAGATAGTGTAGCTCCTACTGTTGACACCAGTGGAACAGTTGTACACCGTGAGAAAGAAATGGCCAACAGAGTCTCTAAAAGGATATGATAAATGTTAGCCCACTATAAATTACTGCTTAGTATGTAGTACTACAATTTTTAAGATGACTACAGCTTTGGTAAAAATTGTAACAAACATGTTTGACTTCTTTTTTTCCCTTCTTTGTCTCCCGTGCCTTGATCCCCACAGGAAATCTCCCAATCTAGAGGACTTACCGTTGGAGCATGTGGCTGGTGATAAGTACATATATGAAGAACTTCTTGGCCTAAAATTTAGAATTTCTCCTCATGCATTTTTTCAAGTAAGGTTGATAGGTAGTTGCTCATTTAACTGAATTTGCATTAATGCCATTAAGTTTGGCTAATATATACCTAGAGATTTAATCCTTTTTTATATTTGGTATTATTAAATACCTTTGAATATTATGTTTGGCGGTAAAAACAGTGAATGAGTGTAAACTTGATGGGGGCATGTTGCAGACAATTTTTTTTTTTTTCTTTTTACTAGTTCAGCATCATTTGCCTCCTGTTGAATGGCAGCCTTTATGTATCCCGAATATGCAGTATATAGTTCAGTAGTTCATAGTACTAACTTTGTTTGTTTTTTCCAAAACTTGTTTCTGCCCTTCCAACATTTCAAAGCCTCAGCAGGTAGCCTATATCGTTGAAATTAAAAGTATTGAAATAGGAAGAAAGTATATGATCGCTTGGCATTGTAAATACATTGATGCAAAACTGCATTTTCTATTATTTGCCATAGATTATAGGTGACTTTTTTTTTCTCCCACGGTGTGCTTTACTTGCTCTTTAAGAAGAGAATATGCTTGCTCTAGAGGCACTGGTTTAGAAAGCTTATTATACACTACTTCCTTAACCTTAATGTGTAATTACAGCATTTACTTTAAAGGAGTATTACAAACAAGGTTAAAATAAAGCTTGTCGAGTGTATTGTCATGGTTGTAGTCTCCTGGTTTTGAATCTTCACTGCTTTCTGTTCAAGGAGAGGAAGTATTTTTAAAGTCCGGACTTTATTGCTTAGAATTTTGCTTAATTATTTTGTCTGCTGTCTCCTCTAGTTTCCACACTTGCTTTTTAGGTACTGTAGAAAATGTCATGTTTTTACTAGAATATATATGACAAAACATTACTTTGCAGAGAGAACCAATCGGGACTTTTAACAAAGGAATGGCTGTCTCTTACTGTGTGCCAGTCTAGGTCAGTTACATGTGATTTTAACTTACATGTGAAGTTGTCTGGTTTCTTAGAACCAAGAAAAAGAAAACATGCTTTCCTAAGATTCATTAATAGGCACTGACTATTTATGAAGAAGTAGACCTATTTGAAATGTAATTTCACAGGTAAACACCCAGGCTGCAGAAGTTTTGTATACCGCTATTAGGGAGTGGGCGCAACTGAGCCAGGAGAGCACCGTGCTTGACATTTGCTGCGGTACAGGAACTATTGGGATTTCCTTAGCAAAGGTGAGCGAGTGATTTTTATCTCCTGGATATAAGCTACTTTTGACAGATGTAGACTGTTAGTTCTGTTTACAATGAAAGAAAATACTTGAGGTACTTGAAATGCAACATATATCTTTTTTTTTTTTTTTTCAATTATTTTCTAATTAAACTGCTTGCAGCTGTTTCACTGAATCATTATGAAAGCTCACCCTTGTGTTGAGCAGCCTAAATTATTTTGAAAATGATTCAAGTCAAAGGAGGCAGTAGTTCTGTAGGATAGCCAAAATTTACTCAAATCTATCCACTTAACTAGTTTGGGATTTCTCAGAAAGCTTTGGATATCAATAGCCAATGTTTCTATTATAATTTTTAGAGCGGAGCTTGTTAGACCGTGTAAGGAAGTCTGGCCCCCCCGAAAATGAAAGACACCAGCGTAACTGGAGTCTGTCATGTACAGGTTGGGATAAATGGTGTTCATCCCACAACTTCAGTCTAAGAAGTCCCTATTTATTTGCACAGGTCCCTTCTCAGCCTTTTTTCTGGCTGCAAGGCAACAATTCTCTGACCAGGTACTAGTCAACATTCATGTATAGTAGTTAACTGCAGATGCTGTGAATAATGTTGAAGTTTACATTTACATACCACAGACGGATCTTTTTCCCTTGATTCTATAGAAAGTGAAGAAGGTGATTGGAATTGAGCTCTGCCAAGAAGCTGTTCAGGATGCCAAAATGAATGCCCAGATTAACGGTTAGTTAAGCGAAAATGCCAAGATCTTTGTTAAGAAGTACAGTACTTGTATAGCTAGTTTCTCTTTACGTTATCTAAACAGCTTAGAATTACATGTTGTTGATAGTTATCTTGTCCATTTTAAACATTTAATCTCTCTGGAAAACAAATACCATGTTAGTCTGTGAGATCAATTTTCCTGTTAACTAACAGCTAGCTTTTTTTTTTTCTCCAAAAAGAAAACATTTCAGTGTGAAAGTGATATGAAGCCACAATTACCCTCATAAATAAAACATTAACAGTAGCTGTTTTTTGTGGGGTTTTGCTTTAGTCCAGATAATGGAAGATGCTCAGGTTAGTACTGCTTAAATGATCTGAAGTACCAGTGATTGCTTAAATTACAGATTTCAGGGTAGACTATGCAGTTTGTAGTTTCTAAGACATCCAAATTTAATAACTGATTTGAGTATACTGAAAGATGCTTTGACTAGCTCAGTGCTCTGATAATATCTTCTCTTTTTTTTTATAGAACTGAATAATATTGAATTTCATTGTGGGAAGGCTGAAGATCTTGTTCCTTCCCTGATTAACATATTAGCTCCTCAGAACCTGATTACTATTGTAGATCCACCACGAGCAGGGCTACGTAAGTTTACCTTCCCTTAAGTTTAAAGTCTGTTCTCCTTCTTGGGGTTTGGTGGTGAACCTCAGAAAATACCAATGGAGTAAATGAAGTGGGAGGCTTCTGGTACAGCTTGAGACAACTGGGTATTGCAAGAGTTTTGTTTGTGCTGGAGTATTATCTGGAATTTTTCTGAGAGCCTGTCACTGTGCACAGAACTGGTAAATGGCTGTCTTGGTTTTGATCATCTAGATTCCAAGGTAATTCTTGCCATTAGAAGAGCTGAACATCTGAAGAAACTTATCTATGTATCCTGCAATCCCAGAGCTGCAATGAATAACTTCGTGGAGTGAGTATTTCTTTAATTAAGTTGACCAAGTAAATGTGGTAAGAAGAAAAATACGTGCTTCTTGGGGAGGGGGACCATCAGTGGACTTTTATTTTTAAGCCCTATTCATTGAGGCTCACCTTCCACCAGAAACAGCTGAGAGCTGCTACTCAGCAAGCCTGCAATTCTGTTGCCCAATATGCAAGTAATAATGGAAATATTAGGGGTGGGAAATAACCCTGTTGAGGAATTGAGGCTTGGGGAAGAAAAACCTTTGTTGGAAGAGTAGCAGTGATGAACAGTGTACTGAAATGTTGATGCAGTTCTTCCTTCCCTTCCCCTCCAGCCTTTGCCGGGCCCCGTCCAACAGAGTGAAAGGAGCCTCTTTCCGGCCGGTTAAAGCAATGGCTGTGGATCTCTTCCCTCAGACCCCGCACTGTGAGTTACTGATATTCTTTGAAAGGGTCGAATATGCAAATGGGAGCTCTGCTGAAGCCACGCCTGATGCCCCTCCGGTCACGGCAGCCCGGTACGACGCGGAGTGCTTGGCTGGCACCAACCCATCCAGCGCTGATGCCAGCCAGGGCTCTGCTGCACACGTAGGTTCTGCACTTGAAGACAGGGAATCAACTTAACTCCCAAGAGACACTTCCCAGAAACTACTTTTGCTTGTTAACTGCTTCGATAACATTGTTTCTGTAACATCTAGGTAATAAATCTCTGTACAACAGAGTAATTGCGAGGCTTCCAAGTTATTTCATCATGCTAATTTGAATTAAATTTTGTTATGTACTATTAGGCCCAAGCCTGGTTTTCTTCTCCTGCCCTCAGGGGGAAATTCAGGTGGCTGAAGTAATATAGACGGTGGTCTCACTCTTTAACCAGTTGAAACAGCTTTAAATAAGCTGTTTTCAGATACGACTAGCTGAAACCTGGGCTGATTTTTAATGCAGCACCATCCCTTCCAGTGTGAGTATAATACACCACACTGAAGTAGCAGCTCTTGGCTAACACTTCATCGACAACAGCTGAGCATAAGGAGGACCCTGCAGACTGACTGCAGTAGCCAATTCCCAGGGCAGATGATCTTGTTACAGGGACCTGTGTGTGTCAGTACTAATTTCCCCCAGCTCTGCTAGCCTGTCAAAGCAGTGCTGTGTCTTTTGAATACGCTAGTAAAGATTTAGCAATCTTAAACCTTCTATAAATGATTCACTTGCTAAATCTTCAGTAGGAAGCAACGAACTCATATTTAATAAAAATGCTGCAACTTCCACAGTTGAAATCAGTTTTATTTTTGAGACTGTAGTGTCACTGACAATACAATAAAGCCTTTCTTAGATCATTTCCTACAATGTACAAGTAAAGCCGAAATGACTTCACCCCAGGCATGCCTGCAGCAGTGAAAGCTGACAGCCACAAATTAACTGTACAAAAATGATCTGAGCTGGAACAGGAATTGACCGCTCAGGGCCATCCATCTTGGCAGGAACTAAGAAGTTTTTCACTTTTGATAAAGAGGCTCATTTTCCTCTCAAATTGTTAGCAAGTCTGCTCAGTGGATACCTTCAGTCAGGTACTTCCTATGTCACTCTCACCTCTAGAAAGTTCTAGTAGCCCCACGGAGGCTTTCTGATCCTGGGGGAGCTCTGAAAAGGCTAATCCAGCCTCATTGAAAATGTATTTATGGAACAGTGAGGTGTAATTCAGGGATTGCTGAAGAGCGAGAAAGCAATAGGAATATTACCTCAGATTATTCTGTATCTGAGGTTATAACTGAAGTACTTTTGGACACCGTTTCTTTCTGCCAAGCCTCTGCCCTAGACTGGAAGGGATTTCATCTCCACCCTCTTCCCACCTGGTGTACTGGGAGCCCTGTGCAGCAAGAGAAAAAGGCGGTTGTATTTAGTGCAAAACCTTAACATAGTAACCACAGAGCGCAGAGGGGCAGGTCGGGACTGAGCGCTGCCTCCCTGGGGGGCGCAGCCCCGCCGGGCCCGGGCCACCCCCAGGCTGGCTCACAGCTCTGCTCAGGCTCAGCATCGCACTGTGCCAGTCTGTTCCGTAGGAGGCTCAGAGGGGGTGGTACAAGGCAGAACCGTCTTAAATCTCAAGTTACTGAGCATACTTCTAACGTACATGTATTACGGACAGAACAAAAGAAATAGCTACTGTTCTAGCGGACAGACGTGCCGATACCCGCTGCTTTCCAGGCAGGCGTGTGGCAATAGGTACCAACCCCAGCAACTCTGGATTGTCATTTCCAACCGTGACATCATTTAAGTAAAAATAAAAATTCCCACTCAAGAAAAAATTTTAATGTCATTTCATTCCAAGTAATGTCTAGCCACGTAAACATTAAATTCCTTACCAAAAAAGTGATAAGCAGTTCCATAACCAATGAGCCTGTGCCGATTAAATTTCTATTTCAAAATACCTACAGGAATCAAGGAAAATTTCCTTTTTCTAAAGCTATCGTAGTACTGATCACACTGGAGCATTTTATAATATCAAACTTTATTGCTCAAAACTAATTGTCTGAAAAATACACATGTAGTACTCAAAGACCAAACACATAGGATTATATGATTGTGCAGAAAAAAAGCAAGCAGAGGCTCAGTGAAAATGAGGCTTTATAGTTGTACCAATTTAGCACTGGCATCAAGCAACTGCACCCAACACAATTCATACAGCAACCATTGTTACCTACTTGGGCAATAAGAATTAATTTTCTTTTGTTTTTTCACTTTCTTAGATACACATCAGAATACTGTAACTGATCATTTTATTTGGTTAACAACAGCATGGCTTCTTGCACTTCACATTTCTTCCCATGGAAAGTTAGGAGGCTATCACTTCCTGAATTTTACTCCAGAACCAAAGTACAGTCTAGAGAATTAATAAGATAATCATGATGCTTTTAAATACTTGGATGTTACAAATATACTTGTATAAAGCCTAACAGCATCACAGGAAAGTGGAAGTTTACATACAACAGTTAAGTTTATGCATAATAGTCTTTCCAAACTTCTGAATACCCAACTACTTCATCAGTTTTGTTTAATAAATATGTAAGAAAAAGCTGGATGGCTGGTGTTTAAATAGGTAGCATCTGACTATTCACTGGAAGTCACAGTAAGTTTTCCATCAGTACCATAAAGATTTGAATGCACACTAATTTAATCCTTAAAGTCAATATACCACACTTTTGTCGAGAAGCACATAATATGCAAAGCAAAAACTGTCTAATTCCCAAAGGATGGAACAGTTCTTAAAAATACACTCCATCCCTACAAAAATACCCATCCTCCTCTGGATATAGAAGGGATAAATAACGAATATCAGTGACAAAAGCAGCAGTTGTTTTATGCATTCATACAATCAAGATCTAAACCTTTACAGCCGATTACCTAGAAAACACACAAGAGTTACAAGACAAGTTTAGGATACATCTTGAATCACACTGTAAGTGTTCATGCAGAAGCTGAAGTTAATGCAATGATCTATCCTCTATCACAGCAGCTCGTGCTTATGTGCAAATGCAAGACTGTTACACTCCAAACAATAGTAAACATTAAAACACAAGAATACTTCACAATGACATAAACAGCAGTTAAGTTGTTTGTTCCAGCAGTTATTGCGCTATTTTCTGGACATTTCTCCAGTTAAAGGCTGCAGCAAGGTCTAATACCATCTTTTTGTGTTTGTTTTTGTTTAGAATGCATAATACACGTTCTAGGCTTTGGTTCACAATGAAATCTCTGGATATTTTAATTAAGGGCAATGGTCACCTTGTGATTCTGATAGTGGCAGACTGAGGTAATACAGCAATCCTCTTAAAAATAATGAAAACAAATTTGTAAGCGAGGCATCTATGGATATTCTGCAGGTGACCTGCAAATGCATTGACATTCTGATTTCAGAAAAATAAAAAGCTCTACAAGGGTGATTTGTCTTTTACAGTGCCATCCAAGTACAGATTTTTCTGCTGAAAACGCCTAAGCTGAAGTAAAACCTACCTAAAAGAGTAATACATTTAGGCATAGAAGATAAGCCCTGTCTTTCTGAAAACCAAAGTAAAAAAAAAAAAGAAAGAAAAACAAAGAGAGAGACAAACAGTCATCACTGCTTGTCACTACTGCACCAATATTATATACCCTTCAAAAGATGGAGATTTATTAAAGCTATACAAAAAAAAGCAGAGGCAGTGTTTTTTGTGTTTTTTTTTGTTTGTTTTTGTTTTTTTTTTTGTTGTTTTTTTAGATAGGCCACTTGTTTAAGTAATAGTTTATGTATAGTCTTCCAACTACCCGTATCCTGTTACACGGTTACAGGATTACAACTTGTGGAACTGAAAAGCTAAATATAATAATGGGTGAATTTGTATTTGCAGAGACCTCTGAGCATATCACTCAAACACAGAAACAGGTAAAACTCCAAGCCTCCTCCTGTTTAACCTCAAACATATGCAACATATTAGAAAACATTAATTTGAGATATAAATTAAAATCCATATATTTCCACAATAATGGGTGATATTAAAAGGAGGTCTTACAATACTGATGCCAATATGGTTAGAATCCAGTAGGCACTAATTTCATTATACTGCAGCACTCTGTATGTAAAACATGGTAAAAAACCCCAACCACCAAATCAAACCAAACCCCCTCGAGCCCCCAGATCCCTGTCCAGGTAAGTACCAGGAGCTGCAGCAGTTCTAGAGAACTGACCTCTCTCACTCCTACAGGAACAGGAGGGTAAAACGTAGCAATACAACTCTTGGATAAATCACTGAAGCCCTACCACCAGCTTGGTTTTTACTCTCCTCTAAGAACAAACCGAAGAACCCACAGAAACGGTTCTAAGAGAAGCTTACTGCAATCACCCAGCGAAGAACCCCGTATGAAGAACAAACCCCACAAAGCAGTGCTTTCACTACAGCCAGAAGTATTTCTTCTGTGCTTAATGTAATAAAGCCTCAGATGACATAGTGAGTACTGCCTGTTTTCTAAGATTGTATTTTATGATAGTTGCATATTTGTGATTTTCTTGTTTGTCAGTATAGCCTGTTACGGTCTCGTTCTACTCATTACTCTATGTCATATTCCAAATCTACATTCTAATTTTCCTTGCAGAAGTTACACCTTTTCTTTAAAAACTAAAAATGTAATTAAAAAAGTAAAACCAAAAACTTCTTATAAAACCTATTTTGCTGCAGTTATTTCAAATTCCTTAGGGTTGTTGGTTTTAATTTTTGTTGTTGTTTTTTTTTTTTTTAATTTTTATTTAATTATTTTCTATTATGGTGCAAGTTAATTAAGACTTAATTGATCAAGTCAGATGTATTCTGACTCCAAACAAATCAGAAATTGTTTTATTGCTGGTAGAAGGGAGTGGAAGGTCTTTAAACACATCATTGGCAAAATATTTTCAGACTGTCAACCATCATCAGCTGCATTTTGGCTCCAAGCTTTGAAAACAGCCTTACAAATTACAGTTTTTATTTTAATCAAATAAATAGGGCCATATTTTCCCCTTTCAAATGATCTGTAAACATAGGCTCTTTTCAATTAAAATAAGACCCAATAATTTTGGATACCCAGCCTGTTGCTCTTAACACTACCAGGTATACTTGTTCTTTTCAAGTAATAATAAAATCTGCATACTGTGATCTTGAATAACTAAATCTGGCAGGAGACAAAAAAAAACAAAACAAAAAGAAACAGCATTACTGGCCTAATCCTATGGCATTAGGAACATTGCTCATCACTTCCATGTATTTGTCACCAAAGTGTCTTATCAGTGCATATTATTATGTGCTGAAATGCAACAAAACTTTTCACAAAAATAGTTTTAGGCATGTTCATACAAGAAGATGTACATATATTTCTTTTATATATACATATATATGAATGTGTATATATATATATCAGCTTCAACCTGTACATATTCTGTATTTCAACCTTAAAACACATCCATTTCAAACAACATGGATGGCTTTCCAGAAAAAAGTGCTTGATTGATTATCTCGTGTGAACATGCCTGTTCTCTGTGCATTTGCCCAAGTAGAGATCTTTATGATCAATCTGTTAAACGTACATATCTCAGAGGTATTAAAAAAAAAAAAAAAGAAAAAAAAGAAAATAGGAAAAAGTAATATTGCCCTGATGATGCAAAAAGAACAATGCATAACTGAAGCAGCTTGGATTTTAAAAGTTATCTTGCATTCTGCAGCAAACAATTTTTAAGTATTTGATGAAAATCTTGTTTCTCCATTTGTGTTATTGCTCCCCACTTGTGTATTTTCTCATTACACATCAACGGTACAGAGAGGTTCACTGCCAGGTTGAGCCGATTCCACTATTGTCATCTTGGGTTTCTTCCGTGTTTCCTCCTAAAAGAACATGAAACAAATCCCACCACACAGTCATACAGAGAATATAATAATAAAACACTATTTTAAAATTTTGACCGATTTTAGCCAAAGTTGTGTCAGCCATTGTGAAAGGCTAACTTGTTCTAATGTTACAAACACATCTAAGTGAAACAGGTAAAATTAAGTTATAAGCCAGTTTAAAAGAGAGGATGAAAATCTCTCTAAAAGAAGGCCCTTCCCCCAAAATCAAGTTTTGAACAGCTCTCCTTACATGAGTTACTGTATAAAACAAGCAAAAATTCTGAGCATTGGTAAGCCTGACCCATGGCATTCTTCCCATTTCTAAATACTAAAGAGCGTATACTCACTCTTTCTTGTGCCAGTTTTTTCATTTCTTCCTGTAACTTGTTCAGGATGTGCAGATTTGGCTTGTTCTTTTTGGCATACTGCTGAAGTTCTATCACACTTTTATCAGAGGTTTCCTATTCAACAGAACCGTAAGCAACAACAGATGAGCTCTTTTGATTAAAAAAAAATTAAAACACGTGGAGCAGAAGTTTAATCTGTGATAGTTGTACTTCCCTAAGTAATAACATATACTTCCACGAGTTAAATATTAAATAGGTTACATAATTTTGACCTGGAAGATATAAGATTATTATTGTCAATGAAAGCACTCATCTTATGTTCTGGCAATAGCAAGGTATGAGATTCCATTCAGAAGAACAGAACTGCTCATCAAATGCATACTGCCTTTACCATGACAGGGAAAACACTGCTATGCCAAAATAGATAATATTAAAGCTTTGTTGTCGCAAAATTTTAAAACCCAGAAAAATACAAAAGCAAAAATATAATCACAAGGTAGGTTGCAATCAAACAAAATCATGTTCACCTGTTTAACCATCTTGCTACTCTCTCTACCATACATACGCAAAAGAGAGCCCCAATTTTTCACATGTGGATGCAGTAGCTGTAGGATTTTCTGAGAAGCTAATTGTTTCCCCACTCTTTTATTTTTGCCTGTAAAAATAATCATAAAAATGTGTCAATGGCACATTATGTAATTAGATGAACACCAATATCTAGTAGTGTTATTCAAAAGTGAGATACCAGAGAAGAGCAAAATAAGCATGTAACAAGCTAGACAGCTCAACAAACACCTACAAAAAGGACAAATGAGAACAGGAAATAAGGAAGATATTATCAGAGGTCACACTAAGAACTGTACTTACACCAGCCTCGCACTGTGTGCTTGCCACAGGTCATGACATATTCGCTCTTCTGATTTTTACCAGGAATCACTTCAAACTTTATGGATGTATCACCCATTCCATGGTTTCTTAAGCACAAACAAAATCAATATCAGTATTACACACTAAGTAAAATTACAAACAACTGAAGTAGCTGCAGTTATCTTTGACAGTCATTGCAATGGAATTACGCACATTAATAAATTTTAAGCCATTAATTAATAGAGAGTTCTTTTTTAGATCAGTAACTTGACTTGAATGGAAAAACAAATATATTTATATTTCCCACAACTAAATCCTAATGTCAAAAGACAAGAGGCATAAACAGCATCTATCAATTAAAGGAAGATACAGCATTAACTACTTCAGTCCACATGAGGTCTCTTACAGCCCCAGTAAGGGCTTGGCCAGCCCACAAATATCCAAGTTACTGACAAACACTGTGGGTACCAGCGACCACGGAAACAATGTGCCCTGATCTGAATACCTGTACACAAGAGAATTTGCTCCGTATTCTGCAGCCTTACCTTTTAAGGCACTCATGGAGAATTTGATATGGAGACAAGAGTCCAGCTTTACTGGTGAGTTCATATACCCGTGAGTCCTCAATACTGATATGGTTAAAATACTACAAAGGAATTGAAAAGCGTTATTGAGCTTTTGCACAAATAAGACCTTAATATTGTTCTTAACCCTCATTTCTCCTTTGCAACATTAAACAAATTCTGTTATTCTGTGCTTAATACTTTAAAAGGTATTTTTAAATCCATAATGGAGGTATTTACCAACATTAGTAAGACTGCCACACTGAATCATGTATTTGCAGAAAGAAATTAAAATAATTCTTTTAACTCCAATTTTACATTATACAAAATGGATATAAAAATTAGAAACATGAATTCTTCATCACCCTTTCTCCCTCAGGACAAGGTTATTTTATTTAACTAATTATGAAATTCTGCTTATCAAAAAATTGACATTTAATAAAAGAAATGTTTTGTATTTTATTTTAAAAGCAATGGCAAAAATTCTCTGCACTTTCTTAATGACCATTTCCATAGTGTAGGACATACAATACAGTTCTAAGTTAAAGTAACTGTACTAGCACCTCATTCTGTATATTACATTTTTTAAAATTAAAATGTTCCTTTCAGGCTGATCACCAATTATTTCTTTACTCCTTACTGATGGTCTGTTACATGCTGAATTGAAAGTGAATATATCACTGATGAACCAGCTACTTAATATTTCTAGTACCTGAAAATATACCACACGCTCTCCACTTAAAGAAACTTTTCCTTTGATTTTCTCAAGTGTCACTGCTTAAAGTCTGAAATTTTAGCTGTCTGATCTGGCAATAAGTAGCTTTCATAGCTAAATGAAAACGTCTCAAAAGCCTGGGCACTTTTAGTTCTTGGTCTTCGAAGACGATCACACAAAACCAGCCAGCATCTAGCTCTCAACTTTTCAAGGCACCAACCAGAGGATTCTGGAAGCCAGGACAGTACAGGCAGTCTAGTGTCCTGAAACATTTAAACAAGAGAGTAGTTCTCTGCATCACAGTAAATTTTCTGATTGGTTCCAACACAACTGATTCAACAGATCTTGCTATAAATAAAGAACTTTGCATTTCCATCTGACTGAGAAAAAAAATGTTATGAATTTTCACTAATATTTCAAGGTGTAATGCTTTTTAAATCAGACTCCAAGAATGACAAGCCAGCAAGCAAGTGTTCGGTACCTCAAGTTCTTCACTGTCTTTGGGCTTCTCCTCAGAGGTCTGTTTAACAAAGTCGGGAATAAGGATTTCCAGTGTAGCTCGAGCTGCAGAAAATTATTAAACATCTTGATTACATTTATTTTAAACAACGATTCTGAAGAAAAACAGCAGAAAAGATCACTCTAAGCAAGCCACACATCTCCCCTACAGAATAACTTCACAAATAAGATGGACTCAGTAGACATCAATAGTTTACATGTAAGTTAACATCTGAAGTTCATTGGTTTTCTATCCCAGTACGCTGTTGAACCTAGGGTTGTCAGAAAAGTCTCTGCAACAGTACTTACCACTTTTACAAAAAAGACAGGAGTGCACCTTCCTTCACAATTAACAAAATGATTCCTACTTACTATTGCAAATATGTCATCTTCAAAGCAGAAATGAAAACAGATAAACAATTCAGCAGTTGGTATTAAGAAAGAAAAAATGTTACCAGCTTTATTCTTGGCAAGTTTTTTGCTGCTGGCAGTTCCTGCCCCATAAGTTACTCCATCAATAATCACTGAGGCTCCAAAAGGTTCACTTGGGTTCTCTGGAAATGGAAGCAGAAGGAAAAATAAAGCTTTTCAGAATTCCCAATGTAAAATACTCATCACGAACATGAAATACCACCACAAGATTTGTTTTCTTCTTCATTTCCATTTCAAGAAGGATAGAAATTGTTTACTCTTCAGAAAGACTGAAGGATTACTTACTCCAGTATATGAAAAACTAAGTTTTCCATTAACAGAGACTCACCAACATGTACTTCAATCTTCCAAATGGAGAACCTCTACATTTTAAGAGATAATTTGTAAACTGCTAGAATTCAAATGTTAATTCCGAAGTTTTTGCATCACTAACAGTGTAAATATAAGAGCTGCACACTCCAACATTGAAAATTCAGTTACACTATGTAATGCATATATAGGAATAAGATAATTCTGAATAATTATAGATTCCACACTAAAATAAGATGCCTGACTTGTAATTCCTTGGATGCTATATGCAGGACTTGATCCTTTCGAGCCTGCTGCTGAAAAAGATGTGATTTTTTTCTCCTCCATAAGGTACCCTCCCAAAAAAATCTGGTAGAAGCAAAAATGCATGGAATGTATGCCATACCACTTTGTAAAGCTATCTCAAATGCAGCTAGATAGGGCAATCTGGAAGAAATTTATAGAAAAAAAATTCCAACATTAATTTGATTCCACTTATATTTGCCATATATGCAACATTTTTAGATTCTTGAGTAAGCATCAAGCGCATTCCCCCCCCAGTATTTATCCAAAATAAAATTCTTGCTGAGTGTTTGTTGTCTGAGTGCTAGTGTCACTTACACAGTCTTGGTACAGCCTAAGTCAGGAACTACCAAACTACCTCCAAAACAGCATGTGGTCGATTAAAAAACTTAACAGACTTACCACATTCAAAGAAATTGTAAACAGGGCGAACCTTTAGGACTCGTTGCATATATTCATGCAGTATGCAAACTTCGGATTTCCCATTGGGATTAATGACAAATTCTATAAAAAAAGACAGGGGGAAGGGGGAGACAGCTAAGTAGCTCTAATCTTTAAAAGACAATTTTTACTACAAATAAATAAATTACAAGCTCCAAGGGGTAAGTGCCCACTCAAATCAAAAGCAATGCTGTTGAATCAGGTGGATATTTATGACCTCAAAGTCCATTTTCTCTGAAAAAGTATTGAGAAATAAGTCAGAAATTTCTATCAACAATTGGAAGTGCACTCATTATGAGCTAAGTCAAAATACTCTGTGTTCAATGTTTGCAGTCCCCTGGCCTCTGGACCTCTACACACAGTACTTCTGGCAGCTAACATCAGTTAGAAATCCTCTAATTTGCTCTTAAACACACTGTATCGTCCCGTCTAACAGCAGGCAGGCAGACTTCAAATCCACAAGATTGATTCACCCAGGTTTTTTTTTTTCCCCCCTCATGAAATCCTGTTTAGCAAGCCACAGATCAGGTTACTGTCCCCTTACCTTGAATGTGCTCTTTTTATTTGAAATGTCTTTTTTTTTTTTTTTTTTCCTGCAACACTATTGTTAGTCAAGAGCACAAACCCTGCCTCAGCAGGCACTACAGCAATATGGGAGAGCAAGTCAAGATTTCGACAGATAAAGTGCAAGCATGTCCTTAATTTAGGTAGTTTCAATGTGGCTCTAAGCCTAGAATTTAAGATAAAGTGTAGTAACTAAAAATTCAACTGCATGTCCCTGTAATAGAGAATAGTCAATACCCAACTTGCAAGCTTTAATTATGCTGAAAAGAAGAAACCCAGAAACATGACAATGTACAAAACAAGAATAAAACCCAAACCACAGGTCTATGGACATTTTAAATATCAGGCTGCAGTTAAACATATTATTATGGCTACACAGCTAAGAGCCAATTCCCCCAGCTTCTCATCAGACATGATACGCACTCCTCACACCACAGCACACAACTGCACACACAGTTCTTTAACTGTATCTGTCAAACTGCTTTAAATTTGTATTTTTAATTTTAGGTTTTAATCTGGATCAAACTGGCATTGGTAACCAGTCTCTAATTTGGGACCAATTAGAACTGAGAAGGCGGTAGCACTGAGTGACTATGCAAGAGGGTTTTCAGTAACAACCAACAGTAACAAGTAGCTGAAAGTACTAACCAGTTACCAGGACTGCAACCTTAAACAAAAAGCCTTTCGTTCAGGAATTATTTTTAATAGGAAGTATATTTTGACAGTATTTTTCCTTTACTATGTAACATGATGGATCCAAGAACCCACAATTCTAGAATAAGAAGAAAGTGGACTTATTACAGGATTTTTCTTTTTTTCAGTCAAGCTTAGAACTGTAATTAGCCTTTGATATAGAATATTTGAACTACACGTAGACAAACTAACCTTTCTTTGTAGGTGCATCCTGCACAGATAAGGTAATGAGTTTCTGATTGGCAGGCAGAATAGGCCGCTCGGATTCTGCCTGCTTCCGCTTCATTTCACGATTGAACTGCCGTCTCTCAGCCCAGGTTCTGAATTTTTTTACAGTAACTTGTTCAAAGTCAAAACGCTTTTCAAGATAGCGTCTAAAATCTTCCAGATCTAAGAAATACAAGCAAATTACTCTCTCTACTTTACCACTGAGCAAGCATTCAGTTCACTATTTCCAGTTTTAAAAATGTTTTTTTGGTGGTTTTGTGTTTTTTTGTTTGTTTGTTTGTCTGGGGTTTTGTGTTGTGGTTTGGTTTTTTTTGTTGTTTTTTTTTTTTTTTAAACTAGGAGCAAGAGTAACACAATCAAAGTTAAGATGCTATTTTATACTAACAGAGCTAATTACAAGTTTTCCTGTTACTGGGTCAAATCGAAAACATCTGTGTAAACTGGAAAACAAAACAAAACAAGAGCATTTTATTCTGTCACTTGAAGATTTTATTAAGCCCTAACCAGCATAATACCCAATACAATTTGTAACAGAATACCAATAATTGTTCTACTTCATCACCTAATCATCTTCTCATTACCCAAAGCAAGGTACACAGCGAGTAACAGGAGTTACACTATTAGCTTCAGTTTCCTGAAGCCATAACTGACTATTACTGCCTATCTATTAAACAGTGTAACATGAAATACTATATAATGATGCTCCGTGAACACCATGAATATTTGCTGGCCTTGAAATAAGATTTTAACACATTCATTTTCACATACAGAGTACTAAAAGACTGCCCCCCTTGAAGTACAGCTGCTTCTCCTTTATAGGATATTTCTGCAGATCTAATCAGCAAAAATAGAGTAGTATCCCAAGATGTAAACAAACAAAAGCAAGCTGCTGGTATTGTTTCCTTCCACAAGGAATTCCAAATGCAAGTCACGCTTATACTTGATCACTCAGTATTTTTTTCAGTAATACAGAACAGATCCTATTTAAAGAGAGAGATAGACAGGTGAACTTCACGTAGAAAATAAGTGCTTACTGGTTTTAGTTTTCCTGATAAATATTGATGATTTTTTTTTTTTTTAATCTTTTGGCATGGTTTTTCGACTGAACAGGACATATGTAATGACAAGTTTTATGTTTGAACACTACAAAGATGAGTGGTAGCCTACATTCAATATCAGTATTCTGAGCAGCAGTAATTTACATGGGCAGTACTCTCAGGTATGTAGTTTTGGTAACGCGCACATGAGCTTTCTCTCCAAGTTCCTCTAAGTTTGGCAGTGATTTTGGCATGACTTCTTTACGCAGCTGTTTCTGTAAAAGCTATCAGACTTGCATAAATAAAACAATGAAGCACCGCACCCCTTTGCATGAGTGCAATTTTATTTGCATGAATTATTCTGCTAGACTTGTGCAAATAAGCACATTAACTGCACCATTTATCTTATGAGATCATACTGAAAATAGATATAATTCAGTCAATATAGAGACTGTATAGAAAAGACTACTTAAAGAAGTCACACAAACACACTTGACAACAGCAATTCATATGTACACGTTGACAATTGTTTCAAACTGAGAAAAAGTCTAGCGGACTACATTTCCAAAATTTTCACATTTTTGTGTGTAAAACCTTTGTACACGGACTCTCAAACCTTCAGCAAGGATCTCCACTGTATGTTTCTCTTCCTGTTAAAATAAAAATTAATTTCTAATACTGGATCTATTCCTCCAGATCTCTGCATATGAAAAACCTTGCAGAAAAACAAGTGACCACTCGATCTCAAGCAAGATATTATTCAGTTGCCAAGTCTGGAATAAAGCATATGTATCCCAAATGCCACTGCCCCGACTCCATCCAAGAAAAGATTCCACTTCCCATACATACCTACAGATTCATCTTTACATACTTCAACTTTGGCCTTAACTTGTCCTAAGGCTCCTTGTGCTGCATCTCCCCCTGAAGGGTCTTTGTCATCTAAAGGCCCAGAATCAGCAGCAGTAGAATCTGGTTCTTCTGTTTGGCAGTCTAGTTCTGAAGATTTATCTAGGTGCTTTACAGGTGATACTTCCCCATTTGGAGTTATGTCATTGTTTTGTTCCCTTTCCTCATTTTCCTTCATTTTTTTGTAATGCAAGCAGGGAATGCTACTAAGGGGAGGATCATGTTTCTGCAAATATAAAATAATACAGAAGGTTTCAGTAACTCAAGATCACCAAATGCAAAACTCAAAAAAAAAGAAAAGATATAATCAAGATGGAAGTTACTTTTATTTAGTCTAAGCTCAAGTTTCTCTTTGGTCAGCAATCTTACTCTACTCAATATCTGAGTACGTCTACTCCTACGGTATCTTGGTACTGTATGACACTGATACTAACCTGCAAAGTGCATTCCCTGTTTTAGATCCAAACTATATTCTTTTTAATTACACGCAAATACTACATGCTTTCATAAAATCCATTGAGTTGTCTTGGGGTTTAAGCCCACGACGTTAAATCAAATTTCTGAAGATTCCTTGGGTTCATGAACATCACATGCTTACTTCTGTAAACGTGGACCATAAGCCACAGCTCAGGTTAGTTTATAGCGACAACTAAATGATCTAAATATATTTCATGGTGCAATAAACCCAAAATTTTGCAGATATATGCTGGAATGATGAAGTCACCAAACAAGACTATCTCACACGCTTTAACTGCCCACACTCATTGCAAAACCAGAAAAACAAAACTCCGCAAGAAAAAAAATGTATTTTCAGAAACAGAGGAGTTTATTTTTCAAGTACCTTAATTCTAACATTGGAAAGAAGCCTGCTAAAATAGCAAAATATTCAACTGTTTGCAAGAACGTATCTGTAAGTATTTCAGTAATTGACAGCTCTCACCCTTATGCTTCCTGTTCCCAAGAAATAAGGTCTAGACCAGGTAACAACTCTAGATTCTCTGTGCAGATATACAGGAATGCCCGAATTATGGAATGTCATGATCCATCCATCCGGCAATGGTTCTGTTGGAGGGCGGCCACGACCTTTAAAGCAAAGAATGGCTTTAGACTTGGATAGACCGCTTAGAAGAATAGAAAAAGAATCAAGGTTTTTATTTTTATTGTTTTTTCTGTCTCAAGAGTTAAAATGACAGTGAAACAAGACTAAAGACGTTTTGCAGAAAGATTTTGGTTTGCTTTAATAAAAAGCCATATGCTTCTAACCCACATTAAATCCTGAAAAATTACAGATTACATTATGTGTTCAACTGAAACCCACTAATTTTTATACAGTCTGATTTGTCCATTTCACCAGTGAATTTTCTCTTCTCTTTGGTCTTCTTTATGTGTTTATATCATCACAAGCACTACTATATTTAGTGGAAAAGTTGTATTTGCTTTTGAAACAACTGAGATTTCTATTAAAAATTTTTACACTTGACTCAGCGATAAATTTGCATTGAGGCACCACTAGACCCACCAAACTAAACAGGCAACAGTGAGTTAGACTGTAAGCTAAGGTTTTCTTATTATATTTTTCAGAATGAGCACAATACAAACCAACAAGTCGTCCACAAGCCTTTATAGTTAGGCATCTTAGTCATCAAGAATATTAATTCTTCCAGAAAACAAGACTGAAATTAGAGTCCAGTAAGCCAATATGGGGAAATCACACAGCAAAAGAAACAATATTGCAGTAAAATGCTTATGCTCACACTCAATATATGGCCTCACTCCTTTCTATTCCAGAAATCAGAGGATGGTCTCACTTCTCTCTACATCAGAAATTAGAGAACAACCTCACTTTAGCAGGGAGCTTCCTGGCAATCCTGTGTCAGTATAAAATTTTGGAGGGAAAAACTGTTTGGTTTTGTATTTCAGAATATAGTGAAGATGTAACATACCCCCTCTAGAGCAGGTTCAAATTTTAATTCTGACTACTGTCAGTTACATTATTCTGATTGGCTCACATTCTCAGCTCCTCTTTATTAGTAATTTGTAACATTTGCACAATGAAACTGGATAAATGTAAACCATTGACGTTCCTAATGCATTTTTTTTAGCCCAGTATTGCATGCATAAAGACTTCACATAGAGCAATCTCAACATCAGAAGTTACATATCTGAAGTAAGAAGTCCACAATGACCACAGTCTTCAGCTGTTTTATGGTGTTTTTTTTTTTTTGGTTTTATGTGTTTGGTTTTTTTTTTTTTTATATACTCATAACTGTGACACCTTCAATATACTGAGCTTGACATGTATTGTAGAATTACTAAGGAAAAAGACTCAATTTTGATACAAAAAGCCTGGATCATCCTTATTTACCTCCCCACCAATGAGGTAACATTCTTCAAAATTTTCACAAATCCACACAACAAAACATACTCTCATTACATACAACAGATGAAGATCAAATGCACTCCCAAAAATCAACTTCGCTGTTCAGGAACGTGAAAAATCATATCCCATACTAAGAAGCCTTCAAACAATAAAATTCTAGAACATATTAACTATTGTACATGAATTGCTCTCCTAAATTTTGCTCACAGATGTAAGCCACACCAAAAAAATTACAGGTATTTAATGAGAATTAACTTACTTTTAAGTACAGTTTTAATTTTGGTCATCATTGGCTGCACACTTGTTTCTCCATCAGACTGGTGATCACTTTCACCACCGTATTTCTCATTTTCTAGTCTTCTTGTTTTGGGTGCTCGAAGGCCCTCTTCCAGCAGAGCATCCACATCATTATCAAAGTCATCCTGAAAGAGACTTCATCAGACACTATCCTTCTGGGTCTACTAACCTCCCTTTCCCCTTGCAAAGAAAAAGTGTACATTTTCTCTATGTATTTCCATACAGAGAGAAACTAGAAATTTCCAATGATTCCAGTAAAAAGACTGAAAAATAAGAAGATAAGTTTTTGTAAGTGAAAACTGGTATTTTTCATGATAAAATGAGCTGCAATTGAGCAAGAAGCCTTTTAAATGTTATTTTGAACAAGACTATAGAAGCTGCCACACAACTCAGAAGTTTGACCAATATGATTTACAGAAGTTTTCAGCAAAGTTCTGTCTCTGAAAATTCTGCATTTTTGACTCAAGTACTGCACGTTTCTAGAAGAGACTGTTCCAGTTAGTATATTTTTTTTCCAACCACTTATTCCACTCTTGCCCACTAATATCCTGCGGATTTACTTACCTCATATGAGTAATTCAAGGTTTCTTCATCCACTTTATCTCTTTGAACGATTGCTTTAGATGTGAACCCTCCTCCTTCTTCATCTATTTCCATCAAATTGTCGGTAAAATCTTCTAGTTCATCCAGAACTGCATATTCCACTCTTTTTTCCTGATCAATATCATTTTCATCATCCTTCTTGTCATCATTTTCACCCCCTACTCCTACAGCTTTACCATTACTACCACCAAAAGGACAAACATGCAAATCCCCATTGACAGTATTAATACCAAAATCTGTATCTGCCTTATAATCCTGCTCAACTCCAGTGTACAGAACTTTCCTATCTTTGCTTTTGCAGCTTTCTGTAAAGCTAACACTAATCTTTACATCTTTAAGTAACTTAAGATCTGGGGTGAACTTTCGAACTGAAGGTGCATGACGAGCAGTTCTTGGGCTTTGGTCACTATTGTTAGGGTCTATTATAAGACGACTTTTGTAGCAGGCAGATCCCTTTGTGAGAAGCTGTGTTCTGCAGATACTGTGCGTGTCCCCAGCAGGGGTATCTGACTGTCCATCACCACCAGAGCCAACGTCCATTACCTCTGCGTCACTGGACGTTTGCAGGGGAGGTGGTGGAGGCTGTTCATTAGGCGGCAAAGGTGGGGGACAAGTATGATTCTCCACATTCATTTCTCTTGCAGGTTCTTTAGGGAGGGGTGGTACATTTTCATATTTCTCCATTTTTAAAACTACTGTTTTAAAAAAAACAATGCTTTAATAAATGTTTATATCTATATTCCTAACATGCATAAGTCCATCAAGATTGGTTTATCATGTTCTATTCAATATGCAACACTGATGATTCAGTTAAGCTGACTACATTGTTCTTTTCATTAATGTAGACAGCTTTCAGAATCACTGTCTCAATTATTGGAAATCACAATGCATTCAGCTTAAATAGCTGAAGACTAAGACTGCATCTTCACTGGACAAGCAGGTCTCCCTTTCTTCTTTCAACCTACAAGAAGAAATAAAAAGATCTTTGTCACAGAAAAAAAAAAAAAAATTGAAATAGTATCCCGGGCAAAATGTCACTCCTTCCAGCATATATTTCAAGTAGAATTAAAAGTGACATTTTTACAGTGAAAAAAGCAGGGCATCTTGATACCATTTTGAATGAGGCTGAAATGAGACTGTTTTTACTGCTTGATCTGTACACCGGCACAAGAATTTGCTAACACACAGTTGCCTATATAATTTGTTAACTATCTCTGCTTGGTTAGCAGGCAGGACATTAAGCATGGCATTTGTATGGACCAGTCTAAAAACTGTGCATTTTGATGGGATTCTCCCATTATCTAAAATAACCTGGCATTTAAGCTGTACTTACCCACACAGCAGAAATGATAATTAGTTTACAATTTAAGACAATCTGCAAAACCAACAAAATTTTAACAATTACGTTCTTCTAAATTTAATTCATTAGATATTTTTGAAATCTCGCTGGAAGTTTTAACAGGAAATCTCATAATTCACTAAAAACTCACAGGAAATGATTCTCCAGATCATCAGATATTCAACATTTGATCTTATATTCTATTATGGGACTATATATTTGCTATGCCCAAGGAATTCAGGTCCACATACATGGTGTTTAAACTCAAATTAATTCTCAAAGGCATTTAGAAGCCAGTGTTATAGGTAATTTAACCTGGCAAAAATATTAAATTGCTCTAGGAAATTTTACAGGGAGTAGGGGGGGTGTTTTGGTTTTGCTTGTTTTTTACATTAGGTGGGTTCTTTCTACCATGTCTGTGATGGCTTCTTCAATTATATTTGTCATCTGTGCAGGATTATAAGCACCTGAGGAAATGAAGCATAATTTCTTACCTGCTATTTTGGTTTCTCCAAGTCCCTCCATGCCACCCCAAACTGGGCTTAAATCTTCCTACCAGCCAGAAATAAAGCAGTGTTACTCTGCCCAGGACAGCCAGCTGGCTGAATCTGCTCTACTCCCAGGTAGCAGACAAAGTCTATCCAAGTATTCGAGAAAGATCAGCTCCAAGGCCTTAGTGACGCTGTATAATGTTTGAAGGCAACAGGGCAGAATGTCTGGGTTGTCATGAGGGACTTAGAGAAGCCAAATATAATTCTCTAATGTATCTCTACGCCAGCCCAGACAGAACAAATGAACAGCAATATCCAAACAACTGGGGCAAGGCAGGAAACTGGGAATCAGGAGTTATACTGGGATCAATTAAAATTCAACAGCATACAGAAGCTACCTACCTGGAAGCTGTAAGAAAGCAAAATATACAAACAGAGCAAACTTTTATTTTAGTGATCTGGCAATAAAGTAAGTTTTTATGTGGCAGCAGAACATACAGTTCATATTTTGTGGTTTTGTTGGTTTTTTTTTGTGTGTGTTTTTTTTTTTTTTATATATACTCATAACTGTGACACCTTCAATATACTGAGCTTGACATGTATTGTAGAATTACTAAGGAAAAAGACTCAATTTTGATACAAGCTCTAAAATGATCCCATCTTCTCTGGTACAAACATATTACTTTCCAGAATGAAAACCAGCTCATTCACCAGTAAATCAAGCAGTTCTGTATATTTAATTCCACTCCATGCTACGAGATGATCATACAATCACCCGAGCAGCGATCAATTCCTTCTTCTTTCAACTGGTTCTGGAACACCTAAGGTTACAGAGAACACCTCTAGAAAGTTATTTGTCTAATAACCTTTGCCCTTCCTCATCTTCAGATTACAAAAGGAGAAGGAAAAAAAAGTGAATGACAAATTATTAAGATCTTCACAATAAATCAGTTGTGTCTTCACTGTTCATTCTGAACAAAAGAATCAAAAGTCGCAGCACAAGTTCAGTAACTCCTGGAAACTAAATGCTTAAGTAATCTAATTCTTCCACCTTAGAGTCCTTTGAAGACTCTTGAAAAGAGCAAACAAGTAATTTACACAAAAATGAAATACTGAAACAGGTGTTCTGGAGTCTGAAAGAGCACTACCTTCCCATATGACCAAGGAGCTACCTGCTCCAACTAGGAAGACTGTTTTTGACAACTCATAAAATATAATTGTGAATGCAGTTTCCACATTCCTAATACACATCCTGCTCCTATGCTAGTGTTTTAACACCACCAATGTCAAAACACAAGAAATCAGTCTTTCCTGGCCTAGCTCTGGTAGTTCACCAATAGTACACCTCTGCTCTTCGCAGAAAAGATGTCTTGTTATTCTATTCAAGCACTATTAACAATGAAATTCTTGTTGTCTTCCCCTTCTGGCTGGCCTTGAAATAATGAATAGCCTACCAAATCATTGCCAGGGATTGTCTACTACTCAGTACACATACTGTGGCCAGAAAAAGTACTAGACCAAGATGAGTTTAAACTAGTTGTTGCATATCTAGCCATAAACCTGCCACATCTCTAGGGTAAAGTAACAGAGTCTGGCAGTTCTACAGTTACAGTGGGCTACAATACCTTCCTATAAGCTACAAACAGCCAGAGAGAAGCAGAGTAACACAGAACCAATTCACATCTATCTTCTTGCCAGCTGATGTTACGATATGCCCTTTATATCAGGGACTGGAAAAAAAAAAAAAAACAACCACAACAAAACCAATAAGGATTTTCCCTTAGATATCAGGTATTGTAAAAGTAAGACAGAAAGGCTGAAACCTAAAAGGACGAGTTAGATGAGCCTGTAGGTTAAAAACAGCCAAACAGAACTTAGATCAAGGGAACCCAACCATCACATATAAAAACAGCATACTAAGTTTTGCAATATTAGAATACAACATAAGTTAGTCTGCCTATTGCCATCCTTAATTAACTTGCCCTAAAAGAACAGTCTTTATTCTCCAAGACTTCACCAAGCTCCATTAGCAGTTTCCATACGGACTTCTTAAAAAGATATGGAACACCACTGACAGCTACAACCGCCAGTACCAAACTGAAGGAACTCTGGATCCACTGCTGAAAATATGAATGCACAGTCCATGTTCTGCAGATCACCAATACATGGAAATTTCATCTTTTTAATTGCTTGTTCTTATTTTAGCAGATCATTTGAAAAAGTTTCATGTCACAAAGTAAACTCAGAGAAACAAACACATGGTAGGCATCTAAATGTAAGGTAGCAAACTGCACAGGTCCCAACAAAAGCAGTGTCTTGTCTCAGCTGTCTTATTGATGCTCTTCGGGGGCAGAAATATATAAAAAAACCCAAACCTACTTCTTTGTTTAATAAGTACCACTGCCTATTCCTACAATCAGAACAGTGCGGGAGGACGTACAGGTATGCCTTTTCAAGATAGGAAAAAACCAGAATCTTAAAATTTGTAACCAGCATCACCCAAACTCAGATGAACTCCCTTCACTGCATGTATAGCATGTCTGCAGTCTTACAAGTGTGTTCAATAAAAAAATGTATTTTCTCATGAATACCTGTAGCTGCAGTCAGGAACAAGGAACAGCATACCACAGAATCTCTTCAGAAATCACTTTTAAAAAGAAACTGGATTCCTTGTCAGAAACTGTTTACTTCACAATCAGTGGACCTCAAAAGGAAAAGTGTCTCAGAGAAAACTCTCCTTATTTGCTATCCAAATACAAAGCCCTCCTCCGGCTCCAAATGGCAACTCTGCAGAGCAGAATTTATGAGATATTGATCATGCTTAAAGATCCATGCTTTATCCCTTATCAAAGTAACTCCTTGTTCACCATCGTCTACCTTTTTATTACATCTATACCTACTGGGTTTTTTTTTTGATACATGCAGTTCTAAAAATAAGTTAATCCTTTTTATTATCAACTGCTAAAAAAAAAAAACCAAAACCACAGAGACTGATTTTATTTTCTTTAAACCTGAACAGGAAGTCTCAAAAGAAAAACATTCTGTAAGTTAGCTACTGCATACAGGAACTTGTTTCTCTCCCCATCATCAGCTTTAGAATAAAAAGATTCTGAAAGAAACAACCAGTCTGTGTAGGTCAGCAAGGCAGTTTAAGAAAATGCAGTCAGGGCCCAACCCCAACAATATCAGTGGCAAATACAGACAAGGCTACAGAACTTCTCTAGTTCCTAAGACTTCATCCCATTTCAGAATGGAGTACATAATTTTGGAAAGGCACCCTCAGAGAGGGCAAAGCAATTGCTGCTTTTATAGCTTGACCAGTTTTCTGGCAGGGTTTAGATGATTTCAATTAATTATGTAAAACAGGAAACCATTTTTAACAAAAAAAAAAAATCTGAAAATCAGAGCCTAGAAAGGCTGCTTCTTCCTTTTACATCACAGGTAACTTCTTACTTGTAAAGAAAACAACAATCATAAGGAACCAAATTCCCCTCTCATTCTCTAAAAAAGCAAAATAATCCTGATAATCAAAAGGAGCTGCCCAAAAGAACTAGTGACTGAAATCCTCATCCAGAATTAGTAAGAACCCTGAAATTTTATTACCTAAACAGAAAGGAGAAGAGGTACACTTACAAAAGAAAAACTAGAGATGCTGGAATTAGATCTTTAACTCACAATTTAAGGGAGTAAATTGAAGGGGTTCACCCAGCATGCCCTCAATCCCAGTTGATAAGGGAGTGATGCCTGGATGTTACGGAGCCCACCCCGCCAGCGGGCAAACAGGCTTTACAGACACACAAGAGGTGCAAAAGAGAGAACTCTATTTTTCCAGACAAAAAAAAAAGGTGAAGAAAGTTAAGAGAATAAGCCGTTTAGAGACTGAACGAGATAATTTAAAGGAAGATATAACTGTACTTCACCATTAGTAGCAGGAACACATGAAAAAGAATCCTGAGTTACGGACAGACACACCACCTTATATTCACCGTCCCAATGTACCAGAACTAAAAGTGAATGGGCGTCTGCACACACGTTGGGGAAAACCTGCCTTTTCTTCCTAACTTTACACAGGAGACGAGACGTGCTTTTCTGCTCTGTATAAACGGATGCATCCAGCGTAAATCCTCCCTCTCACCCTCAGGCACACCCGCGTCCCATGAGACACGATGCGGGGTAGAAACTCACGCCAGAGTTGATACTCCCCATCACCCCGCTGACGAGGAGGTGCGCGGACGGCAAAAAGACATGGCGTTTCCCTTCCTCCTACTAACCTGAAAGCAATTCTACGGCGGGAGCGAGTAGAGAGGTAGCTGCGGGGGGGGGAACAAAAAACCACCACCCTCAAAAAAAAAAAAAAAATATCTAAACAGAACAAACCAGCAGCTCAGAAGGAAGGACGCTCCAGCCCGCGGCGGGGGGAAGCGCCGCGCGGCAACACTCGCCGGGGAGGGCAGCCCCCCACCCGCTAAGGGACAGACCGTGGGCGCATTCGCCTCCGCTGCGAGGGGGAACCGAGGGGAACGGCGCCTCGCGCCTCCCGACCCGCGGCGGGGGCCGAGCCACAGCGGCGGCAAGCGGCGCGGCCCCCGCGGCCTGTGGGGACGGAGGGGTTACTGCCCGCGCAGGCCCACTCCTGCACGCCCGCCCCGCAGACCCACGGGGCCAGCACCCACCTGAGCCATCCCCGGGATCCCCGGCGCTCCTCCGCGAGTGGGGCGGGGGGAGGGGGGGGTGTGAGGGGTGGGAAGAGCTCTGCCGCTTCACGAAAACCGTCCCCCACTCCGCACCGCTGCCGCCATCTTTAAACGCCTGCTCCGAGCCGCTCCAATCCCCGCAGGCGGGACTTCGCGCTCACCAAGCCAATGGCGTTCCCAGTCTCTCCTGTCACGAATTTGAAATGTCGGTAACCACTGGTGAAGCCTCTGGCATGTTAACTCGCTCTGCCACTAGAGACGCGGAAGGCATACGCCCTCACACTACCAGGCCACTGAGAGGCAGGCAGAGGCGGGATGGAGACGGCGGGAGGGCGCGGCCGGCCATGACGGGGGGAGCTGTGTCCGGCGGCGGCGGGCTCCTTTGTCTGGTGCCCAGGGCAGACCCGGAGCCGGTGCTGCCGGCGCGCTGGCTCCAGGGGAGCCCAGCCGGGGGAGGAACCCTCGGCAGCAGGGAGCGGTGCCGAAGGAGGCGGTTAAAGGCGGCCGCTGAGCCTGAGGGAAGCGGGGCAGGGCAGCCTCGGGGCCGCTGAGGGAGCGGCAGCGCCTTCCCCCCGCGCCCGCCCGGCCTGTGGGGCTCCACCCAGGCTGCTGCCCCGCGGGGGGAGCGCAGACCCGCCTCGGCCCTGCACCCGGGCTTGGAAAAACAACAACAAAAAAAAAAAAAAACCCAAAAAACCCAGTAGAAACAAGGGTTGTAGAAAGTTAATTGCCTTTTATCAGAGCAGATGGACTGCTCAAGCCTTTCCCCCCTACACTAACTAGCTTAAAAAAAAAAAAAAGCTACTTGTCCCCAGAAACTGCTTTACATCTTCAGCACAACTACAGCATGACCCCTTCAAAACTTAAAAAGGATAAACCAAAGACTGACCATCTTTGATGCCGTATGTACCAAGCAGTTCACAGAATAAGCCTCAAATCAGATGGCAGTGTTCTGACACAATTCCTAAATAATTACAGAAAACATGTAAAATTGCTTTTAAAAGGTTAATGAACAGTTGCTGTTCTAATTTGCTCTGATACTTTATAATTCACTTCTCCCCCAAAACAGAGAACTGTAGTAGCTTTTAGCTATACACTTAAATTACAGGGATGCCTCTCTCATCCTTCACTATCATACCTATTTGAAATCAATATTACCATAGTACATATTGGCTTAATCACTGACAGTATAATAGCATTCAACTACAACTGGTTTTGTTTGCTTCCACATGCAATTTTAGAACATGAGAATCTCTCCTTGATATTTCACTCATCTCACGTCTTTGAGGTCCCCAACTACTGTTATGAGAGGTAAAAGTAGTATTTTAATAATATTTTAAAATCATATTTTGAAGACCTCTATTAGGCCTTTCATCTTTGTGTTTGACTGGACCAACATATCTAATGATATGGTGGTAATTTATATGGACATAATGTCACAGTACTGTATCAACAGATAATGATAAGGTTACTGAAATTGGTCGAATCTTGCAAGCTGTCCTCAAAAACTGAAAGCAGTTTCTAATTTTTAAATCCTCGTAACAGGCTTCTGCACTCAAGCCATTAGAGTAGTTTTTAAATATGACTGCTTTTATTAATGTTAAACCACTTTGGAACATATATTTATTAAATATCCATGGTTTGCAAAACAGCCATTTACATCATGCTTCAACATTCAAAGCTGAGGGAAAAAAAAATCTCATAATTAAGTACAGAATTTGAGTTGATGTTGTCATTTGCTGTAAAGTAGCTGTATCACATCACCTCATAAATTGCTAACATTGTGACAGAAAATCGTCCCTTTCAAAGGATATATGAAAATACAGGTATCATGACTCATTTGCATTCAATTTATGTGACTGTACAACTGAAGTATTGCACTGAGTATTGCACACTTTACAAAATAGGTTAGATTTTTTGTATGTACATGAACAGCAACATTTCAGATAAGATCAGAAGAGGCAAAACAAAGGAGTTTTGCATAGAGTTGGAAGAATTAAAATGCCTGCAGTGTTTTCGAAGTGAAAAAATAACCAGCACAGTAGTTTCTTCATTGTCCATCTGTTTCCAGAGAATCATAATACCATGACTTAAAGCAGCAATGCAACAGCTGATTTCTTGAGACACTGTCACTAAAGGCAAATATACTTCTTTTTATAAACAAAATAACGATTCAGTAGCAAAACAGTGGTTTCATCAAAACAGTATTACAATCATGGTTAAATTTTTAACCCACAAGGCTGGCCTATGGAGAATTAAATGTGATCTGCTTATGTGTGACAAGTTGCAAATTCACCTGAAAATTTTGATCACCCAGACTTCTAAGCAAAGACTTGTCAAACATACACAAAAACCTTATCTTACATCCAGACTTTTGAACCAGAAGTGTGCAGGTCCACCTGCACAGTGCAATCAGCATTTACAATACTATCACGAACCATCATTATCATCAACAAAAAATCAGTTTCTAATGACAGGAAGATTTTAATATACAGGACATAGGCTGGACAGAAACATCTGCTGTCAACACAAAATACGGAAAACAAGCCTATACGGTAAACTAGGAGCTTTATAATAAAGTTTTCAGGCTGCATTAATCAGAATGAAAAATAGGTGGAGCCAGTGTCTTTTTCATATTCTTAGTTACAATGTCAGTAACTGCAGTGCGCTGTTCCAACACTGAGAGCTACTGGAAGACAAATTTTGCTCCGCGTTACTTTTACTTCAGTATAATAAGTTGTTTTGCAACTTTTTACTGGTTTGGTACTGGTAAACTGGTATTTGCTTGCATTATATATCTTTGTGTCTCACCTTTTGCTGAAATCTGCTCTCCTCAGCCTAACCTCTGTCAGTCATCACCTGACAGCTATGGAAAGATGTCAAAAGGACCCCATGAGCAAGCTCAGATGAGTCCTCTGGTGTCAGAAGAGGTTGTTGCTACATAGATAAACAAAGTAGATACATCCTTTGGCTCAATGGTACCAGGGAGCTACTATTAATCTTGCACTTGGCATCCATGAAGATTCAAGGCAAACTAAACTGTGTTGTCTACAGAAGCACATCTAACTTCTGATTTTTCTGTTGGAGAAACCTTCAGCCAGATGGTTGCTTCCCTGAAGTTTCAGATTGCTGCTAGCATTTTGTCCAGTAAGGCAGGCCTTTTTCTAAACACAATAGTACTTAAAGTGGGATATAATAAGAGGTCAAAAAAACAGTAAAAACTCCACCCTGTTGCAGCCCACAAGTCGTCATCTGTCCCAAGTTTTCTTCCCATCTGAATTAATCTACCATTGTATTAAAATATTTTACATATGGAATGCTCTTGTGATAAATGCTTCTGGGCACAACACTGGTGGTGCTATATACTTTGAGTGACCTTGCCAAGTCACTCTATCAAATCCACTACCACTTTGGTGGAAAATTTACAAGGTGGATGCAGCTGCAGTTTAAATACAGAACGCGTGCAACAGCAAGGCTCTTTCCCTCCCACCTATCCTGGAAGATGCATACTGTTCCATGCAGTTCTACCTGGCCAGCAAAGAGCACTTAACCCCACATTCAATAATCTGCCTTTGCCCAATTTGGCTTAATTAACCTTTTCTGTGTGGTGTTTTTTTTTGTTTTGTTTTTTTTTTTTTTTTTTTTTTTAAAAGATATTCCAAATTTGGATGAAAAAAATATGCCACTTTTTAAGTAGCTAGGTGACCTTCACATTAGAAAGTGGAGTGCACAAGTCACTCCTAACACTCGCTGCAATTGCCAATTGGACCTGGGTTAGTGCTATAGCCAAGTGACTGAGGCTGCCCCCACTTGTTCTTCGTACATAGAACAAGCTTGTTTTAGGGCTGAAAATCCAGCATTCTTAAATACATTCAATTTATCTATGGAGATATTAGAAAAAAAATTAAACAACATCCATATGGGACAGAATAGCAGTCTTCACATTTTGCTTTCTATAGATCCTTTCATCCAAATAATTCAGAGCACTTTTCTAGAACAGATATTTATCTGCTATTTGCAAACTTAAGCACAAAAGAAAGCAAAATCCTCTGAGCCAGCCTTGTGACTGCTTTCATGTCACTCATCTCTACCATGTGCTATTGTTCAGTTGTTAACTAACCCCGCAAATCAATTGTAGTTACTTTTCAAGAGCTATAGTAAGTAGTACTCCACTCACAACCACTACTTTAGACATTCTGGCTTCTCCCAAACTTCTCCAGCCAGTGACTTCTGTTGAGTGGCAGTTTTTATTGTGAGTCATTATACATCATGATGTTTTAAATTCAGAGCTGTGATAAAGCATACTTTGGTGTTCCATAGGACTGCTGTGAACTACAGCTAAGAATCTGTTGCTCCAATTCCTTAGCTTGGTCTACTATATATACAGCTGGTGGCATGCAGACATGAATCAGGAGCATAATCTTTGGCTGCCAAAAATCCACGTGTAGTTGCACTTATATGAACAAAACCATAAATGTCAGTACCTTTGTTTTCCCCAACAGAGGCAAAATAAGTTACGCTTCTGAAAGCACAATTGCGCTGGTATGGCTGTTTTTTATGTAACTGCCATTCTGGGATTGCTTTGCCAGTCTAAACACATGCATATTATACCAAGAGAGTACTCAGACCTGACTGGCAGAATATATTGCTAAAGAAAACAGGAAAATTTGCAGCTGTCACATTGCAAGGATACCGCTACAACACACATCTATCACATGCTACATCTGTAAGTAAAGTATACCAACATAAGGAGATTTATACAGCGAAACAACCGGTGCTGAGTACTTAATCTCTGTGCTATGTGCATTTCAGACAGTTTTGCTTCAGGCTAAACCTATTACCTGTTGGACTAGATGTGCATTTCTGAAGCACATCTACCAGTCCGGTTCTATTTGAAAACAGTCTAGTCCATGTGATGTGAGGTCACCCTGAAACGTAAGCCAAAGCACAGTAAATAGGGGCTATCAGAAGAAATCATCTAAGGGCACTACTAAACAAAATAAGGTACCAATGTAGACCCATCTGTAATTGAAAGGACAGTTAATTCCTCTCAAAATGCCAGCTATTCAAGTGAGATATCACAAACATGAGATGGATAAAAGCATTTGCCTAAGACCTTGGCTCCATGGCTATTTCCAGTAGCTATTCAGAGCAGAGCTAGCATGGGGAGTGAAAGAGCCCTGCTTCCCATTCATCTTTTTCATGGAAGAGCACATTCTTTCAAAAAGAGGCAAAAGCCTCAATTATTGAATAGTAGTTATAATGTTGTACCACAAGAAGAGACACTACTGGCTCCACATATTCTCCAGTTTATTATTTAAACTATTTTAATTAATGTCTGAAAAGCGTTTTCCTCCACCAAACAGAAGCAATCAATGTGTTTATGCAGTCTGGTAAGTTAGTGACCAGGGCTGCCCTGTGCCTGTCAGGGCTGGCACGTCAGATGAGATTCCCATTGAAAACACTTCCCCTGTCACCAGAAGCAAGTTTGTAAAGCACCTTATTGCATTACCAGGCACTGTCATTCTCAGAGGCCACAAAAAGAACAAGCTCATAAAATAAAGTTTCATAAAACCAGCCCAGTTCCAGAACATTCTACTGAAAATATTTAAGAACATAATGATTATCAAGAATGTGCTTAAGTCTCATTAATTCAGAGCAAGTCAAATGAGGACCAAATAGGCTTCTAAGTGCTCATGTAAAGGCCAGTTTATATATTTGTTTAAATTCTTTATTATTACAAAATTGTAACTGCAGAGACCACGCACACAGTAGCATAATTTCTGTAATTTTTTTATAGATAAAAATGTATTCTGCAGAAATTTTTGTAATTCTATACTACTCGAAGTAATTTAAAGAACTTTAAATCCCATACTTACGTAACAATCATAGCTACAGTGGAAGCTTTATAATCTGTGTGCTGGTGGTTGTTCTGGTTTGGGTTTGATTTTTTTTTTTTAATTTGTTTTGTTTGTTTTAAATCAAAAGACTACCTCACTGAACGCCATTTCCAGCTCAAACTCTTCAGGGGAGAGATTAGGACTTCACATGCATTTTCAGGACATTTTAAGAAAAATCTAGGTTTGACTGTTGAGACAAATATTTAAGAATGTAAATATTACAGTTTTAATAAGTGACATGGTATTTCCAGTTGATTTTTAGTAAAGACACGAAGAAAGAAGATAAATCACAGAATGACATGGAAGTGAAATGCATGATGACAAAGGTGCCATTGTAGCAAAGAGATTCAGAATATGAAGATTATTTTGTCTTCTGTTAAACCCAACGTGTCCACTGAAGTCACTATTCTTCAGTCTTGCGGAGTCCTACTTGCTGTTTAACCTTTGTGTTATAACCACTTTTAAAAACACACCCTCTAGCAATACATTACAGAACTCTAGGTAACCTTACCTTTTTGGCATGACTGAACCTAAGTTATATTAGAACAGATATTCCATTCTGACGATTCTGATTTCTCCACCAAATTCTTTATAAATATATTTTTATTTATGACCTTCAGCACATCTTTCAATGTAACGGATTTTCTTCACTGTATTTGTTCTCAGCTAAATGAAGTATGGCCTTCTTCATTCCTCCAACATCTCATCTTTTTTTTGTTTAGATTTGGTTTTCTCCATTTATCTTTCAAGTACAAACCCACAAAAATTTAATGTTAATCAGAAAAGAAATTGCCTTTTTCACATTCATTTTGTGTATGACAAATAGATTGTAATTCTTGCCTATCCTACCTAATATACAAATTTATATTATTATTTTTCTTCCTCATCTATGATCCTAAATTCAGTCTTATGTCTTCTGTTTGAAAAGATACAAGTTTGACTACTTTAATCTGATACTGCTTTTTCAATCAGTTCCTAAATTCTTGATACAGAATGTTCCAGAGATAGTTACTTTATATATTAATCTTATGTATTCAACATTTTCTTCACTCTGTTCACCTGAACTTCTATTTCACAGCATGAGTCATACTGATGGATTATGTAATTCTCAGTTTATTCTCTTGTCTTTCCAGTTGATTACAATACAAATTCTATTTTCACCAAGTCAAGGCCATTTCCTAAATCCTCAGAAGCTATCAACAAGACTTCTCTGCAGAAAAGAAATCAGAAGAACATCAACAATGTTCTCTTACATGAAACTGAATGATACAAAACTAATTCCTAGTAGCTAATATTCCATATAATTAGGGATGCTTGCTAAGCCATCGAAGTGTATTATTTAAGTTCTTCAAGCAAAATTTGAAATGTAAGATGCTTTAATTCTTGCCTTCTGATGGCTTCGCGTTTCTTCGACTCATTTTGAAATTACTTATTTCCTTATGATATTAAGGAAACAGTGTTCCAAGTCTTATCAATATTTTGTCTTAATACCTAGTTCGGTTTATTTAATTCGTAACTATAAATACCAGTTAAACTTTGAACATACTAAGGACCTCCAAAGGCCTAACTCATTCTCTGGTCTGTTAAGAGCGTATTTGTTAAAGCTACTGGTAACAGGGTGACAAGAAAGTTACATCTCCACCACAATATCCGCGTATGGCAGAACATTAATCTAGTCTCAACTTAGTTTAACAAGAGAGTCTCAGGTCTGTCCAGGATCCAGACTTCTTCCACAGTGAACCTCGATTCTTGCCCTCCAGTAGCATTTTGTGAGGCTCTGGCTTTTCACTAAGAAGGCATTGGCTTTGCTCTTTCCTTCCTATGATCTGTACTGTACTTCTGCTTTGATCACTTCAATATTTGGGGGAAACCTGAGCCCTTCAAAGTACTTTCAGCATATATTTAACATTACACTAATTTTCAAGGTACCTGATTATTAATAACTTCTCTTGGCACAAGCATTTGATGCTTTAGTGACCTAAATTCAAGACCAGTAATTTGGACCAAATATATCTCATTGCATAAGACAAGAATTGGCAGTGTCAACTTTAGAGACTTGTGAGTTAATAAAGGTTTTCTTTTTGCAGATTTTTGGAATTTCCCTAGCTTTCATTTAGGCTGCTATCTTAACAATGACAATACCAGCTCCCTGTCTTCTCAAAGCAACAGTTTGAAAAGGTTACTGCTTGTAAAACTAAAACCAGCTCTGAGATGGCTCCACCATTTTTTTTATAGCCAAGAATATGCCTGTCCCTCTTCCTTTAAGGGCTTGCTTGGCACATTCTGGTATTAAGATTTGAAAGATCCACTCCAGTCTGCAAAGGAGAAAGTAGATTCCAAGTACCCTGACGTCACAGAAGAAAGGGGGATGCTCCAGACATTTGTTTCAGACATTCAGTGTTTGAGAACCTTTGTGTTTTCTACCTATCTTTCTGTGCTTGGTGTTTAAAAATCCAGCCAGGGCAAGTAACAAGAGCACATCTGCTTTTGGGAGGGGATGTGGCGGGCACATATTATTTGTCAGAAGTTGGAGAGTATTTCAGAGAATTAATTACTGTGACACTTTGTCTGGGAACATTCCAGTCAATACATTCTGTTTACTAACCTGAAAAACAAAGCAAAATTCCCCAAAGCTGGATTATTAGCCTTAAAGAAATATTTTGCAATTTCTTACCTGGATAAGACAAGTATAAGAATAGAAATAATAGCAATAGAATAGAATTTTTTTAAAAAAACAAACCCCACACACAACACAACAACAAAACACAAACAAAACCCCCTGAAAACTACCGCACTTTTAGAAAGGATTTAAGTACCAGAAATGGACTTAACTTAAAGCTTTCATTGCTAATATCTCATGAAAAATTGTACTTCATCTTATCACATAAAGTTACAGGCAAATTAACATAAACATGTGTGAAAGTGCACAATCTATTAATGTTGACAAAGATTGGTCACCAGATTAGCTTTATTCATATTCTAGTTTTGAACATATATGTAAACAATTATGAAACCATTTTAAGCAAAAAAACCCTCAACTGTTACAGATATTTTAAAATTTCTTCTACTACCATTTTGATAGAAAAAAGACAGGAAGCAAATCTGTTGCAAATTTATGACTTTGCAAAGATGATACACATAAGCAAACTTAGTAAAATGCCATGCAATATCTTCCTATATACACTTTTTTCCTTTATATCCTTTAAAACTGATATTTAAAATTCCCTTTTATTCTTAAAAATCCTTTAATAAAAATATAATGCTTCCTTTGCTAACTTTAGCAACAGTTTACTTTTTCCACTGGATTCACTACAACTATAATTTGCACAGAGTATGTTATGCACTTCATGAATACCTGATAATTTCTATGGACAAGCACCTTTTGCTGGTATCTGCACTGAAGTCCTGATCCTGTTTCCACTGAAACCAATGACAAAACTCTCATAAGCTTCAAAAGAAGTTTAAAAAGCTAATTTTATTAACTATTCTGGCATAAAAAAAAAAATGACAGAGATTTTGGTTCTTTACTGTTTATTTTACTTGTCAGAAAAAGCAAATCTCAGATTTAGAATTGTGATTCAAACAACATTGGTTGTTTGAATCATCTGGTTTTACATCTAAGCACTGACTTGTTTTTCTTTTACCTATACGTAAAAAGAATAAATTTTCACTATTACAGGACTACTATAAAAAACTAAGGTTTATAAATGCGTCTACCATGAAGGAGCAAGTAAGCATTTTGCTTGCCATTTATGTAATGTCTTCAGTGAGACTATCTTGTTCAAATATACACTGGCTATTTTTTTCTTAAGATATAAAAAAGTTTGCTATGCAAACTCTCAGGAAGAGCAAGCCATTGAAGTAGAGCTTTGTTTTTAAATATGCATTTGTCAAATTCAAATTTAAGACAGGTATGGCTATTTCTTTGCATCTAAAAATAACTTTTTTTCATACAAATATATGGTTTAAACAGTCATCAAAAAAAAATAAAAAAAAAAGGGCTATTTCCTATAGCTGAGAAAGACCATCTGGAAGGCTCTGAGTTTGAAACCATGTATAACCCAACAAGACTCTATTGATTGTCTTGCAGTCAGGGTGGTCAAAAAGTCATTTAAATAGCAGTGAATCAAAAACCTATGACTAGGAAATGCAAGCAGTCCTCATACCTACAAGCTATTGAAATATGCAAATACAAAGGAAATAACTGACTGAAGCTTCTTCAGTATCTCCTGGCAATTAGAAATATGGGAATGGCCTTTCACAGTACTTCACCCCAATGGCAAATATAATTTACTGCTGCCTCCATTACAGATACACACACACACACTAGTGCAAATGCTTAAACACACAAACTGGAGTACAGAAGAATAGTTGCACATATTTGTGAAGAGTATCAGAAATCTTGTTACTCTGTAATAATTAATAATCAGAAGCTTGTCAAATGAACACATTCAGCATATATAGAGAAAAAAATAGCAGTGATCCATTATTAACTTAATACTCAGCATTCGAAATAAGCCAAAACAGAACACCAACAGCAACAAAATAAGAGTTTTAAAATAGCTTGTTATTAGCTAGAATCTTCTATCACCTACTCTGGCACTGAATAACTGAAAAAAGCATGCATTTAAATAGCTTTTTAATTCACAGATGTTAGAACATACGCAGTGCATCTTAATACCCAACTTTTTCAGCAATATAAGACTGCAATAATGTCACCTTACAACAAAAAGCTATTTTTACTAAAAATCTATGAGCAGTCACTCCAGGATTTAACATATTATACCAATAAAGAAATGAAGCCAAAATTGCACATGTACAAAACAGCTGATACACGTAAACTGCATATTTAGCTTCTGCTTGCAAACAGGTACCCGCTCCTTACCTGCCTGCTGGGGAAGAAAATTACAAACCCGATATTGCTAATCAGACTATTAGGAAACAAGATGTCATAATACAAATATTTTTATTCCAGTCAAAGATAAACAAGTCTGCTCTCATGAATTTTTTTCAGTAAAACTGAACAGAGATTGAACTACATTTCCTATCTACTCTCAAATCAAGTTTTAGAAATAAGATATATTGCTGTACTATCTATAGGAAAACAGATGTAAAGAAACCCTGCTGCTCTGCCCTCCCCAGGCAGAACATTGCACTATGGCATTGCTCAAAACTTTAAATGTTTCTAAAGCATTTAATGGTACAAAGATAACACACATTCATTCAATGCACGTTGGCATCAGCTATACCATCTTAAAAGCATATGTTGAAGGGAAAGCAAAGTTTGCTAAAATCTTCTGATAGAACAATGAAAGCAGCAAATGCTTTCCCCTCCTCAGAACTGAAAACATGTTTAGAAGTCTACTTAAAACATCTTAAAAAAACCCACAAAACCACCCACAGAAAAGCAATGACTTCATCTCGGGCAAAGACGGCCTTGCTCTGGAGGCAGGGTGATATTTAAAAATTTATTTCTGATTATAAGTTGCTACTTAATGCAAAATCAGTTTTTTATTTTCGTTTTATCCAAAGCATCTGTGAGCCTTATAGGGTATGCCACCAGCTTATTGAAACTTTTGCTTTCCTTGCTATTTTTAGCTTGTGGAGTCTCGAACAAAACATTTACTAGAGCTTAATGGCTTGTTCTTTCATTGCTATTATTACAAACCATTCAAATGGAAAGTTGTTAAGTGTGCAGTTTGAATTCATAGGTGCTTGTTTTCCACTGGTTGACATCCGCATTGATCATGTTGCGCTCTGTGAAAGTAACCCGTCCTTCTGAATCAATGAGAATGACTGTGTTAGTCCTGAAACAACATAAGTAGAAGGTTAAACCTTAGGTCTATTATATACATTTGCCAGGGTCTCATCCCCAAAGGTTTTAGCTCATTTTTAACTTGAGCTACATCACCACACTATGAGGGCAGAAATTGTCCTAGCAAGTTCAAATGAGCATTTTCAATTCCTTGTTCGGTCACTCCACTGCTCTGACTCCCTGTGCACTGGCAGCAGCTGCCATACAAAGCTGCTCATTTACAGGGATTATGATAAAATGTTAAACTTTTTTTTAGTGTCAAGTGTTTCATTCAGAAGTAGCATAAAACCAAGTTTTTCTTCACTGCCTACATGTACCCTGATGGATTACTCATATCAATAGCACTCTCATTCTTTCCTCTCAAATCAATTGCCCATTAATATTTAAACACCATTAATTATTATTATAAGACACTGATACATGATCACAGAAAAACTTCTCTCTCGAGGAACATTCCAAAGAGGAAAATTGTTTTCACATAAAGCAGATTCCATTCACGCATCTATGCCATGTTGTCATGTGTAAGCTGTCATCTCTCTATGGACACTGCAGTACCCTGCCAGAGAAAGATGACTGACCAAAGTAGGAATTTTCTACCGTCCTGATGTAGTGGCCTTCCCCAAGTCATTTCACAGTTGTTTACTCATATAAAAAAGTGCTTCATTTCCTCAAAAGAATATAATGAGACTTAATTAACAATCTCTATTTACTAAGGCATTTTGCTAAGGGAAAGGTAAGTGTGAGCATACAACTATAGTAGCAGGGAAGACTTGAAATATAGTATTAATTCACCAGAAAGGGGTTAGTATTACTACCGAGTTATCCCCGTTTCCTTTGAAATAGCAAGACTGCAACCTGTGAAGCAAGGGGAGGAAGATGCTTCTTTACAATTTTAACTCTTCATTATCCCATGTTTAAAATGTTCTCTGAATACAATCTAGAGAGACAGTTTTTGCAGTGCTTTCTCTCTCAGAATTCTGACTTAAAGTACTTAGAGAAGTGAGTGGTCTCTGCTTATTGATTTACATCTCTACAGTGGAAATACTATGGCTTACTATGCCAGAGAGACCAATCTGATAAAATCACTTATAGCAGGACCTACCAGCACCAACAGGGTTCACCTATAATTTTGTCCCATCAAGGATTAAATATCCAAGATGTATTCTTCTTGCAGCTTTGGTAGAACAGTCTAAGCAGAAAGTGATAATATCTCAGTAAGAACAGCAGCATCAGTTTGGGGAAAAGTGGAAATACTTGTTCTTTCCAACAAAAGTAATAGGTTTTTAGTGTTTGAAAATGGCAGCTACATATTACAATGACATGCCTAAAGAAACCTCTAACTTAGCTATGCAGATGACACTATTCTTGCTCTTGGAAGAGAAATGTCTTCTGCAGTTCCGCAAATACAGAAGATAATTGCATTTTGCTGCTAAAAATATGATTTCAAAGCTTTTCATGGTTTGGCAAGATCAAAAATTAGAGATGGTCATACCTACTACACTGGGCAACCAGGGAAACTATATTATCTTGCCTTGGACAAACTGAAATTATGTCACACTCCCCACTGCAGATGAACCATAATATGTGCTTAAAATGCTTATCAGTAGTAAATCTAAGACACCTCAACACTGAGCAAGGAAATATTTTACCAAATTATACTTGATGAATATCTGAACAAATTTAAAGCAGTCACTATAGAATTAAAACTTATGGCAACATAATTCTGATTTGAGATATGCTTTGATCCAGTATATATCTACTTCTGACTATGATTTGCTTACCTTGTTCCATAACCTGGGCAACGAACACATACAGCTGCATACTTGTTCAATATAGGACGTATATAATCCTTCCCTTGGTCTTCAATCGCAGGGTCTGGTAATTGACTGAAAAAAATAGTAAAGTAAGAAAAAAGTATCCAATATTAATACGTTCATCCCTTGAATGCAGCTGTATTGACTGAGTGGTTGATAAATGACAATCACTTTTCAAGTAGTACAAAGAAGTGTGAATTGTGTTCAAAACTGAAGTATGACGAAAACCAAAGACAAAACAGTTTGTAAGGTCCTTCCCAAAGAGATTCTTTCAAGCTCTCAAACTTCTGTCTCACTTTAAGAAATATTTTTCATATCTTGACAAGTTTTTCACTTTCTTTGTTATTTTTCATCTGTCTTTTGTATTTTAGTTTCAATTAATACATTAAGGGTTAGTAATTTGAGGCATATCATAAACCAGCATTTTTCCAGTTAGACTGCAGTTTTTTCTGCTGAAGGAAGACCCCTCTGCTTCTTTCAGTATTTATTTGGAATATGTGGAAAATACGTAGGACAATTCTTAAAATAAAATTTGTGAAGATGTAGGAGAGGGCAAGGTGAGCTTGGACCCAAATTTCTTGACATATATTCCTTTCAAGGCTTGAAAGATATTTAGAAACATAGTTTTGTTATAAAGCATATCAGGTTTTGTTTATTGTAATTAAACAAGCATCAGCATCCCACAGAAGAGATACTAAGGTCACAAAGGTTACTGCAGCAGCCCTACATGCCCGGCTTTCCATTCACATCACCAGAACATATTCTCAAATGCTAGCCATAAGTACAGCTTTCTATTTCAATAATTAAAGATTTTATTTAAAGATTTTATTTATCAAAATTCAATTTAACTATTACTATAGTAGGTTTTTGTATTTGATTTTTAAGCTTCTTCCATCTACAATAATCTCATTTCTGCCTCCTAGCACAAACCCAGTTACGCATATGAAAAAATTCAGCAGCCTACCAGCTGTACAGGGAAGAGGGCAGAACAAATCAGACTGATCAGTTCAACCCCCTTTTCAGAGCTCATCCTGACCTGTAGAGGAGACTGAAATTTGTTATACTGTAACTGACTTTTACAACTAACTGAGTTAATTTTCTTTGTTGATGTGGTACATAAGAGAACCTGGGGGTGTTTCAGAGAGAAGCAAGAATAGGTGCAATTCTTGTGTGAATAGAGCAGCTAAGCTCTCTGACTCTTGCATGGGACATACGGCTGGAGCGTGCCACGATGTATCACAGAAGACACATAGCAGGGCCCTTCAGCCCGTGAGAACCATCAGATCCTCTCTCACACTCCACCACTGGCAATTCTTGTATACTCTGCACAACAGGCTGCTTCCCAGCTTCATGACCACAAGTAGTTTTAAGGAGACTGGAAGGAGTTGCAGCACATCCCTGAGATCACAGTCCAAGGCAGGGCTGAAGCAGAAGAGAGGGCGTAAAGGACAAAAACCTCTGTCCAGCAGTGAAGAAGGGAATTCTAAGAGTAAGCTAACCATTGTACCTACTTAATTCCTGTTCCTCACACAAAGTGATCATAAATTATCTTACTGCAGGTTACTTGAAGAAATTTCAAAGTCAGTGCATATCCATGTGCCCATCTTTATTATGAAATGATCATTTTATCTTGAAGTGTGCTTTCAAAAGATTATAGAGTTAGTTTTAAATATTGCTTTTTGTACGTAAATATTTCCATTTTACAGTCAGATGATTTCAGATGAGCTCATACTGAATAACTGAACATTAAGGGAATTTGGACTGTATTATATCTTCTACCTTTGTCTTTTTACTAGTAAAAGGTACAGTATAACAGTTTTCTGAAAAATCACCTGATGTGGTATCAGATGAAAAAAGTAATTAAGACAGCTTAGTGGACTTCCCAATTACTATTTATTGCTCAGATGTCTGAGTTGTTATGTAAACACTTACTCTGAGCCACTGAAAAATGTCAAAAACAGGAATGTTGCCATTAAAATTGACTGAGAAAATTAGAAAACTGGGTCTATATACCAGAAACAGCTTTGCTTCAACACAAAGCACCCCCATGACAGGTAAAAGTCAGGGTAAAGATGGAAGTTACCGGACAGTCAGCAATAATATGATAGACCACAGCACCACCTTTACCGTACTCCATGTCTGGACATTGAAATGGTATCAGTTTCCTTTACTTCTAAACACCGAGCTTACAGGCTCACTGTGTAGCCAGTAGTGGGTGCAGGAACCTTACTTAGTTACTCAAACTTATCTCAGGAACTTCCTTGACCAGAGGCTTACAGCTGAACTGTGCAAATACTCCCTTTATCTCCTTCTCCCATTTAGCCTAAAACAATTGAACTTTTGAGGAAGGCACCTGGTTCTACTTTGAAAACGGCTTGCTTTCCCACCCTCTGTCTACACTCTGGGTAGCCATACAGAATAGCTAGCAGCTATTAACACAAACCTGCTCATGTAAGCAAGTGCTTACTCTGTGTGCAGGTAGAAACTGAACACTGCCCTACAGTGAGTCTCCACAAACCTTACAGCAAGCAACTTGTATGTCCCTTCTCCTGCACTCATTACCCTAAGAGAAGTGTAATCTTTAAAAGAAAAGGGCGCAGAAATCAGTGTACAGTCTGTGAGTCCTAAGACTGCAGTAGTAATGTTTACTGTGTCTGCTGCTTAAAAATCAAGTGTTGAAAGTCAGTCTCTGTGGAGAGGAAGAACACTACTTTTGCCCTTCATTAACCACCTTAGTCAACTAATATATGGCTAAAGTTTTTTTTTCTGTCAAAATAGTTTCTATGTGCAATTTTAAAATTAGTCATATCGCATTTTGAGTAAACTTTGGCTATCATGTTCTTACGGCTCTTGATTATTCATCACTGTAAGAAGCTCCTGCACCAAGTCTTCTTTGGTAAGGTCTTGACTTCTCTTGACCACTTCTGTGAAAAGCTGCTTCCCATACTGAAGCTTCTTCCATGGTGTATCCAACAAAGAATTGCTCAAACCATATATTCCTATACATACATACAGGGAAAAAAAAAATCAACCCAAACAAACAAAAAACCAAAAACCAAAACCAAACAACTTATTAAGCTCTGGAACAAAGAAAAATTAACTCATGTACTACACAAAAAATAACTTCATAATTATCTTATCCCACACAGTCTGAGGGACAAAAACAAATGCTACCAGCAAATTCACCACAAATCTCTTGTGATAATTTCCTTATTCATCCTATTGCCAGCTTTCATTTTGCCTCAGAAATAAGTGGTCATTAAGCTATGTATCAAAGATGTATATCATGTGATTAAATACAACAGCCCTTCAGATTGTAACAAGTCCCCTAGGTACGTAACTCAGAATATCGTAACCATTTCTTAACAACTCTTCTGGATCACTACTTCTGACTGTTTTATGAGGGGGAAGAAACCCCAAAAAACAACACACAACTACACCCCACACACCCACTTCAGAGCATCATTGCTTTACATTTACTAAAATTAGCTGAATTTGAGATTTTCAGCACTACTATTAACACAATGTACACTGTGGTATGAAATCAGGTGAAATATTAAAGTATTTTTTTTAAATCCAGAACATAACACTAGTAGAAACATTAGGGTATTACACAACCTACACACAAAATAACTCCTAATCCTTATACTGTTGAGTTTATTTCTGTAATGTAATTTTAACCCTTCAAGCTTTACATGTCATGAAATTAATGGAATCTGTAATAAAGAGGTTATGCAATAGGTTTAAAATTTAAAAGCAGTAACAATCAACTGTTTTACAGACCGGTCCCAGTGGACCACTTCTAGCTGCATAGTATCTATATACTTACTAAATAATGTTCAAGGAGAGAATACAATTTAATTGAAAAGGGTATTCTCGTGATTTGCAGTTGCCACTAAAAGTTTCACAAATTTTAATACAATTTAAGTGATTCCCCAGCTAATCTTTATCTGCAGGTATGCTATAAAACACACACCCCATTCCTCATTAGGAGACTACACAAGGCTGTGCTTAAGCACTCCTCTGTGCTAATATCCAGTACTTTGTTTCACAGTTTTACTCTAACCCATATTTTGCTCAACTATGAAAAAGGTGTAAGAGAATTATATAATTTTCACAGTCTAGTCTTTTCCAGTTTAGATATATTATTCGTAATTTATTTTTGCCTCCTAATTTACTCTTGAAAAACACTGCAAATCAACATTTGATGACAAGGAGCTTTCTCTTTAGAAGTACCCTATATTTCTCACTGCAATCCAAACAAATACACACAATGATTACTGAACTTGTCCCTCCCTAAAGACAGACACATACAAAGCAAAGGTATTTGTTCTTCAAGCATGCAGACCAGAACTACCTTTGCTACAGTTTGCAGATGCCTAAAATGTGTGATTCAGTTCTTCACTACAAGTGGCCATTTTTTTTTTTTAATGTTTGTATTAAAACTTTTGTGCTTGCAGCTGTACAAAAATCTAACAGCTGTTTCCAAGAATTTATGATGCAATTGCTACAGTAACTATTTGTCTCCTGGCAGCAACATTTTGACCATTACCCTAAGAAGGCAAAATAAGCCACTGTCATTAACTTATCAACCAGCTACACTGCTCAGAGCCTATGTGTCCTTGTCCATTTAAATTGGGTTTTCAGTGATGAATTCTGGAGTATTATTCTATGTGGTTGGCTAGCAAAGGACTAGATTTTGCATATTTTAAACCCATCCACAAGATAGAACAGATTTAAAAAAAAAAAAAATTAAGAGCCAACTCTGTCCCTAGAGGAGCTGGGCAAGGAAAGTTAGGGTCAAGTCCAAGAACCTTTTTAAATTCCATTCCTCAGGACAGACTTCTGTCCTTCACTCAGTTATCTAAGGAACATCCCACTGATTGCAGTGGCAGTGCAGGTGGGTACACTGACATGGATAAAAGCTTTTAATGAACTATTGATTCTTTACTGAAATTTGTTAGTAAATACTTAAATGAATTTAAGGGCATTTAGTTAATTTTTTTTTTATGAATACAAAGAAGAAGTTGGTGAAGACTATGCTTAAATGGCTGAATTACTAAAGGAATACAGCTACATTCTGATTCCTTTAAAATAACAAAAAGTAATACTCACTTTTTTCTGAAGAAAACCTACCCGGATTTAAGAAAACAGGTTCTGGTTCTCCTTTGTTTCCATAGTAGCAAACTACATCTCCTTTGGTTGTACTGAAAAATATAAATAAGAATTTCTTCTTGAAAAACCATCAGCTTCTCTATTTGATTATGCTCTAATTTCATGCAATGTTCAAACACAGCAAGATGTTTCTCCTACTGTTACTACTATGATACCACAGCCCAGAGATTAATTGGTGAGTTATATTACTCTCCTCTTGAAATACTGCATTAGCTGTACCACTGTCAAATAGTAATATTACAATTCTTTAAAATAACTGTAATAAAATTGAGCAAAACCCCAAAACTGCTACATGGAAAGCAGCCAGGCTTAATGACAAAAACTTGTATGGTTTCAAACAACTGGAGACTTAATTACTTGGGGGAAAGGGGCACATTAAAACAAACAGACAGTCCTTCACAGCAAGTAAAGTTTTCCCATCATCTCTTTTGAATTGCTACTGCATTCTATGAGGCTGATTCATATGGACCATTTTGTCTGGCTGAAGTAAAATTTTAAGCCCACTTACAGCAATGTCATAGGACACAGACTCTTTTGAGTGACCCACATACATTTTCAGGCAGTTTTCAGATAATTGTAGTTACTGTTTGTAAGCTGCCTCTCTAATTGTAGGCACTGCCTTCAGCACTTGCTCTCTCTTTTGCACAGTTTAACAAGGGGGCTCTCAAGTAATGCTCAAAGACAGCTTCCAACATTGCAAATAACTTTCACTTGGCACAGATGGTATCAGCACATCCGAACAGCATAGATTTTTAAGTAGTCATACGGATATTAACAACACAAAAAAAAAAAATCAACTGATAAGAAAAAAATAAAGGAAGTCATCAATAAGCTTTGTGTGTCTTACAGGAAATGGAGGGTGGGAAATGGATTGCCATTAGATGGGTCACTATCAACATCCCTCAGTCCCATCAGCTGTCATGGAATAGCGATTCCTCATTGATACCAGTTTGTGGTGTTTAGTGGATTCTGTTGTTTGGTTTCATGGTTTGAGGGTTTTTTTTTTTTTTCCTTTTTTTTTTTTTTTAAACTTCTCCTCCATTTTGCCAGGACACAGCCATGAGATCACACAAACCTGTATTTCACTCTAGTGATTTACTTATTCACAGTGGTAGAGAGTATTACGTCAGTTACCATCAAATATACATTTTGACTGTAGATCAGCTTTTAATTTGTCCCTCTGGCACCTTAGACAGCAGATAGACTTTTTGAATTTAAAAAACCAACAAAGCAAAAACAAAAACCAACAAAATCACACACAAAATTTACAGTTAAGATTGAATCTGTTTTGAGTAGCACAAAACAAAATACAGTAGAAAAGCCATTTTCAGCTCCTCATTTTTTCCTAAGATAAAAAGACATATCCGTGCCTTGATGCAAATAATAGTATATAGAACGCAATCTCATTAATGATGTATTGGAAGTTAAATTACTCTGCCTAAGTTGACATCCACTACTCAAACCTTAATAACAAGCAAAACAGTCTTGATTGAGCTGCTTATATTCTTCTTAAAAAGCCATTCTGAAAGACATTCTACAGCATCCTTTGCAAGACAGCCAAATTAAGAGGGAAATATCTTATTAATTATCCCAGTCAAAAGAGGCAAGAGGAATACAAAAAAACCCACATCTAAAGCAAAAATAAAACTGCTTTTCCTGCTCTGTGCACTACTCTCCCTCCTCCCAAACCCATAAGACTTTTCTGATTCCTTACAGAAAGTTGTCCAAGTTTTTCAGCATAGTTAGAAGACAGTCATAGCAGTGATATTTGTGTATTGTTTTTATTCTTAAATATCATACAATAAGCTCTCAGTTACTCAATTTACAATTTATCTACTGTTAAAAGAAATGCGGCATTTTCTGATCTTTCCTCTAATGGTTTAGAAACACATTTATTTTTCTAAGCTTTGTTTTTCTTTTTAATATTAAGATTCCTGTTCAAATTTACCTCATGCTCATCTCAAGACTCCTTCCTGACCACCCTAACTCTCCACAGACAACTGCCCACATCAGAATCATGACAACTAACATGCTTCAGTTTCAGCAGGGCACTGAAGATTTTTACTAGACTCTACTAGAGTTGTCATGTGAATGTTTTATCTGTGGTTCAGTAAAAATATTCTTATCCATTGACGAAAATAATTAAAGGTAGTGAAAAGACCATTTGTTTCTTTATCCCATTTGGAGTATTTGCACTGGGAATACCTAGATAGTCTATAACAAAAGCAGCTGAGACAAAATAGAAGGAAAACACAAGATATAACCAGAATGTTATTTCCTTTGTCTCTCAAGATGCAAATTTTTGTTCCACTACCACAAATTAAATTGTGTATGTGACCCATTTATGGAATCTGTTAAAAGAGTTATATTTTCTTAATCAGAGACAAAAGAGGTTTTGAAATTATTACTTTTAAACACACTAAGGCAGAAAAATACAGCATTTTCAATTAATATGAGAAAGTGCTGCTGAAAGTACAGGTGGAAGAAAAAACAAATTCTATTAGCAACAACCTAAACTTCCCTTCTATTTCTTGAGACTCCTTCATGTATAAACATGTTCTGAATTGTAAGTTACACAGAAAAAAAGGTACAGTTTGTTCATGAGCCGGTAAAGACATCAATCAAAACAACATCTGTTTCCACTGGACACATAACATTTTTGTTGTTGAATAAGCTGAAGTATTAGAAATAAATTATTGGAAGAGTGGAAAAAATCTCTAATGAAAGTCACCTATTATGCTGGTTCAGCAAACTTTATTGCCAGTATACTTGTCTGCAGAAATATTTGTATGATAAAAACAAGCAAAAGGTTTATTTCCTGAAATTACTTTGATAGTCATGCCATATACAATGATAAGTCTTTGACTCTTTTTCCTCCTTCAGTTAAATTACCATGATATTTTGCTTTTAAGATAGCTGTATGCTATTACAAAATTTTCTAAAATTTCAAATATGAGACTCCCATATGTTCTCATCTTAACTGGATTCTGCCAGGTCTTCAAGGAGACAGGAAAAACTTTAAGTAGTTGGAGAAGGTGAGCCATACTTTATTTGGCTGTGAATACTAAGCTACATATCTGAGATGTCTGGGACCTCACAGGAGGCAAAGAAAGAATGGAGTTGAAAGGATCAACACACCTTCTATGAGGAGAGCTGGGTGTATGAGTTCAGTTTTTCAAAGACCAAAAGCTTTGAAAACAGAATGATGTTCAGCATCTTGCTCAAAGCATGTTATGACCCTTACAAAGCCCTACATAAACAAAGTCTAGACCCAGGCTGAAAACTGAATGGAAGTTATACTTCACGTACTCCAGTCCTTGTTTATTAATGTTTGGTTAGGACCAGCTGGCCATTTTAGTGATCAGGTCTTTCTCTTCTTCAGAATTCTTTATATTACTTTTATGGCTAGTTAATGAATAGCATGAAGTGATGTTAACGTGTATGATGCATGTCTATCCCAGCTGGGGTTAGACACCTTCCTACAAGCCTGGTTCTGATCAGTACAGTTAAGAGCTGGCACACAGTACTAATACTAGAAAGAACCCCTTGGCAGCTAAAAAAAGGAGAGCATTGAGCTGAGCTGTCATTAATAGACCAGTCTGACATCTTGGTCCCAGTCACATGCTAGGATACAAGTCATATACTCGTAACAGTACACTGGCACACTGCATTTTCCATGAACAGGGACATAGAAAAAGCAATGTACAAGTATTTTAGGTTACCTGAAGTTGCTGAATCGGTGTGTTTCATGAAGCAAACTCTTTATTTTGTATCTCAAAAGCAAGAAATAGTACTTTGAAAAATATCCATAAATAAAATCTAGAGGAATTAATACAATACAGACAACGACTAAGCACAGGGAGAACAAATAAACCAAAGTTAAAAAACAGGGAAAATAAAAAAAGCAGTTGGCTGCTAATAGCCTATTTTAACATTAACACTTGGATCATTAAAAAAAATAAAACTACGGTAGCAATTATAATACATAAAATGCCTGTAATATATTTAAGCAAACAAAGCAAAGTCATTAAGGTCATTACAGGTTTTTTTTCAGTTAAGTCACCAGCAATTACACAAACTATTTTATTGGTACATTAAATACTCTCTCTTCAAATTGTTGAATCTGTAACTGCTGTAGAAGGTCTATGAAGAGAAAAGATCAGAGCAATTGTTATCACCTGAGGTCTCAAAAGACAGTTTTAGATAGAAAGGTAGGCAAATGGCCCAAGCAAACCCTTGAACACAGTTGTAAGACAAGTCCTGTCATAAATGAGACTGCATGCTGAATAAGTAGACACTACTGACTTCCTTTGGCAAAGGCTTTTTATGTGAAAGAACATTATCATCTAGCATCTGTTCTGAGATTCTCATGACTGACAAATTCAGTAACAAGATCCCCTGGAGTTCAACAAAAAGATGGAGAACACATACAAACTGTAGGGTCACTAATTCAGGACTTTTGTATCTTATTATTTCTATATTCCACATTCCCCCAGATGTGTGCTTTCTATTACACTTATCTCCACTGCAACAATGCTGCTGTCTTCTGTCAAAAAAAGACTGAAGCCTTCCAAGAGACTTCTGAAATGGGGATACTTCCAAAATTTAGTTCACTGTGCCAGTCAGCTACTACTTCTTTTATCTTTTGGCTCTGCCTATTCTTTTCCTACTGTTTGTGGATACTCAGTACTGAACATCAAGGCAGATGCCAAGACGAAAAAAAAATCACTCTAAGCTTGATCACAGCAATAGCCCCTGAATCCTGGCCTGGACTCAAATTATCTTCCCTCCCAGCTTTACAAGTATAGATACCAATTTCACTGGAGAAGTAATAAAGGCATAATTAAAGTGATGACAATAGGACCCAGTAGATATTTTTTTTATGCATCAGACAGTGCTGAGAGCAGAAAGAGAGGAAACAAACTACATAGAAATGACGCTTTTACATATATCATTCTGTCAAAAAAATGTAAGCTACAATAAATTTTCTAGAAAATATTTGAGGCAGCATAAATCTCAGTAGTATAGATGCATCACAGCAACAAAGCCATGCAGAGTTTGCCACAATTGCTTCTTAATGCTGATGAAATATAAGCAATGTCCTCCTGCACCCCTGCTTTGCTTCAATTTCAAGGTGGCTTCAAATCATGTTCAATAAAAATATAGACAGAAAGCAAAAGAAAAAAATAACGAGGCAGTAAAGCTCTATAGGGTGTGGTTACCACCAGGTGATCACTCCCCTGGGCACTGAGCTCTAAATCTTCTAAAAGGGTGAATATTTTAGGACACTGGATTGTTTTCTGAGTAACTTGTGCATGGCGAAATAATTAAACTGGCAGCTTGAAATGCTTAACAGTAGTTTAAACTGAATAGTATAGTTCATAGATGCATTTTCTTTTCTTCAGTGTTCAGCAGCTAACTGGAAAACTTGTTCTGTTCTGAAGCTAAAAAACAAACAAGCAAACACCAAACCACCAACTACAAAGCCCAAGCATTTTTGTACACGTATCACCTACAATCAAATGAAACTGTGAAAAGAACAGTGCAGGGTACTCACAGCATACAGCATCTGCTTTAAAGTACTACTCTGATTTTGTTGTCAATGTCTAAATATTTCTTTGGTGTTGTCCTAATTTTTTGAGCCAGGCAGAAGCTGATATCAGAGGGAAGAGATAAAATAAAAAAGATTTTCAGAAAGATTTTTTCCTTCTCTTGACATTAGACTGTCTGTATCATCAGACTTGCAAATGACTGAGGATCTACACAGAAATATTTCAAAGGTGGTAGTACAGAACACATTAGAGAAGTACCTGGACACCTCATTTTCATAAGAAAGTCACAAGGAGCAAGACAGATGTACTCTGCAGAAGGTGGTATTAGGACAGACAATGCATGAGAAGAAATGTAAGGGAGCTTACAGAGCATTCATGACAACTTGCCCATCTACATTCTTTCCACACGAACAAGTCTGACTATCTCACTTTTCACAGGAAAAGCTCCTAAATCTAATCTCTGGAGAGCAATCAAATCCCTCACATTTTCAGTACAGTTATCAAGACAAGGCTACCAGACAGCCCATGTTTCTAATACCTGATCACACTGTTCAGATGTTATAGTCTTATGAGGCCCTGCACTGTCAACAGTTCAGTTAACTCTTCCCAAACACCTTTTCTTCAGGTTGCCTTTTTTACCTCATCAAGAATGTTGCTATGCAACTAATGAACCACAGATTTCCATATTAAAAAATAATATACAGTCTCTCTCTAAATTATACATAAATACATAAACACTATTTAGCATCTATTTTATATATTTGTGTATCTATTCCCCTCTGTCCACACATGTTCTGACCCCACTAGCTTTGGAGATCTGCAGTTTCAACTGGAACTCAGTCCTATCCATCATCATATCAAGGATAAAACCTATTAACCAAATTTCACTCTCCAGATCAGAACATGAAGAATACATTCTAGTACATAATCTCTACTTTTCAATACATTACCAAATTAGTCAATACAATTGATGGTATAGGATACTACATTTCCCCTGAAGGGACTGAAAACTACCTGTCACAGCAGAGAGCAGAAAAGGTAACATGAAAGGCCTTTTTCTGCAGCTTCCTCCATCTGACTTGTTTTGTAAGGGACAATTAATCTATTCTTCATGTAGAAAGTGATCCACTCCTATTAGACAGGGATCTTATTGCATATAAATAATATTGGCTCTAACTGACAACCTGTCAGACACTCTAAACGTGCTGGGAGAGTGACAAGAAGCTGCCACTTCAGTTGGTCCTTCAGGGCAGTCTGTATTACACACTTGGCAGTATGGAACTCAAGTGAGATGCTGCCTCAACAGCCCTAATTCAAGTTTCAGATTCCCAGGAAAGTCTGAGCAACTGTAGCAATTAGATTTGTTGGACAAACACAGGTTTACCCAAGACAGAAATGCTGTCCTGATCAACAAAAGCAGCTCACAGTTACTTCAGGTATTATCACAAAGAAAGAAGAACTCCAAATCTTAAACATACATTTACTTAAAGACCAGTCCAGCCTCTGATAACCTTGTTCCTCTCTAATGAGACCTACAGACAGTCAGAATTGGAGGAGTATCAACACTGCCTTCTTAGAAGCTAATTTTGCAGCACACAAGACTCCAAATAGACATTGTTTGCCATATGCCATACATTCAACATAAAAGTACATTTAGCATAATGGGATAAGTATTCATGACTCTCATACTCAGCAGGTACATCAAGATGATAAACTGAAAAGATTAGAAAACTGAAGGTACCAAGTATTTTTTCCAATACAGTATTCTTATTAAAAAATGAATAGTGTTTAAATTGTCATCATGAGATGCCACAGAGCAAACAGATTACACTAAAAGTGTCAAAAGCCATGCACGTTTAAACTAAGTCACACAAAGCTGTGGAAATAAATGACATTTTACAACCTGTATGGTGGTTTCCAGCTCTTCTTCTCACATCATTGCACCTGTATCATCTAGCATACTGTCATCATAATACTACTGAGAGAAGATAAAAATTTCTTTTCCTGAAACGTGTACCTGAAAACTCAAACACTGTAAATCTCTCTAAATGTGCTACTTACAGTCAGCAATAATACATGCTCAGATATACCCCCACCCCAACAGGGCTTCATTTACACTTCCAATTCATGTTTCCTCTCCATTCCACACCACTTTAACAGAGCCACTCACTATTTGTTACAGAACAGAAGAACGTGTTAAGAATAGTCTTCAACCTTTACTTTGAACAGTAACATGGCCCAACAAAATAGCATCAACTACAGTAACATTTTCTATTTACATAGAGAAGTAGATTCCATGTATATACTACACTTCTCTCAGGAGTAGTTTTAATTTCCTAAAATGACAAGTTTACATATCTTACAGAAATTGCTCTGCATCATTAGCTTGCCAAGATTTTCATTTTATGAGAGTATCCAAGGCTAAGGACATGTCAAAATGGAGATGTTTATGAACACATACAGCTTTCTGAGTGATACTTAGCAAGGAATTATGACCTGCATCACCACAGAAAGACTAATTGAGCATACAATTCCCTATCACCCTAGTATGGAAGAATAAACAAATAGAAACACATGAACAATTGCCTTAAATAATATCAATCAAATCTACTTCAGTATCATCATACTAGCAGCCAGGGCGACTATTCTAAGTCAGAAGAAAGTCACACTTAATCATTGCTTATTAGGTCACAACTTGAATACAAAGTAAAACTTCTTCTGTTATCTTCTCAGTTCAGATACCCTTCCAATTTATGAAAGCTAGCCAGGCAACAAAATGCAGCAGAGAGCAGGAGAAGTCAAATCCTCTGACCGTGGTAAAAATTAATTTAAGCAACAGAAAAATTTTGGAAAGTCTCCAGTGGGATAAAGAACTTTGTAGAGAGTAAAAAATAACACAAGAGCAGCAAACCCTGTAATTGCCTAATGTGCTTCTGGAAACATAACCTATACGCTTATTTCTAAGCGGGCACACCAAACAATTACATTCCTGGTATCTTCTCAGGTGGCATGCATCTGGCTTTCCATATCCATCCTTTTAGACTTCAATCACATATATAAGTTTCATTTCACTTTCCCATCATATCATAGCAAATTAAAAAAATGAAAACTAATAGCCTAGCAGAGCTTGAAATAAAGATCTTTCTTATAAAAGAAGCCATGAAAAGAAAAACAAAACAAGACATGACAAAACACTGGGAGGGAAGTCAGAAACTAAGTAAGAAATGACTGTTAAGTCTGAACCACCAGTTGAAGGTGGTCTAATACAAAAATTGAAAAATGTAAATGCAAGGCCAGTTAGCAACAGGGTGCTAGAAATTCTCTTCACTGAAAACAGTAAACATTACGACCTTCTGCTTTAAGTGTATGTGGTTTCCCAGAAGCATGCAGAGAAGCTGAGTGGGAAAAGGCCCTGTGCCATCAGGTTGTCTAATAAGATTAACGCTTCTGCATAAAGTATGCCAAAGCAGTAGTGTGCTCTTGGCAATTTATACCTGCTTATGGTTATGAAGTATGCATCTAACTGAGAATTGATACATAGCCTGGAGATGACTTTGTCCTGGATTTTCATTCTTCTGAATCAGGCACAATGCAAAGAAAAATCAGCACATATACTTGTGTGCACACACTTGCATGTGCAGTGGAAAGGACTATGCCAAGCACGTGGATACTGGATGATAGTCAAAGGTCCTTTCTTCAGCTACAGAACCTGAAGTAGTTAAAAAAAAAAAAAAAAAAAATCAGCACCTAACCAGTATGTTAATGTTTCCACAAAGATTAATGATACAGCCACTCTGACAGGACTAACAGCTTGAAAGTTTTCAGCTGTTCTAATCCTGCCACAGTAGGCCACCTCTCAGGGGAAAAAAAAAAAAAAAAAAAAAAAAAAAAATCTGAGAATTTACAGAGCCAGGGTTTTGTTTTCAGGGTGAAGACTGATGATGGCCTTTTAGGGAAAGAATTGCAAGGAATTTTGCAGGAAGCAATAATTAGAATACAAGATAGCCCTCCAGTGTTTGGGAGATGAAAAATTAACAAAGGAAATTATGACTAGAGTAACATCAGGATCTTGCATGCCAACCAGCAAAAAAAAAAAAAAAAAAAGAGCTCTAGCTTTAGTTTGTGACAGGCTTCTGTACTGTTACACTTCTGTGCTAAGAAGTTTATGTACATCACTGTTACTATCTTTCTCCCTTTGACATTTGAACTGTGATGCTTTGTAGACTTACTTCAAGTCAGCTGCTAATAAATTAAATCCATTGTAAAGATGTCCTTCTACTGAAACTTTCTTCAAGTAAGAGTAGCTGTCCAGATCTGTAGTCAAGAAGTTTGTTACAAGAGCACCTAAGAAAGAGAAGTACATAGAGAAACTTGTATGTGTGAACTCACTATTATGACAGGCTTGGTAAAACAAACAGTAAGACACAAGATTCCTCTTACCAACAGGGTATAACAGTGTGGAAAAAAACATCCCAAAAAATCCAACAAACCAACTAGACTTTAAAAGTCTTACAGCACTGTATCATGTTCACATTAAGAGCTTGACTTTTACTCTGAAGAACTCAGTCAAAAGCTCTTGGTCAAAACTTCTACAGAATCCATATTTACTAACTGTTCTATACTGGAAGTGCCTTTCCTCTCCTTGCACCTTGCCAAACTCCTTATTGTCTTGCTCCATTTCCCTTATACAAGACCCTAAAATAAAATATAAATGACATAGTTCATTTGTTTCTTTGTATAACATGTATTGCCACTGCAATATATTCCCAATGCAGTACCACATGACAGTTACAAACAGACCTACTTTTACTTTAAAAAAAACACCCCATAGATGTACTCTTTTGGAAGTTTTTTTTCCTATTACTTCTGCTCCTCTGATTTATCAATGGGTAGGGGGAGAAAGGACTACAATGATCTTTTAGGCTAACCTCCAGCATAATCCAAGTTGTATTGTTTCCCTGACTTAGATGTTTGCACAAGAACATACACATTTTAAAAAGTCTACTGTAACCTAAATGTAGCTCAACGCTTATCTAGCTGTTCTGACTGTTAATTAAAATTACTTTCAAGAGAAGACAGTTGGTGCTGCATTTCTTGTCTGAATGTAACTTCAGGCTGTAGGCACTACATCTTGCTTTACTTCTGCCTGCTTGATTAGAATAGTATTATCCAAGTCAAGCTTCCCACAGAGGTACTCAAACTCATCAGTTCACAAATTCCATTTGCAGCACATAACCATTTTATTTGTCCATAAAGTGGTGTTAACAAAATTAATACTGTCAGAATCATTATTTTACTGGGACACCAGGGCTTGTTTGTCCACTTTCTTCTTTTTCTATTTCCACTCCTTCATACCTCTTCCTTTTGCATTTTTATCAATCTTTGGCTGCATATAATTTGTCAGGGCTGCCATCTTGCCTTTCTTACTGATTCCCAGCCATGTCCCACCTTCTTTTCCTTCCTCCATATCCAGACCTAACGGAGTAAGTAAAAGTTAGATTATTACATTAATCTTAAAAAAATCTCAAACTTAAATTAGAATTTCTTAACGCAAATCCTGAGTCTTGATCAGGCTGGATAAAATGCAGTAGGTACAAGACTGTTTTTCTGGACAAGTGAGGCAAGCCTACCTAAATCACCTGACTCCAATTCTGCACTTTCCATTATTTTCCAAGCTACTGCAAAAATAGATGAGAGATAATGAGAAAACTAAGAGCAAAATTATAAGCTTTGCCTATATGCTAAAACACATATAAAACTTTTAAGTAGGCTCAGAACGCTTGTTAGCTCAAAAGCAGACCTTAGAAGATTAATGTTATTTGCAAGTTTAAATCACAAGTAACCAGGAAAATTTCAAGTAAGCTAGGTAACTGATAAAAATCTTGGACCCTAGTAGCAGTAATTTACATGGAAGAGGGGGACCAACAGAAGTGAAGCCCACAACCAAACCTCTTGCAAGAGGAGAGTAAAAAAAAAAACCCACTACCTATTTGTAATGAGCTCATGTTAACCAACAAGCATTTAATAGAAAAACAAGAACTAGTTCAATATAACATGCACACTGTTAGAAACCTTTTAATTCTGAATTATCATGTCAAATAACTTTCATTACAAGATCAAAAGAACAGATTTTGAGTCCTTATTCAGAAACTTCTTTCTTTCTTCAGTATCCACAATTTCAGTGTCAAGTTTAGTCATATCACATCTTTACACAACACTTTTACTACTGTTCTTTACCTTAACTGAAAGGCACACAGAAGAAAAACATACAGCTTTGTTGACCAATGCTCACTGACTAACATATAGCAATCGCTGTTTTTCAAAACTGCTCTAAGTGCAAATATTTTCACATTTTTAAGTCACAAAGAATAAATTTTATTTATTTTGGTTCAACCTGCTGCTATCATTTGAGATAACATTATTAACTCAACAGCATATATTAATGAGATGATCACAGATACACCCCCTGGGTGGTAAATATACCAGCTTTTTATGCCAGATATGGACAGAGCTGACAAGGGTATAAAAGACAAATTCAGGACCCCTCAGTTTTCAGGGTAATTTTTTGCTTGTTTTGAACTGCTAAGTAGCAGGGCAAGCAGCATTCAGAATGCCTTACACGAAACAGAAACATCAGCCAGAACTTCAGAACCAAGGGAGTTGTAGCACAGTGAGAGTAATTTATCCTCACAGGCCTCCTTGCCAATGACAATAACACACGGCATCAACAAAGAGTATTTGCAAAGTCAAAATCTTGCATTTAAACAAAACTTTGTCTTCCACAGCTTCACTTTTGTTTCCAAGAAAAGGCAGAAGTATTGATTATAGTTAGAAATGTCTACAGATAGATTCCCTACAAAGGAGAACCAGACAGCTAAGTGACTGTACTATCAGTTTAGCAAAATGTAGAGATGAAAGCTAATAAACTGATGGATCAATAAATAAAATTATTCTGTCACCTATAAATTATTAACCAGTAAGAAACGAAAAAGTTTTCACTTTCTTGAGAATTGGTTTAATCATTTCAAGTCACTACTACAGACAATCAGTCTGTAAAATAACTAATTCCACATATTTTAACTATTTCAGTGTGTCTGACAAAGCTGAAGTAATTGTGATAGACAAATTAATCTGCACTGTTCAGACTGAAATCAAAGAATATAAAACTGGGACAAAACCCACAAGATATTAGAACACAAGTAAGATAATAATAGTGCAACTCATCTTTCAAATTGATGACAAGTTTTCCCCAGAAGTACAGGGAAGCACATTTCTTATTAGAAATGCAGCATCACCACTCCAGTAACAAAAATCCAGGCCATAACTCCCTTATAAATTGTATGAAAACCACTCAAAACAACAAGACACACATACCACTAAGGATCTCATTGCTGCTGTCCCAAAAATCTGCCGATTTGGATGGTCTGTGGTAAAATTCATCTCTATTAGCTGCTAGAATAAGCCTGTAAAGCACAAGAGGAAAGAGATACTATTACTTACAAATAGGAACTTCACAGTACAGGCAGGAACAGAACCCAAATCTTGCTACAGCATTATCTCATTTAAGTATGAAACCATCCTTTATCGTCCCATCCCACCTTTATCACTGAGTGTAAAGGCTGAATGACACCTGAGAGCAGCCTTATCTCTCATGCCTTAAAGACATTCATCAAGTCTGTTTTATATGAATGAGGCAGCTATTATTTTCAAAGAATAATCCTTGTAACACAAGATACTGAATTAAGATCACATAAGCCATTTTAGGATTGCTCAGTATGTGAAGTTACAGCTTAATTAAAGAAAATTTAGAGGTAACCCACAAATTCAGCGATAACTTACAAAAAAAAAAATCTGGAACATCAGAGTATGTCTTTACTGGATCATTACTTAGGATCATGTAGTCACATTTTTTTTCAGTCTATCTTCAACACCTAAAGCTTCATTTACGTGGTTCAAAGACAGAAGTCAGATGCTTTTGTCTGTAAGTACCCAGATAAATTTGTGATAGTCTCAAAGGTCCAGCCCCACTGAAATCTGTTTGAAGAAATGACAGCGTGCTCAAGGAGGCAGAGAAGTAAAGGGAGAAGACCTGGGTTTTTCTAACAATGGAGGTATTTTGGTGGGGCTTTTCCCCCTCTGTTTCCGTTGCGTTGTGGGTTTTTTTTGCATGTGTAGTTGCTTGCATAATCTGAGTTCTACCAGAACTGTAGGACTAAATAATTGAATTGTTAATGAGAGTCAGCCCTTGCAGGAGAGAAACTACAAACAGCCCTGGAGGCTACACAATCAGGAGACAGGAAGAAGTTATGAAAAATAATACGCAATTAAAAAACACTGCCAGATGAAATCCATTGTTTACATTTAGAAATAAACACATCACTCCACAAGACCAAGTGCTGTCCTGACAAAAAGCACGTGGCAGCTTTTCACGTGTCATCTAAAATTTGATAATTTTAGAAAACATATACTTTGTACTTTGATAGTTATCTCTGATAATTATCATACATGGCTCCTGCAGACTTGGAAGACCAAGTTCAACATGATATTTAAGAAGCAGTGGACACACAAGATAGGACAGGTCTTCTTCAAAAGTTCCAGGCTTGGCAGCAATGCAGATCAATCAAACTCAATGATAGCACCAGTTCAAGCCAGTCAGGCTGTGAATGTAAAGCAGGTAAGACTTAAAGAGTCAGCACAGACAGACAGGTTCAGAAGAAATTGGAACAGTCTCAGTTCTTGGCCTTTGAAAAGCAATAACTGTTTCTGTCCACTTCTTCCAGCAGAAGTTATTAACAAAAAGCAAATTACAGATCCTACAAATATCTTCCTGAACATACGCTACAGTCATTTCATTAGCAGTGTTAGTACTGGAACACTAGAAAGAAAAGTCTAGGCTAATCTGACTGTGCACATCCATCTTCTGAAAGTGAGAAAGTTAGCATTTTCTGTTAATTCCAAAGCAGTGGAAGACAGCATCAGAAAGTAAATTTAATGAATTACTGCAACATCAAATAAATGCAGGGTATCTATAAATAAAAGCTCGAGTTAAAAGTGTTACTGGGTTTCTGTGCTGATAATCATCATTCAGACACTGCAATTCTCAAACCTGTAGATGGGCTTTTATTTGATACTGCTTTTTCATCAGTCTTTTTTTCAATCATTATTTTAGAATTAAAAAAAAAAAAAACCACACAAGTTTTTTTCACTGGTAGAACATCCTCATGTGAAGAGCAGGTAATAGATTTGGCTGATCCAAGGAAAGGGCAAAAGGACAACTGTAACCCTAGTCAAGCCATATACTGGAGACTCAGGGCAACTGATGACTGCAAACATGCTTGTGCACAAGTCCACCACACCATACCATGATCCAACTGCTAGCACTTCCAAAGTCCTGCTCATTATTACCCATAACATGACTTGCCTTTATTTCAATGGAAAGACTGTGAGTGTTCCCCATTCCCTCCAGCTATGTTGCTTAATATTTGATTTTAATTAAATGTCATCTTTCAGAATCCTGCAGATTTTCTTAGCCAGTTTCCTATAACCTCAATATCTTCTTCACTGTCAGTGCCTCCTACCAGCCACACGCCAATTACATGCACACAGCAGAAGCCAAGTTTGCTGCTGTAAACTGAAGTCAGACCATACAATTCAATTTTCAATCTCATTTTTAAAGCCACAACACACAAGAAGCAATTCAGTGAAATCTCATTACTTTACTCAGCATTGAAATGTAATGACATTTTCTGCAGGTTTCTGGACTTTCCTGCAAATTCATCTCTTCATTAACACAATGTTTTAAAATACAATCATGAGATGCCAGTTGCACCTTAGAAATATTACAGATTTATAATCAGCTCTAGAGAAAATACAAAAAGGCTAAACTTCAGTGGCATGCTCCCTGTAAGCAAGATGCTTAGTATTTTGTCCAAAGCACAATGTATGTACTTTTTTATCTTTCCAATGACAAATAGTCATAATGTTGTTCCTCTCAGACTTGTCTTATTTCTCTTCTTATAGCTGATTATAGTCTTTAACCTACAGGCTTTCAGTTGGTTTACCAAATTTGTCATCTTGCTTGAATATCCTCCATTTACAGCATGCATCCTCATTTTACAGATTTTCATTCAAATAAACATCTCTACTGTTAAAAAATAGTTTGTCTGAAGTGCATTTCTCATTTCCTGCAGCTCCAATTATATTTTGCCTTCAATAACTCTTCACATGAAACTACCGTTTGTTTATAGTATCTAAACACTAAAAATAAGTGAAGTCTTTCTGGTGTGATTGATTCCCCATCTCAAGTTTAATACACAGACTCCTAAATTTAGCACAAGGCTAGTATACAGGATCGCTGTAATAAAAACATCTTTGTCTTTTATGAAACATAATCATACTGAAAAGGAGCAATATTAAGTGACCCTCATCTTCTAATAAATTGCAAAAAGCCTATTCAACTATTTTTATAGCTGAAATAATTCAACAGTATTGGAATTTACATATTAAGATTTATTTTAATGTTAAGACAGAGAGATGTAAACATGAGAAATCATTCCATTAAAGCAATTTCCTACAATGTAATTCAGTTCCATAAAAAAAAAGACTCTGTGATTATAGCTTTCAAGCTTGAAAGGTATTTATTTGTAAGATGCACACAGTATAGTTCAGAAAGCTGTAAAGCCAGCGTGTTACCTTTGACAATAATAATGGACTACAGTAAAGCATTTGCTACACTGCACTAAACTTTACTACAAATAGGCCAGCTGAGAGAACACAGAGGAAAAAGGGTAGAATGGCAAGTTGCAAGGGTACAGGAAGATAGATTCATTAGTGTATCACTAAGGTGAACTGTAAGCTTTTTACTTAATTAGGTGCTCATGAAAATTGGCTAATGTACTGCTCTAGAAACCAAAGTCTGCCTGGATGGAAAATTCTCCTAAGTGTTATGAAGAACACATCACAGTTTGAGAAATTTTATTGGCTACAATAAAATGGCCAACGAAAGGCAATTTGTCTTTTCAAGTTTTAACGCCTATTTTAGATTCTTTTAGTTAGAAATTAAAAGTAGAAGATGATAAGATAATTGTAGATGCCTGTTCTAACATGGACAGACAAATCATTGTCTACAGCTACAGAAATCCTCTTTTGGTTAGGAAAACTGCTCCAAGAACTCACCATGAAATAAACAGAGCCATAGCACAGTGTAACACACATGAGCTGTCAGGAAGAAAGAAAAAAAAAAAAAAAAAAAAAAAATCACACTTAGCAAGAGACTAGTATAGAGAGGTCTAACTTGGTCTAATATATAAATAAATATGTGTGTATAAAAACATATAAATATATAATATATATAAATATATATATATATGTGTATATATAAGTAAAAAATATTAAGATAATTAGGAGGGCTGGATACCATTCCCAGTTGGTACTCAGACCTATGTCCTTCAGAAAGCTGAGGGAAAGGTAAAAGAAAAAAAAGAAAACCTTTATGATCAATTTAAGAAGAAAGAACTTCAACATTCTTCTGAATAAAGAAAAGCAAAAAGATTTAGTTATGGTGTGTTAAGGAGAAAAAAAAAAAAAAAAAAAGAAGAGTAAACTTATGTATCTGATGTTAAAAATCTGACACCAAGAACACTATGGTCTGGCACTTATCACCAAAACAGATGGCTCAGAGTAATTTATCTCAGAAGTATAAAGCAAGATGTTACTTAAAAGGTAGCAAGGAAGGTAAAGACAAATAAACATTCCTGAATTTGGGCCAAGCCATCTCAAAAGTGTTTTCCTATTTTGACACCGATAGAAAACTGTTTTCTGCTATAAATCAGTAATTTCAATCATGATGCAAATTTTTGTAGCAAGCAAACTACTATAAGTTTTACTTTTAAATATTGATCATGGCAGAAAGTTCACTTGGCAAGCAACTACAGTTTACATGCAAAGGATCTTCCCAAGAGGCATCAAAATTATGAATCTGTCCTTTGCTAACTAGCAACAGAAAGTCAGACCAAATAAATGGATATATTAGTTCAGCACCAGTCACATCATAAACAAAAACCCTTTTTAGGCAGATTCCAGATGCAGAAAGGAATGCACTCTATGGACAACTGATGCTTTGGTTCTCATTTCCTTTCTTTCCATAGAATGGCATCTGCTTCTTAACACAAAAGGGCAGAAAAACAAGTCGATGAAAGACACAATGATTTACAGAGCATACTCTGAAGGTTTCTGGATGAACACCAATACTTGTACCCCACAAAGTGATATGGGACCTATACAGTACATGTAAATACAGAAAGCAATAGTCTACAGTCTTTTCACTGGCCTGAAGAGCTATCTTTCTATTACATACTGAATGTACTCAAAGATACTGACACTGGATATGACCTTTTAAAATGAAGGGCTGTAATGAGAGAGAAAATTACTACAGGACATTTAATTTGGGGGAAACTTACTGCATGACATCAACATATCAAGTAAAACTTACCTAGAAGTATGGATGCTTATTTTGTCTTAAGCTTTTGGCTAAAGATTTCATACACATGACTATTAGTTCATTGCAAGCAGATTTGGGGGAGCGGGAAGGCTAGGACACTTATTCTCCAGTTTACAGCACTACTTGCTTTACATTGATACAGGAGAATGAGTTTGAAAGCAGTGAGTTTTGATTTCCAGCATTTTCTGAAGGTCTAAGTACTTAATTTTAGGGCAAACAGCAACTGAAGATTTAAAAGTACACCTTGTCCCAAAAGCAAACTGATAGGCATAAGTAACTGTGAGAATACCTTGACCTCAGCTATCCATATCTTAAAAAGCAACTGCACCTATCCACAAGGTAGTCAGTTCTGTCAAAAACACAGTGGAAGAGCAAGCAGTGGTAGCCATGCTGTAATATGGAACAGAGCAGTGAACTACACAAAGGACAAGAAGGTGCTGTCCTTGGGAGGAAACAAGACAAAGTGGCAATTCAAAGTTAACAAGAAGCTACATAGGCAGTTAAATCTCAGTATTAGTACCTTTTGGATTCATAGGGTACTGCTCTCTTGGCTTACAAGACTGGACTAGTACATATTAACAGAGGAGAAATTAATACCCAGAGTGGTTAATAACTGCAACAGTTCTGCTCTATTTTCTGCCCATTATTTTCCAGGCTGAAGTTAAATTGTTGGTTTCAAACTGAAAGTCCTAAACATATCTACCCTACTGATATAAGGGTGCAGCTACAGCTGTGATGCCCCAACAAACACAATTTCCCTTAGTTTAATGATAAAGTAGAATGCAGGACTTCCAAACTCTGGATTACAATACTTAAAGGATTTATCCTACACCACATGATAGATTACCAATAAAAGGTCCATGATTACAAAGCCCAAGTCTTCTGACATGGTCTAAAACCAAAGGGTTCTCAAAAGGTTACAGTAAATCCTCCAATGGGGAAAGTCATGAAGTTAAGCATTACAGAAAAACGTAACTGAACACGTAATACTGACTAGAGTTTGTAATCCCAACATTAGCTGCAAAAATCAATTGTATAAAAAAATTGTATAAAGAAGTCTGTTTTAACTAGAACCATCTTTACCTGTATGCATTTTTTGAAACTGGTCGGGGGTCAAATTTGAATAGAAGGATGCACATTGAAGGATTAATGCTTCTATCTTGCTTATTCCACAAAGGCTCAGTTCAAAGTCATTCTGTAATAGCCTACAAAGGAAATAAAGATTATTATACTGCAAATGATGTAGAGATAACCTTGCTTCTATCCTGAAGGTTAAAGATTGCAATGTTCGCACTAGTAACTCACAACAAAAATAAAAAAATAAAACAGGACTTCCAAACCAGATTTGTTTCTATGAATGGCTTACTACCAAAATTCTTAGGGCAGTTGTTCAAAAATTTTGCTTGTCTAATTGAAATTTTTAGGAAGGAAACAAGCATCAGGAAAATACTGACAGAGTCTACACTGCTAGCAATACATGAAAGAAAAACTATTATGTAATTTTCTGCTCATTACCAATAAAGTACCACTACTCTTTTTCCCATCTTAAGTAAAGCAAAATGCTTCTGTTAGAATAAAAGGAGAAAATAGGACTCAGACTGTTGCAGAAGCTGGAAAAAGCCTGATCAAAGACACTCCCAAACCTATAAAATCAGTATACTTAAAGCCAAACTATTGTTAAAGTCCAGGAGAAAGTATTATTGTTTAACATCAGGGAAGACATCAGATACAAACAAAAATATACTGGACCAGAGTGTACATTTTGATAGATAGATTCCAGCACTTGTGGTATGTTTAAAATTCTGGCCATGCTCAGACTGCATGACAAATCTATTTTCTATTTCAAAACCACATAACAGCTTTCAAACATTTTGTGTTGTCCCAATGAAAATTTTTCTGGTAATAAAACTGCAGCCTGATCTTTACTTTTTGTGTCTGCTAAAATAATTATCAGAATGCTACTGACTAACCATACATAATCGTGTTTAACTGTTACTGAGAGGTTTTTCCATGCAGGAGTTCTCAAGGTAGGTGAAGAGGGGAAGAGGACAGGCACAATTCAATACCACAACTCTAAGGCCATCTGAGTAACCCAGTGACTGAAGCAACTTCTGTACGAAAAGCACAATTTTGAACCATACTTTCAGATATGTAAAAAGTGTCTCTCTTGCTCTTTAATTCCCATATCATTTACCTTAAGAAGCATCAGGAAATTGATGATCTTGACTACACCTTGTATTACCAGAAATAGAGCTACAGGTGCAGCATTTATACAGATTTTTTTTAATTAACAGCTTGCCAGTAGCTGCTGGCTCCTGTTAAGTCACAGTTCAACACTAAAACTAGCCTGCTGTTGCTGTCGTGGCACAAGTTCAGTCTTGCAATCTAATATTCTGCAAAGAAATTCTTCTGTTGCAGGAAATTAAATAACTCAGAGGTACAACACTCCTGACACTTGCCAAAGCACAATAGTGCAAGGGAGTGTGTGTGTATGTCCCAAAGTATTTTAAATTCTGTTCTGTGACAAAAGGAATTTCTTGCCCAAGATGACTTCAGTTTACTAGCTAAGAGCAGCAACAGCCCAGCTATCCCAACTATTCTGTTTAACATGCTACAAAATAATGCATTGGAGAAAACCAAATTCAATCACACCATAGGCTTTCTTTGCCTCTAACAAGTCAATCCCAAAATAACTGGTTTAGAAACTAATAATAAACTGAAGATGCAGACTTGAATTTTGGGTAACTGATAAACTAGCCAGGTGTTTTAGAAGATCCACCGTCAGCTTTATTTACAAAATCTAATCAGTTTCAAGGTGGTGTTATCACCCTTCTCAGACTCCTATTGCTTAATTTTCAATAGACTGCAATCATACTGGACTTCTACAACTGAACTACCAGTTCTGGAAGACTTCAATCTTCTACATACAGATCTTGTTAGCTTTTCACAAAGCTTGGGATCTCGTGCCCCAGCTGCTTTATGTCAGTAAGCTTAAGTAACACTGACCTGCTCAAACCTTCCACTCCAACTCTTAAAAAGAAACTGAAGCAAAACAAAATTACAGTCACAGTTCAAACCAGAGCACAAATTTCCTAGAGCAATGGACATTTTGTGAACTAGAGCACAATGCCATTTCCAGATAATATATTTAAAACATAACACAAACCATGTTATGGTATTTCTGAAACCTTTTATACTTCCTTTTTTTTTTTTTACCTTAAATTTCTGATTTTGTCCAGATATCCAGGCAGTATCTACATGCCATACCCTACCCCAGTTTATTTATTCAGGATACTATTTCTTCTACCAGAAGGGATTTAAATGGCAGATCTTCCTATTCATTATTTACTCCTCTGGAACATCGTGTCATTCCTTATTCTGTACCTGCTAGCTTTCATTTAAGCTTTTCTTCTCATAGTCCAGAATTTTCTTGTCTTGCCTTATGTCCTTCTCTCACCTCCAAACCTACTCTGCCTCTAGATACTTGCATGGTTATTGGACATTTATTTTTCTGTTTGGTAATTTTTCTGTCCCCAGAAGAACATGATGGGTTTCTTCATAACTCAGGTTCTTCAGCATGCTTATTGCACAGTCAAAACAGTCATGAAAATTATTCACTTCATTCCACAAGAAATTCCAAACAGGTCCCTACCATATACTTGTCAATCCAACCAGCCTAGTGGATAAACTACAGATTGTTTAACTGTAGGAACCTGGGGTATCATCAAATCTGGCAGATGTTTCCCATTAGAAGACAGGGATGCCAAATAATCCTCTCAGGGATGCACACAATTCTCCAACAAGGTTGGGTCAAATAACAGTCACCCCTCTTTCCCAAATGACCCAAATCTCACAGTGGGTATTGTTTCTCACTTAGTGAACAGGCTGCACAGAAGTCAAACAGGTTTTTTTTTCCTTCCACTTCAATAAGTGAATCTTTTGCTGACAACAACTTAACTGAACGTAAAACGGAACAGGAGGAATATCAACGAACAACTGAGCTGCACCAGGCTCAACGCTGGGTAAGACATCCTCCTTCCTGTTCCAAGTTTTATAGATGGGAAGTTCAGTAGACAACTGCTCCCCCCCTCTCCCCAGCCCCCAATATCTCAACAGGACTTGCAGGCTGTGTTGCTAAGTCACACTGCAAAGATGCAAATAAGCTGCTGCACCAAAAAGGAAAAGCAGCGAGTTTTCTATTAACAGACATATTTAACATTAGCAGTTTGGAAAGCTAAACCTGGTAACAGCATTTTAAAGCGGCCCCTGTCACATTTTTGAACATGCAAACTCTAACATATGTTACTGAATCTGCTACCGCTAGTTGTACTTTTACCAAAAAAACTCAAATTTATCACATTAGTAATTTTAATTATGCAGATTTCAATTTTACAGTTCAAATCTTTGTTTTATCTTATATTTTCCTTTTCTTCCCAATCTGCAGCCTACATGGGGAAGTAAACTTTTTGTCTCTGAACCAGAAACCAGAGCCAAGCATTAGCCAGTGACTCATGCAACACACTGATGATGATGCCAAAAAGATCTAAATTAATACTGGAAAAGTCTCCGCAAAACAGACAGCAGCACAAGACTGATCCTAACCATGGCTCTGAGAACTCACATTGCAAAATCTTCCTTGGAAGCCCACAAAAAAAACAGACTGATGATTTTTGCTGAGATAAGGGACAATTAATTTCAAAGAGCTTTAGTTTGTCTTTAAAATGTGTACCAAAATGCTATATTAAAAAATAAATCTAGATCGAGTGATTTCTTGCCTGTTTGTTGAGCAACTTGTTATAAAGATATTGACTAACAATTCAGTTTAATAAGCAGTTCCATTGTAATTACAATTTTGCATGTCTTTCAGAAGGTAAAGGGGCTACAGCTTCTATTGTCAAGGATATATTACTGTCTGCCCATCAGAAATTAACTTATGTCCATAAAGCACATTAAGTAAAATGCATTAACAGAGTGGTTCATGGAACAAGCAATACACTAGATTAATACTGTACAGTGCTGTTCACTGGTCCCTACTTAAGACAGACAGAAATATAATAGCTTCATTTTTTCACCTTTTCCTCAGTGTGAGCATCAAAATTGACATTTATAAATATTAAGCCATGCCCGACTATTTCAGAAATAACACTCATAGCTCAGAAGAGATCCCCTTCAAATCTACAGTTGAGGTACCCATTTACAGCATCAGCATGAAAATGGTAGATAATTAGGTAATTTTTCTTTTTTTCTTGCACAAAGTGCAAAAAAGCACACTTGGTGAAAGCAGGGATATAAAAGACAATTTTAGTGGGCAACTGTCACTCACTACTGTTGCCAACTATGGCAATACGGCTCCCAGAATTCATTAGGTATCCTGACAGACAATTAAAGGGATGACTCAATAAAAAACTGTTGACAATCACTCATAAAACTACTGTTTTAATAAAGAGGTTTCAGGCTCCATTAGCTGATTTATTGAGTTCCCTTCAAATAATCAATTCAGTCCAGCTGCTTGCGCAGTTACATAAAGTCAACATAAAGTTTACACAAAAACTGCCAGTCAGAAAACAGCCACAGAGTAAGTTTTTACACTCGCTACAATTATCTAGAGGGACAAATACTTTCAACACTTCGATGCCTTTCTAGACTCCATTATTACTGGGTACCACTGCTTTAACAGAATTATCTTTTTGTCACCCCATCAACCCTGCTTGATGTTATTACACTTCTTTAAGTTACATTTGTGCTTTTAATAACACATTATTCATCTTGGGCTCCACCTGCTGGCCTTGAAACAAGCATAAGTGTTTACAGGTCCTACATAAACAGTCCAGCCTTTTCTCCTTTTTTTTTTAACCCCCTTAGACAGAAGTGTTTAAGCCAGCTAAAACAGAGGTACCCCTTAAAATGTCACATACACTATCAATGCTATTTCCCTATGTACTCATTAGTATTTCAGTACCTTCTTTGACCAAAGCTGATGTTGCATTCATAACACCTGTTGTGTTTCTATACTCAGGGCTGGATGTTAGCCTTAAAATTTCTAAAGGAAAACATACTGTAAGTCAGACAATTAACAAATATTAAGAGGAAAAAAAAAAAAACCAAACTGAAGAGATTCTGTCATAGACTCAATAAGTACATACCTATTTAATCAAAAAAATCTTTATACAGGTGTAATTCTTTCAAGCTCACATTCACATAAAAGAGGGTGCTACAACTACAGGGATGAGATAAGCATATTCCACAGAGCTGCCATTACGAAGTAGATGTGCTCAACTCAGCTTTCTCGTCATTCACTTATAGTCTCTCACAGATCAAGGGGAGGACAAGATGAAAGATTAGGTCAGCACTGGCTTCTACACTTGCAACTTGATCCTACAGCAAGTCCAAAGCTTGATCAAAAGCTGGCTTTCTATCTGCATTTCAGCAGAAAATGTGTCTTCAGAACTATCCTTATAGATGAAGGAAGTGGCTTAGTTCAAAAAAAAAAAAAAGATAAAAGAAGGAGTTCAAATCAAAAAGGCTAAGTTGTGGCATAACACATGCCTTCTGGTTTTCTTTTTTGAAGACAATACAAGACAGAATATGCACATAGTCCAACATGACATGGTCTGCAGAATGGGGGAAAGAACCCCACCCTAAGGCGGAGACAGTGAAGACTTCTTGCTCTCTGGATAATGAGCTTTTAAAAATCTAGCTTGATTTTTCCTAGTCAATAAGACAACAGTTAACAAGGATGAAATGATAGCAACAATCTCCTATTTCTGTAATATGTTTCTAGTTTGCTGTGTAACTTACGCCTAATACACACAAACCAGCTTGACAAGAATTACAAACATCCTGTAATTAAGCATTCTGCTCCAAATGGCACTGCCGATTTGGAAATGACATTAAAGTAACTGCCATTCTTATTCTGTGTTACTGTACTCTGTTAGATAGTACAGCATGTTGTTTTGCTCATTTTAACAATCTGTTAAAAGCCTGAGTGGATATTTGCCAGCATAAGGTAGCCTTTACAGGGACTATCAAGAGACCAAAACATGATAGATTGTGTATGTTCTTTTCATAGGGTTCTACCATCATTTGGTTGATTAGAAGCAATCAGTTCACAATTTGGCATAAAACCATTTTACCCTTAAGAACTCCCAGCAGCAGCCTTTGAAAAATGAAGCCATTTGTTATGTATTTTGTTTTCACAAATGAAGCATCATAAATAACATCTGTCAGTTACCACAGTGATCTCAATTGCTTCTCAGCTGATCCAAAACTGTTGTTTAGGTGCAGTCTAAGAGACAGCTAAAGATCATTAGTCACTGAGCTCCGATAGTTTTATGTACCACAACAATAACTCATGGTCAGGAAAGTCTGAAACTATTTTACTGCTTATTTTGAATTTGTCCAAAGGAAACCGAGCATTACATTCCTCAAATGACCATAAAAGAATAAAATCACATGCATTATTTTCAGTAGTGGAATGAGATTTTTAAATATATATTCACTGAACTTTAAAAACATGGAAAACATGCTTGATTCATTTTTAAAAGTAACCTACCTTTCCCCCCCTCCCCAAAAAAGTGTCTCAGTTGCATTTTTTTAAAGCATTTTACCCATTTGCTTTTGCATTTCCCTTGTGTAGCACATGCTCCTGTGTAGTAATACTACTCATTAAAGATCAAGTGGAATAGATGGATCAATAACCTGATGCCTTTCAGGTTGCTCCATATAAAGACAATTTGTAACTAAACTAGGGTTTGTAACCAAGGTGAAGAGTCAGTCTTCACTGCAAGAGACAGCAATGCAAAGGAGAACACTTAGAAAAACACAGAGAACATGTAAGGTGCATGCCATTCCCAAGTTTAATGAGCTAATTTTACTTTCAGCTCCTTGATGTCTCTCTCTGGCGTTTTACTAGATTAAATCCACTGTACAGCTCCCAAAAGAAACTAAGGCCAGTAAACATCACCCTTCACCACACCATGTTTTAAAAACATTTGCAAGGGATGGAGTAAGAAAACTTTTCCTCCAGTTTCTCAAGAGCACTAGCTTCTCCTCTGCCACAGATCTAAAAACCCAGAGTCTTTTGCTAGACCTTTTCCTCCTTTTAGGCAAAGACTGTTATTTTTAGCTTTCACATCAGTTAGGTTTTCTTCAGTGAGCAACCAGCTCCAAGTCCTTTTTTTGGGGCAAGAAAATCTATTTTCCATTTCATATTCATAGCAAGTCCGTGCAACGTGTAGTTAGAGGAAATACTTAGTGAAAGAATCATATATACCTGCTCTGCTCTTATGCTCTTCCCTCAAGATGTTCCTCTAGACCCTCCCAGAAAAAGAATACCAGTCTGTATGGACCTTTGATGTGACCCAGTATGGCTGGTCTTATATTCTTAAACTTAATTTCCTCTGACACAAGGGCTGCATTCACCCCTTGTGTTTTTATTCCCACTTCATCTACAGTAAGTCTGGGCTTACTACCTACCCTGAACACAACTTAGGAGGGGCCACGGGCATGACAGACATCCTACAAACTTGGGGGGGAAGAAAGGACCAAGAGAAAACACAAACCCACAGCAGTTAAGTAGATAAAAGAAGTCCTGCAAGTATTCCTACTTAAGAAAAAACACATTCATTTCTTTCAAGATAGCAGATACGAAATCAACACTACAACACAAAAGCAGCTTCAAAGCTTATTGCTTTGAGTTCAAATAATCCTTCTACAGGATATTAGACAAGGACAACACCGTTTTGTTAGTTCTGCTGTCAACAAAGTCACTTATTTAATTGTAAATTTAATGTGTTCTTCAAAAAACATGCCCTTAAAAGTAATTTGGCTGATCACTGTTAGCATTCAGAAGGTCCACCTGGAATTGCTCTCAGAAGAGCGACACTAATGTCTAGGTCTACCTACTTCACTGAAGGCATATTATATATCTGGTTGTTTCCACTTTTAAGAATGTAGTTGCTGTGATGGCAGCCCTCCTCTGGTAGTCTAGAACAAGTGTAAGTAGCAGACAAGAGAGGTGCATAAATGTACTGAAGCACTGCCAAACATAGAAAAATACTAGCCCACCTTTTAGACACTTCACTTAAAAATATTAACTGAGTATTAGTAATAAAAATAGATAGCAAGTTGGCTTCGGTTAGAGCTGGGATACATAAATCTCTGTATAGCCATGACCAATTGAATCAAACTGCAAACTGCTGTTAAGAACTATGGGAAGCCTGAAAAAAACTCAACCAAAAAAATGTTCTTGAATTTAACTGAAAAAAATCAGTTTCTGTTTATTTTGACTTTTGAAAACTGCATAATTACACAGCTGAGAGTGAACTAGTAATCAAATGCACCTCAGAGCATCCTGGGTCCTGTTGGCCTCATATAATCAGAAATCTCCAAAAAACCCCCCCAGTGTTTTCAACACCTACTAACTGAAACAACAGTAGGTTTCAGTGTCTTTCAATAGCTATTTCTTGACAAAGTGCCATCAAAGGCCCACCATACGTTAGAACAATTATCTAACTCTTGTATGTGACAAAAGTTGCACTAGCCACCAGCAACATAAAAATTGTCATCACACAATCAAAGAAAACACGTGTTGGTTGACACTTTAAAACACCCCAATGGCTGCTGTTGGATAAGTTCAGAACTGTTAAGTTTCTTGACCAAAAGGCGCCCGCAGGACCGGCGTTTCCCTCCGCGCCACCGCCGGCCCGCCGCTCCCTTGCAGCGCACCACCCCCCCCCCCCCTCCCGCCCCGCCACCCGGAGCCCGTCAGCTCCCAGCCAGGCTGCGCCGCGGGCCCCGGCTTCCCACTCGTGAGAGATGAAAGAACTCGAAGCTCTTCCTGAGCCTGGCCCGCCGCCCCTTCCGCCCATGCACGAAGGTGAAGGGGCGCAGCCCGCGGGACCCGCGCCGGCCCGGCTGGGCACGGCAGTAACCCCCTCACAGCTGGGAGCCGCCGCACGCCGCACTCACCCAGCGCGCGCCGAGAACCCCCACACAACCCCACCACAACGTCTTCCGGGAACGCAGCCAGTACAAAGCAACGCCCGCCCCTATTGGCTCCGGGAGCCCCGCCCCCTCGCACGCTATTGGGGGGCAGATTCCCCGCCTCTGCTTCTCAAGAACACAGGTGCCCGGTGGGTGCCGCCTTCTCCCTTTCCCGCCCCCGCCCCGCGCTGTCCCGGGCGCCATGAGGGCGGCCGTGGCCGGCCCTGTCGCCACGGCGGGAGGACGACCTGGCCTTGGGGTGTTTCGCGGGAAAACAGTACTGGGGGCTAGAGGCACGTCACCTTCAACGCAGCCCTGTATTCATCTCTGCCATAGTGGACTGGAGAGATCCTCTGGTATTGTGCAGCAAGTGCATTGCTTCTTGGCCATCTCTGCCGGTTTGCAGTGTATTTTGTTTCAAAGTATGAAGTAATAACATCAAAGGGCTCATACCTCTTGAGGACTGATACACCCAACACTGGGCTGTTGTCAGTGGTAGTGAGTTTGGATGTAGGTACTTACCCCCTTCTCAAAGGTCAATGTGTGGGGTGCACATGAACGTGATGACCTTCAGGAGAGACTCCACTTCCAGAAACGCCCCAAAGTCATTGAGTCCCGCGCTTGCAATGGTATGAATTCAGGCCAGGACAGCTTTCCTGAGGATTGAGAAAAACACAAGTGACAAAGCCAAATTTGCTTTCAGTTTTTAAGCACAGCATGATCGGAACTGATAATTAAATGTTTAGTAATTTTACTTAGATCTGCAGATTTAGGCTGGGATTGGATCTGTGCCGCCCTGCTGTTCTTTCAGGCTGAAATATTAACTTGTCTTTTTTTCAAATATAATTTCAAACTTTATTTCTTTTTTTTACAGGTGGCAACAGAGGGTTTCACTGGAGCCTGTATATCAGAAATGTTTTCTGGTGAAGCCTATAAGGGAAGACCACAAAAGCCTTGACTGCTTTTCTAGGTTCTAACACTGATAAACACAGTACACACAACATACCAAACACTAATGAAAAAAACTGCCAGGGGTATAAGAGTGTGTAACGTGGCTTGTGAGGCAAAACCTTTTCCTCCTGGATGTAGAAAACCCGAAGTCATTGTCAGCTTTCCCCCTGGTGTGGCATATGACATTGAGCAAGTTCATCTCAATACTCGCCTTCTCCATCTTCAACAAGGGGATGATAGCACTGACCTTTGCAAGGTCTTTTGAGATCTACTGCTGAAAATTGTTGGGTGAGTGTATTACCATCATTATTTGTACTACTGCTTTTGAAACACAGTAATAGATTGTAGTTATTACCTACATTTATCAACCTTGACACATATAAATCTAAAATAATATTTATGTTTTCAGGTACAGAGTTGTTATTTAAAACAGCTATCTGATTAATAAATAGACAAATTATACAAACCTCTTAATCTCCATTACATTAAAATTGGTAAAATGCATGCACATTAAATGTAATTTGTTGTTCTTTGCTGTCACTCTGTTTCTCAAAGTATAGACTCATCACTGTGACCAAAGATTATTTCACTTCTATGCTTGATACCCATTAAAAATCTTCAGCATACCTTCAGTAGGAGTTAATGTCCAGGGGAAGAAGAAAAGGAAGTCTGTAGGTGTAGAACTTCATGGTGTTAGTTTTTTCTGATTTTTAATTATTTCATTATTTCTAATACATATAAGGTTAGAATAACTTCACAGTCATTTAAAAACGTTTTTAGGAGGCTTCACAAAAAAAGCCCACTGCAAGGATTTGTGAATGCCAGATGTGGTGGCCATTCAGACTCTTCGTATTTCTTCTGTTTACTTTTTGTTCTGCCTAAAACAGCTCAGATATTGTTGTCCCTTTTAGACCCTGTCCTAGGGGATCTGTGTATGGCTGCCATTGTTTGTCAAATTCAAATAGTTTGATCCCAAGTAGGCAGTGATTCTCTATCCACTTTAAGTATCTTCAATGAAGAGAGTGGTACTGGCTGTCAGCACAGAACCTCTATTGGAGAAAGCTAAAATACAAGCAGGAGCTTAGTGAAAAGCTTGTAGAATTGTCCTGAGTTAGTGTCAAAAACTAAAAGCGAAACAGTCCTGACATTTATTTTAAAACTTTGTTCTACCCTTTAAGTGCTGGAATGTATGTTGTTTGGAATGCATAAAGCACACCTTAAATGGATTAAGTATCTTTCCCCTGACAGCTCTCAAAAAGTAGTTGCTAAAGAGGATACATCAGTGACCCAGGCAGTTTTCTAGAATCAGTTCTTGCTCTGATCCTATTTGGTATCTCTATCAACTGTCTAAATGATGTAAGATCTTTAGTAACAAAATCTGTACCTTAGTAGATGTGTGGATAATTCACATGGCTAATTAGTTACAGTCATTTGATGTGAGCAATTAAATCACCCCAGACCAATAAAATGCATTTGAATGGTAGAAAATGTGAGCAAACACATCTGGAAATAACGAATGCAGGGATGGGGGCTAGCTTGCCAAAAAAGTACTTCAGAAAATAATTTAGCTGTTACTATATGCAAATGTTTCAACACGACCTCTCAGAGTAATATTGTGGTAAACTGGACTAATGTAATCCTTTAATGTATAAAATACAGAATATATAGAGGAGACGGAAGAGCAATAGTACCTTTGTCCACAGCACTAGTAACACTGGAACACTGCACCACTTCTGGAACCCACTGTTAGGGAGGAGAGGAAAACTCTAGAAATAATACAAAGGGGGAACCTAAAAATAATGAAGGGGGTAGATAACAAGGTATAAAACGGGGGTGTAGGAAGCTCAAGCTATTCAGCTTATCAACGAGAAGGCCGAGAGGTGTGACTCCATCACAGGCACCGACCACTGCAAATGGCGAAAAGGTCAAGTTAGACAAACCCACAGGGATCACGTGCCAGCATTACCTGGCTGCGCTCCGCCTGGCGAGCCCCCTGCCACCGCACGCATTTCCGACACCGGTCGGGGCCCCGAATCTCCCAGTCTACAGCCGTGAAAAGCACCGTTGAGTTTCCGATGAACAGAACACCTCTAGCTGCACTGCAAGTCGGCGGGCGTAGTGCCGCAGGCCGGTTAGTGCGGGGTACGCGCACCCATCCCGCGGGGTGACACAGCGGCGCCGACCGCACCGTGAGGGCGGCCCGCTCCCGCGCTGCCCGCGGCGCCTCCGCCCGGACGGACAGTCCCCTCGGCCAATGCCGCGCGGATCAGCCAGCCAGTGCGGGGAGGCGGGGCGGAAATGCATCCAATGAGGCTTTGGTTGCTGGGCGCGATCGCAAAGGGATTACCCAATAGGAAAATTCGCGGGGCGGGAGGCGCGGTCCGGTTTGCGTGCCGCCCGCAGGCAGGCAGCGTGAGGTGAGGGGTGGCGGCCGGCCTCGCTGCCCGCCGGCGGCTGAGCCGATGGGGCGGCGGGCGGCCAGGCTGCCTGTGACCTTCCGCTAGCACTTCTCCCCCTCCCCCCCCGCCGCTCCTCCGTGTGAATGTTGAGGAATGATAACGCCCTGCTTGGAAAAAAAAAAAAAAAAAAGAGTTGGAAAGACGGTGCTGATACGGGCTGATTGGGAAACGGGTTCTCCTCCCCGCTGGGCCTTTCCTGAGGGACGCTCGAGCGGGGCCGGCTTCGCAGGCAGTTATTTGCCGAAGTGCGGTTTCGGAAGAGCACGCGTTTTCCAGCGTTGCCCTCGGACCTTTTTTTTTGGAGCGGCCGTGGGGGCCGTCGGGAGAACCGTGCTCCCCCAGAGGTGGCCGCGGGAACGGGGACCCGGCGGGCCTGAGGGCAGCGAGCCTGCGGGCTTTGTAGAGAGGAGAAACCCCGTGTGCTGTAGAAGCGCAGCCAAAAATCGTAGTAGAAAAGGTAAATGCAAGAAAAGGGTTAATGACTGCTTCCACCTCCCCCTCCTCCCACCCGGTTGGGTAAAGATGGTCTTGGATACCCTTTGTAAATAGGAATGTGGAGGTGGGAGGGGAAATTCAGCCCGATTTGGTCTACTATGCCGTGTCGGCGGGTAAGAAGGCGGCAGAGAGGCTGATGCAGTCCGGGGGCTCTCCCGGGAGAAGGCGCGGGGGGACGGACGCGCCTCCCGCGGGAGCCGGGCACCGGCGGGGCGGGGCGGGGCGGGCGGGAGCTGCGGGCGGGGGCTCCGGCTCCCGGGGAGCGGGGGGCGAGGGAGCAGCACAAGGGGCTTTCGCTGATGTGCTGCCCAGCGGTTGCTGAGTATTTTATTGAAGAGTTGGGATTTTTTTTCTTTCTTTTTTTTTTTTTTTTTTTTTTTTTTTTTTGGTACACCCGCCTCCTTGAAGCCAGCACAAGCAAGGAAAATAAGCTGAGGACAGAGAAATAAGAGAAGACGGAGGAGATGGTGAGCAGATCATTGGGTTGGGGGGAGTGAATGAGGTTGCCGGGCTATTTTCTGTGCGAGGTTCATGTAGGGTGTAGTTTGGGATGATTTTGCATCACGGTTGCAGACTAGTCTTCTTTGTTTGCTAAAGGTTGCTGGTTAAGGTTTCAGAGCGTTCATCAGTTTATTGTGAGATTCGGAACGAGGAGTTGGTGTATACGAATGGCTAAAATTTCATATGCGAGCCACACACACAAGCAACCCCTAAACAAACCAACCTTGTATTAATCCTGCAATATGATGGGCAGCTCTTGTCATGGAGGGAAGTCATTGCTCAGGTTATTTGTGGCATGCATAGGAGATGAGTCTTTTTGTAGCAAAGACCAATCAAAACTAACCTATTTCTTCACAAAGGTGAAATCCATTACAGACTTAAAAGCCGAAGTTAGTTGCTTTTTTTTCTTTTAATTTTACTCGCAGTATTTCTGTACATTATTAAAATCTAATGTTTGCAAAACTTGATAAACTCTTTAAAATGTTCACTTCTATCATGCAAAGACTGTCTCCTCTGTTTTTTTTTTTTTGTTTTTTTTTTTTTTTTAAAATGTAGACACTTGTTTGTGTACGTAGAAGGGGGAATTCTTGTAACATGTACTTTGCTTTTTACAGTGTACTGTTATGCCTTAGGTAGGTCACAATACAAAAATGTGATTCTTAGCATCTTAAAAAAAAAAAAACACCGTAAGCAGATTTTTTTGTATCAAGTGAAGACCTGTTTTTATACCAGTAATATCTTAAACACTAGATACAAGTTTGTTGGGAAAAAAACCCTCTGTTTTGTATTAATGGGAATGCTTTATGGTAAAAATCATGATTGTAAATGGCAGAGTATTGACATTGGCCGATTGTATCTTCCTGTGGCTGAAGTGCTGCAGTCTGTATTAAGTACATTAAATTTATGGAAGCTTAAAGGGCTAAACATATTTTGTTTACAATATTGTGCAGGACTGCATGGTGCAGTAGTAAAATCTGAAATTTTAGTGGCTTTAGGAATGTTGCAAGGCACTGCAAAAGAGAAAAAAAATGCAGCCTCACATTAAATCTGCTGTGAAAAAAAAAGATTTGTTATAATAAAGTAGTACAGGTTATATATGGTGACTAAAGTAACAGAAAGGGCTGGGTAGTTTGGAGTTTCTACAGAAAAAAATAAGTTGTGAACTATGCTGTGATCTTCATCATGCAAGGTATTTGGATGGATGGCTGTTAAATTTATTTTAAGTAACATCTCTGTAAATGCCTGTCAGAAATATTTAAATTATATGCTTCATTAGGCAGATGGGTTTATCTTCCCATTGCTTGGCTAAAGGAATGTATTAGGGCAAGGTTTAGAAGAACAATACAGTTTGGCTGCATAGTTTCACTGCATAGTTGATCCTCACATATTGTTCAGAAATGCATAGAATGTATTTTATTTGACATTGGTGATCTTTATAAAGTTGACTTTGACTTTATTTTTATGTCATAATTGCCATCAACATAAATAACTGAATTTTGATTAATATAGTCCTAGATTAGACCTACTATTTAGTTAGAATGGATGAAAAATAGTTCCCTTGTTTGATTTTCATCTATTCATTCAAAATCTCTGTGATGGATTTCAGTCTCAACAATTCTTTAATATTGGAAGAACTGGTAAGAGCTACAAATATAGAGAGATTCCCTTTGTATTGAGTTAGGACACTGTGCTAAAAACAGCAAAATTCCTGCCTTTTACTTCAGATTTTGTACAAACTGCAGTTTAGAGAGATATCTTATACTGAAGACCATCTGCATGCATATTACAGTTATATAAAACTAGGCTTCTGCATTTGATTTTATGTAATGCAACACATTATTTCTGCAGTGCTTTTGGTGGATCTTGGTTAGTGTTAGAATTGATACACTGTGAGGAAAACTTGTTAGAATTCTTGTGCTACCAGATTTATGATTTGTTGCTCTTAATATTTTATTGTGTGAGTATAAATCATTGACACAAACATTGTAAACAAATACTGTAGCAGCTAGGTGCAAGATTACATTTAGTTTATGTCTTTACAGTTTATCCAGAGTGTGACAGTATCTTGTCTGGTGTGACTGCATTCTATTCCTTATAGCCATCATAGTGATCTTCAAAGCAGAAAGGTTAGGTCAATTTTTTTACTTTATCTCCTGTCTCTACAGAAGAAGGAAGAAAAAGGCCAACACTAGGGTTACATCAATATGGATAGGGAAAGAACTTATTGGATGTGTTGTGTTCAGTTACCTTATTCAGACTTTATATGAGTTACCTGGAAATTAGCATTGAGATTTCTGTTAAGATTAAAATCCACATATTTTTAGAAAAAGTGTTCTTTCCATAGTGCAAAACATTTAGACTATACATGTAACTTGGCAAAAATATTTTCTTTAGAAAAGGGCATTAGCAGTATGGGTTTAAGCTTTAAAATAAGAACAAGGAAATCTTGACGTATTCGCTTAAATTCCAAGTAGGATGTGGTCAACCTGTGTGCTGAAGCTAGAAGGTTAGGCACCTATCTCAACATCTGAAAAAAGTAACAAACATCTGAAAAAAGTAGCAACCATCTTACATAATTAAATGTTTTTTATTTCCCTCAGTTAACTTGTGTAAAACAAAGCCAAACCCAAAAAACTGCTGAGCAAGTTTTTTGTACCTTGTCTGTCCTTTTCATTCCTACCCTTGCATTTCACAGACAATTCAAAACAAGCTGTAAAGCTACTTCTGGTTCTACATGGTGAGGCTCTAGAGATCTAGGTCTGCTGCATTAGCTTAGGTCACATTAATTTTGTATATAAGACAAATAACTAATTCTAGTGATTCTAATTCTTTTTATGTGTCTGCTTTTCTGCAATAATGTAAGAACAGGTAGCTCAATTTAGTAGTATCCAATCTTTTGAAGGGCTGGCAGTCAGCTCTCTAGCAGTCTCATTTTCAGGAAGTAGCATTTTTGGTGTGTGATGTGTAAATGGCTAATCATTTAATAGTAATTGGACAGCTTCTATTATTCATCATTAATTTATACAGACTAAATCAAGCAAAATATCATTTTAGAGTCCTGTTGAGACTCACTTCTTGCCACTGTGTTTGAGGATGGTTTGACATGTTGACCAACCAAAATACATGCCTTTCTTGGAACATGAGTTAATCATGAGAATAAAAAAAACGTTCAAGAGACCCATGACATCCTGTAGGAATGTATATATGGGTGGCATTTTTAAATATTTTAATCTTTTGTGGAGAACACTTCAATTTAGTTAATGAAGCTCATATCTAGTCACTACTCATTCTTACGAAGAACATGACTGAATATATTTTCTTACAATATTTGTCATTACTGGGAGCATACCACTATCAGAACAAATGGCCTCTTTCTGAAAATAATTAATTTTAACTAAGGCACCATTATACCCCCGAAATGATTGGTTTTATTGATTTTTTTTTTTTAAACTGATTACTTTACTGAATTCTGTTAAAGTTGATACTGTGTTTATACCCTCATATTTTGCCATGTAGTTATATTGATGTCCAATCTAGATAAAATTGATGGAAATGACTCTGGTTCCAAGTAAGAGCTGTCAAAAGTTGGTTCTAAGAGACTGGTCACAAAAAAGTCAAGATATCTGTTTAATCATATCTTTAAAAATCAAGCCCTCTGAGGAGTTACCCTAGAAAAACAAAACCAGTGGGTACTTCTGTAGATATATAAATCTGAGTTTTCTCAAGTGTAGACTTCCTGCACAAGGTAGAAAATGTTTACTAGCAGTAGT